GGTGTACTGCTGTGCTCTTTCCATCGGGAAAGTGCAACTTTTTGGGATTGAAAGAAATGCATGACATACAAATATCTGTAGACTTTGTCGGTCGAATGATTGCAATGCAATAAATTTATTCAATTGTTTATCCGTATGGAACAGTATTCCAGTCTTGCGTAATGCGCCGCTTATCATACGTCACTTGCAAACGCTTAGTAATATCGCTATTGGACAAAACAAGTTTTGACTTTACACGTTTAATAACGTCATCATAATGCACATCAATACAACCAGAAGTATGTAGAATATTCATCATGGACTCCAGGTCAATTTTCTCTTTAATCCGATTATTAATGGTGAATCCCTTGATTTTGACTACCGAATGTCCATTGTTTGCCGTGTAGGCATAGGTCTTGGCGCCCAAGCTGACAAACTGCGTAATATGTTGTCCAGGTTTCAGTTCATCGGTTAAATCCCCCAAAAATCGACCAGTAGGAGGGTCAGACCATCCCGGTTTTGACACAAAGAAAATGGAATCTACAGAGCAAATAAACTCAAAACAATACTGTTAAAACATTTGTTACAGTTAAATACCTGTGTCGAAATACAAGAGGCGCTCTTTAACCATATCCATAAACTGGTATAGATGCAGTCGTGCCCAACAGGTGGTAAACCTAATGTAAAAATAGAGTAAACCTCTGTTTGCTGAGCAAAGTTTTTACAAAACTTACGCGGCCAAGACGACATTCGTATTCGGATTCTGCTCGATAAAACCATCTTCTTTGGTGTACGTGATCTGCACGACGTTGTCATCAAAGAGATCCCAGGAATGCACATGATGTTTGCCGGAAAATAGCATTTCATAAAATGTTTTGGGGTCATGGATGTACATGGTATTCAGTTTGTTGTCCTGTATTCCTAGTCGGCCCCAAAAGCTGTTCAGGCATAACTTGGCTAAAGCACGTAGGCCGGGATTTCTTTGACTTTACTGTAATCTAACTTGACTCCTTCTCGTTCTTCAAAATCAGAAATATAATTTCGCTTTTCAATTTCTGTAGTGATACCCGCTGGCCATCCGCTGGCTTCAGTTTTGATTTTCAAAAAGCGGTCAATGTACTCTTTGAAAAGATGATCATCGAATGTTTCGTAATGCCACACTTCGTATATCCTGGTGACAATGTATCCCCGATCCAATGCAGCATGTAACTCTGGCGTACACCACGTTCCCGTTATTTCCCTTTCCAAATCCGAGTGGTCACATTTTTTTGTGTTCTGTTCTTTAACACATGTTGCACATAACGGAAAGGTCAGCTTGCCGTTACAACGGTATGGTAAAATGGGTAACCACAAGTCTCCCGGTGGTAGTACTGTGCAATGGACCAAACCAAAATATTCACGAATGTCTTGAAAGTTCTTAGTTAAAATAATAGGATGTCCTAGCGGATACCGGCGATTTTTGTTGACAAAAGGATATTCACTGTTGACATCAAAATACTTGATCTGTTCATCGGCAGTCACGGTATGCAACAATCGCACGGCATTTGTCCGACCACCATAAAACGCCTCCCGAGGGTTCAGCGGTTGTGTAATTTTTATGTTATTATTGAATTTACGCATTTCGGAATCGATGCGGACGCTAGCATCAAAATCATGTTCCCAAACAGTGGTTACGGGATGACCCATAGAACGGAGGTAGTGCTCGCGGTCTAGCGTCTCCTGGTAGATGTCACGCATTGGTAGGTTCCGAAAAGGGTGTACTGTCTCTGGGTCCATACAGAACGGGCATCCATGGTACCAGCATCCATAAAATTCGTAGATGTGACCAGCGTTTTCTCGGTATCCATCCACATAGTATGGACCGATTTTCTGTTCGGTCCCGGAAACCACAGATTGAATGACGCAATTATCTTCGTTTTCCATCCACCAAATCCATTTCATTGCCTTGACTGATTGCAAGCGATTGCGGGCAAACCGTTGTTGTGGTACCAAACCAATTTGGTTTGGTTTTAGGATAAAAGAGCGCCAGAACAAGTTGCACAGTCCAGCGATCGTCAGAGCGGAGGTGAAGGGACAAAGACCATTGCTGATTTCCATAAACAAAGTACGAAATTGCTGGCAACATATGCGTAAAACGGTGACATCATTTTCGCAGTAAGTAAGGAATTCTTTGCGAAAATCAAAAAGACCGTTTTTGGCGCAAACATCGGCATCATACCACTCTTTAAATGCGATTTGCGCATTCTTGTCCATCGTGCGGAACCCGTATTCATCCATACTAGGATACGGCACAACACGGTCCCAATTTTCTGGGCGGTTGAACTTGTGGGGAAAGGTACCTTTACTAATGTCTGGTAGTCCAAACGTTGCCGGCCATTTTGCTAATTTTTGTGGATTGTAATTTATGCTGTCACGAAAGTGGATATCATAACCCGGGACGTCCAACTGTAGGATCTTTCCACCGTTCATAATAACTTTGGGGGTTATACCGTTTTTCAAGAGCCATTGTAAAATAAAGTATCCATCAAATGCTTTGAAGTTATGGGCGATTACGTAACGTCCACGGTGATTTTCGTGTATAAGAAATTCGCATAATTTGTCAGTAATGTTCGTCAATAAAGGTTCATTGGCAGACGGAAAAGTCCACTGAGTCCCTGCATCATCTTGAACGACTGCCAAGTTCGGCACTAGTTGACCATCATCCCCGACGAACGTCTCAAAGTCAAAAAACAGGCACTGAGCGTTTTAATTCTTTTGCCATTCCTCCGTAGTCACAACATGCGGTTTCATAAAACACTGGTGCGTTTCCGACAAGACATGGATGTTGCAATTCTTGCAGTAGATTTCTCCGCATTGGTGATTATTGGATCCCTTTCGGTTTCGCAGCGATACCACACACTGACACTGTTTACATACTGTTATCGTACTGCACAGGTTTCTTGCATTCTTGCTCTTGGGAACTGCTTTGTGACGCTGAAAGCATTCAGCTCCATGAAAGGTCCGATTGCAATCGCCACAGTACATCGGGTTTGCTAAATCACGCTCGCAATCCGAACGTAAGCACTGATGGCAAATGCTGCTGCAGCGGTGGGTGCGACGGTCGTTGTAACCTTTGTTACAGTGAAAACACCAATGCGATTTTTGAAAAAAAGCCGGTAGCGACAGTAGCAAATCAAAATGCTGACCGTACAGCAGCAGGATAATATGACGGTCTTGAACTTTACCGCTGTAGACGATGCTGCTCCCTTGGTCAAGACTAAGAACGATAATTTGGTATCCAGGCAAAACAGCTTCAAAACGCGGGATGTCTGTCAGATCATACGCTTTTTGCGGTAGTCCGGCTTTTTTTATTAGTTTCTTGGTTTCATTGGGCAGCAGCTTTTTACCCCGACGAAGCCGTCGACACAGTTTCTTGTCATTGTCAGCATAAGCTTTACCAAACACCAGAGCTCGAGCCATACATGTATTATCAGCGTTATTGATATGCACAACCGACTTCATTTTTTTCAACTTGCGGTATAATAATTGTGGAACCAACCGCCGACACCCTCCGCGTGGTAGTTTTGGTGTACTGCACTGATATTTCAAAAGTGTCGTCTAGAACAAAATCTTCGTTCGACTGTAGTACCTTCTCGACTTCGTCCATCCATCGTTGTACGTTTAGTTGTGACCGCTCAATAGGTGGAGTCCAAATCGGCCGATCCAGTGAATGAGAATCAATACGCAGACGAACTAGCTCTTTGTCACTGATATTCCGCAATACAGAATATAAAATTTGCTCCAAGATAAAAGTCAACACAAACGGAATATCCACAAAAGGGACATGATCGAGCTCAGAAACCTACATAAGGCATTATAAAAATATAGACATATTTATAAGAGGGAGTTACACTGTAACGCATACGGCTAATGCTTACTTTAACTGTAAAGCATCTGAAATGAAGTTTGTACTTCTTGGAAAACTTCTACCCAGTTTCCTCAATAGTAACATGCTCGTCGATATCGAATAGTGGGTTAGGGTCTTGATCCAGGTCATCATCCGATAATCTTCGTCCTCCCATTTGGGGAATGGCAACCAAGTCGTCAACTGCTGCTAGGGTATCACAGACGCGGGTATCCGTTGCAGATAATGTGTAGCGTTCTCGATCATCATCGTACACCCAGTCGTCTAAACAAGCTAAGAGTGCACAATCATCTAGGTCTTGTTGGGATAACTGGTCCATTTTGATACAGAAGGCTCCAGAATGAATTAGAAATTCGAACTTTAAAACATTACTATGAAACGTTACTAAGCATTAGAAACAGCTTTCCCACAACGTTTCGACAGAATTCTCGCAGATTCGAGTTTCACAACAAATTAGATTTTCCTGTTCGTTAGCCTTGTTGTGAAGCTGTGAGCGCATGAACGGTACTTGGCACCAGGTACGTGTTACCATGGTAACCGTACATGGACCATGTACCATGATACATGGTTATGTACCATGGTACATGGCCATTCAACCAAAGCGAACCTTGTTGTGCAGTCAGTATACAAATAAATTTTACTGATGCACACATATGTGCGTGCAAATATTACGCGCATGCGCATATACTTGTGCGCATCAGTGCAAATACAAATGTGCGCAATTGCACAGATGCGCATCCGTGCATTTGCAAATGCACGGATGCGCACAATTGGCACTTAACGGGTCTATGTACTACTAAAACCAATTTCACTAATGCACATTGTACTGTTCGTTGTGCAAACTGAAATGATGTCATTCGGCATTAGTGTTGTAGTCATATATTTTTGGTTCTGGACAATTATTCGTGGCAATGCGACGGACATCCTTGCAGCTAAATTTTCCAGGTGTGCTGCACGGCTGCTTTTGTGCAGAACTTTGTTAGGCTACGATACTTATACAGAAAAATATGTACTTAGTAACGGACGAAACAGATGTGAAATAGAATTATGCAGCATAATATGCAAACACAAAAGTTTTTTTGTTTTTTCTAATCTTACGATCGATAGTGTGGCTTACCCGTGCTGAATGGCCATCTTCACAAAACCTGTAGAAATAGTCTTCCGTTATACGTTGCAATATGCATATTGGGAAATTAAATTAAAGGATGTGTCCCATTCCCCGCAATATAAACGATTACACAATTAATTTTCGCAACACCCCGTACATCGTTACAATTTTGAAATTGCAGCCGGTTTTTTACAACCGGTTATTTTGAGAAATGCGAGATGGTTAGTTAAATCAGTCAGTAAATTAACGAATGTTGCGTATACTGTAGTGCGCAATATGAAACAATCGACAGTTTAATTAAAATGTACCGTACTCGTGTTAAAGGTAAAAGCGTGCTAAAATCTTCGTATTAACCAGTCACCGCCGCGCCGGTACCTTTTCGATTTTTCAAAACCAAATTCGTATTGCCGGGTTGTGCATCGAAAACCTCTTTTGCGCCGCCAACCACAATAGCAATGGCTGTTCCCGGTCCCTGCTTCATCAAGTAGTCAATGCTTTCCTTGCTGACATCACACACACCCAACGACATGACGTATTCCCGATACAGCGGCAACTGATGCAGCAGTTTGAGCGACAACAGATGCAACTGGATGCCCGGGAATACTTTACTGAAATCCAACGATTCCGTAACGAACGAGCACAGAAACCCGATGCCCATGATGCCGTGCGGGTGGGCGCCCAGGATGTACTTGTAGCGAGGATCCAGTTCGGCCGTCTTCACCAGCCGCACCGGGAAATAATCGCGCAACCATCGCCAGAGGGTCAACTGACGCACCCACTGAGAACGACGTCCACCACGCGAACTCCGATCCCAGTCGTACACGTACCACACAGCGTAGAGGAGGGACAGCCAGCCAAGCGGCGTGAAGAGGAGCATGAAAAGGAGGAAGGTGCTGGACAATCCCATAAACAGGAAAGTGCTTACGTGAAACAGCACCGCGAGCGTCTGCAAGCGACGCTCCAGCGGCACATGTAACGGCGCCAGCTCAACGCCCAAAACATGCATAATGCTTCGCCTTACTTGTCTACTAGATTAATAATTACAAATGCAAGCGCTAGAACTCACTCAGCCTAGAAGTAGAGACTTTATTAGTTATTAAACATGAAACATAAACCAACTGCGCTCCTCAATAAAGTGCACATAAGTAGTTAAAACTTGTGACGATCCGCTCCATATATATAAGTAGGTGCAAACGAATTACAGCCTCCAACTTCGAAATAATCACTGCATGTACAGACTTCACTCTAATTCATGTGCCTGAATATCATGTACTTGCGATCCAGTTTAACAGATGCCGAACAGATACATGTATGGGTGAAAAGTTCCAAACCGGACTATTGCATTGTTAGACATATGTACCGTTTATACTTCGAAGTAGCCATGCGGTGTGTTGCTGTGCGTATGCAGTTACGAAACAGCTAGGCGCCTTTCACGGAAGTACCGTAATTAATGAGAGACGGTAATTCACCACAGTCAGATAAAATCGTTTGTTTTTATAAAATGCCCCATAACACTGTCCACAGAAAACAACGATTCTACCATATATGTTTGACGAGAATACCAAAAAAAAACAATAGAATACCATAAAAACAATAGTTTGACGAGAATACCAAAAAAACAGTATGTTTATGTGTAAATGGCTTCTGCTTGTACAAGTTGAAAATAATAAAGTTCATAGTTATATCTATATACGGATAGCAAAGGAATCCGAAAGAAGAAGATTATCAGAAAAACGGCTCCATATTTTAATCGGACCCAGTAATTATTACGGTGTCCAAAGTCTAAACGTCTACCCATTCTATAAATAATAAGACTCAGAGTCTTATTATTTAGAGTACGGGTAGTCTAGATCTAGACTACTGGTTGGTAATGTTGTCGAACGAAAATATTTTCGTATTCGTTTTCGTTACACGTACGAATTCAATGCGTGTTTTCGTTTTCGTAACGAAAACGAAAAGTCACATACTTTTACAGGCAGATGCGCTAAGCATTTCTGAGCAATTACGATTCCGATCAAGACTTTCCCTCGAAGAAATTTCTTAAGCGGACAACTTCTTAACCGGTTTGTTAATAAGTCCGATTAAGGAAATTCGCAAATTTTGCAAATCGGAAAATTCTTAATCGGTAGTGATTAAGAAACTTCCCTAGGAGGTGGCCAGAAATTGGCCCCTTAGTTATCGTAACGATAAAAGTACAGTACACGAAATCCTACACGAAAAGGTTTTCGTTTAAAACGAACGGCAACACTAGCCACTTACTTGCATTTAATCGTACGAGTACACGTACGGTGGATTCCATTCCATTAATCCACGGTGGGGATTGTACTGTTTCTAGTTTCTACTTTTTTGTAAGTTTGTAGGTACGGTATTACTTACTGGAATTTTGCTGAATTGCACTTCGAATTGTGCCACGCGAATGCTTGCTGTGGCATGTGTTTCTGTTTTAACTTCTGTTTAAACAGGAGAAAAATTTAATGTGAATTTATTACTTGAACATCATCGAGCCAAATGCGCGTTGACTGGAAATCTGTTGGGATTTTAATTGGCTAAAAGAACTTCGTGTTTTCGAATTCGTATGAAGAGTGAGATCTTGTGCGCGGCGATGTGACATTTGCTTTACATTGAACGAACATTCGTATGCATTTTGATTTAACTACTTGGGTGGACTTCGAGATGTTCTCTGCTATTTGTTCACTATGTTCAAACTAGAATCCTTCGTCACTCCGTTGTTGGCAAACTATCTTAACAAGTAAGATAAAAACAAACCCAAGTCTGTTGTCCCGTGGCATGGTTGGCAGCTGAAGTGCAGTTGTTTTGTTTCTCGCAGTAATTGACGCGTCCGCTTTGCAGGTACATCAAAGATCTGAAAGCCGATGATCTGCAGTTGTCATTATGGAAAGGCGAAGCCGTGCTGAACAAATTGGACTTGCGTTTGGATGCAATCGAGCACGATCTCGGGCTACCGATAACCTTCGTCAGCGGGAATATACAGGAATTGCGCATCAAAGTGCCATGGACGCGTCTGACCGCGGAACGCGTGGTCATCGCCGTCAACACCATGGAATGCGTCATCAAACTGCGCACGACGGCCAGGACGGAGGATTCCGTCGAAAAGGACAGAGCACGCACTGAGAAGAAAGCGCCCGATGGAGATGCAAACGTTGCACCACCTCCTCCAGGTACGATCGACATTCTGCGAAGAGTATTGAATTCGCAAAAACAAATCGTTAAGTGCTGTGCTCAGTGCACTGCTGTAACGAATGCATAGTTTTCTGCATACCTAAACATTTTGGAAATTGTACTGTTTGTGGGCATTCCATAATGCTGCATGATACATCTTATTTGATTTAGTTAACTTGCAATCGTTTTTCTTTTCTTACGTTCGCTTCCTGGTAAACTTTTGGCAAATGCAAAAAAAACTACGTGTTTTCTTTGATTCATGATTTGAATTGTACAGGATATATGGAGTCTTTAACAACACGTGTTCTCAATAATGTTCACATTCACTTCACCAATCTGATCCTTCGGTATGTGGATGAGGATTTCACACTGAACATTCTAGTCAAAAGCGCCAACTATTTCACTGTAAACAATAAATGGGAGAAAGCCTTCGTGGAAGTGGCGCAGCCGGATTTATCTCTCCGTCGCATCCTGGTGTTCCAGGATTTGCATATTAGCCTGAACGATGGACGCAACCCGGAAAGTCAGCCGCTAGTGGAGCGGGCCTTTGTGACGTGTCGTTTTCTGACCAAATTCGACAGTCCCGATTGTCGGGTGGCTTTGAGCTCGGTGATGAGTGCTTTATGTGATGAGTGTCATATCAGTCTGTTGGACGCACAAGTGCCTATGATAAGGCGGCTGGTGGATCTCGCAGTGGCATTTCAGGCTGGCTTACTGGAAGGGCAGGCGAAATCCGAGAAAGAAGACCCGGTCGACGAGGAGAATGTTTTTGTAAATGCTTTGACCCGATTAACGGATGATTCGGCCCCCTCCGTGACTCGGAATGGCGGTAGTTCCAGTTGGACGTCGTGGGCGTTGTCTTTCATTCCCTCTTCCCCTTCTAGTGATCACGTGGAGGATGTTGATCTGGAAGCGGGTATTGTACCACCGAAAAGTCCGCTTCCTACCCTGGCCAAGGCCACAACAGTTGCGCTGTATGGCCGCAAACTGAGCATCAGCTTTGCGGTGAGCTTAGTTAACCCGTTGTTTAGAATATTTGACAGGAATTTACGATTCGTAATAGGTGCGTTTCAATGCAATGCATTTTCTGAAATAAATCGCTTCTGAAGCAAAACCTCTGTTTTCATCACAGATGGCGATTCCTGGCAGGAATTCGGGGCGCAGTGGTCGTCGATCAGTTATGCGACTAGAGATCGAAAATGCGTTTCTCTACAGCAAATCACGACAAGCGAAATTTTCGAATTTTCGTTTGGGCATTGAAAACTGTCGAATAGTTGCCCTAAATGAATGCCCTTGTGGGCGAAACAATCCATCCGAGAATGTCTTGGGACAGGTTAGTTCTTTCTGCTTTTTGAGTATTTATCTGGTTATTGTAAGCATTCTTCCGATTGTTCTAATTATTATGGCGTGATGTGATACCTGACTTCTCGAAAATTTTAGCCGATACTAACTTTCTCAAATTTCGAAAACCCTCCTTCGGATCGGTTAAATTTTTTGGCGGGCTCGTTATTTGGGACAAACGATGATGAAAAAGAGATTACGGATCATAACGCTCCTTTTGATACTTTCGACAGCTACATGGCTTATAACACCGAAGCGGTGTTGTTAAGATCTTTTGGGACCATAGTGGTGGATTCGGTATCTGTTATTGAGCCACCGGCAGATATGGTTGAGAGTAAGCATAAAAAAGCATAAAAATAAGTGCATAACGTGTATCAAGTACTTACTATAGTGTGAGGAGGACTGGTAACCTACCGTTTGACGTCATCACTCTCGCATACACGGGAGGGCGGCTGCCACGGTGACGGATGCCCGTTTTTTACGGTTTTTGTCAGTTTTCTCAGCATATTTCTTTTCTCTTCTATTTCTAGCCCCTCATGTTTGGGTTTCTAAATTCAGTATGATCTGTTAAAATATCAGAAAGCTTTAGAGCAGAAAGGAACTGAGAATATCTTTAAAAAAGGACAAGAAAACTGTGGGCCTATGGTAAGCAATAGCACAGCAGTGCATTCTGTATGCGACAGTGATGACGTAGTCAACCGTTGCAGAGCCGCTTCCCAGTCCTTCTACCTATAGTAAGTTCTTGCGTGTATGTAACACTTCAGTTGATCCTGTTATTGTCATATTTAGACTTACCGACAATCACTCCTCTGGAATTGGAGTACAGCAACTGGAAACAAAATGCGATGCTTCGTGTTCTAGTGTCGCCACCGTTATTGACCCTCGGCAGCTCCGCATTGCATCGAATATTGTACTTTTATCGATGGTTTTGCAATTATAGACCGGCTAACTACGTAGAACAAACAGGTGCAGTGAAGCCTTGCCCTTTTCGAGATTGCGCAATGTATTCAGTGATATTTTCTTATGCAGATTCACCCAACAGATCCCCATTGGCTGCCCTTGACGAGCACCGCCAATTGCTGACTTACATTCCAATGAAGTCCTGGATTATTGTGATATTAAGACCCGCAGCGGTGCTTTTGCCACCCAGTCATCCTCCTTTACCAAGCGGACTACGGTTCCCGTTTTCGTACAGTTCCAGGGTGAGAATATTTGTTGTTTTCTTAAAGCGGTTATAACGATTTCTTTTGGGCAACAACAAAACCAAAAGAGTAATTAGAAGCTGTTTTTGTTGCCAGACGGCATTGATTTCGTGATTGTAATTGAAATATTGTGTACTTTGTTTAAATAAGATGCGAGGGGCAAACGCAGACATCTGATGGCAGATGGCTAGTATATTTACAGTGTATTTTTCTTTATAGGACATTACAGAAGCTTTGGAGAAAGACACGCCAGCGGTTCTTATTCAAGCCGATCGTTTTGAATATCACCAGACTTCTCCCATTTATTTCAACAGAATCTTGGATGTCGCCGTTACTGCGCAAGGCCTTCTCGGCGATACTTTGCGCCATCGGTGCTACATCGATTGTTCAGCAGTTGTAAGTTCATCGTTTTGCAGGCAAAGCGCAGATTTGCAACAGTAGTTGTAATTGATTCACTAGGACTTGCGTTATTTATGTTTGGGCAAGAATAACATAAAGTAATGATAGATCAGTTTCCCTTGCTTGCAGTTTTCTTCGTTGGAATTGGCATTGGTCATGTTTAGAACACAGGATGCTCCCACGTTTCGTGACATTCGCACGCTGGTGCTGCCGGCAAATGTACACTATTCCGCAAAACGTCCAGTAGTAAAAACAGTTTGCGACCGATTATGGGGGCCTCAGAATCACACCGAACTCACTTGTAAATCGATGGAACTGGGCGCAAGTTTGTCTGAGTTGTTATTAGGTCATTTATGCCTTTTGGGATTGTGGAAAGACTGTGGCATGTTCCTGTCCAATGGCATCCTGGAAATTATTATTCAGAATACGTTCAACATCTCGTACGCGTCAGGTAAATTTGGTGGGTTTTATTTCGGAGGAACTAGTTTATTTACGGGTTCTCTTTTAGAGAATGTATTGCGAATCGATATCAAGTGTGGACATGTGGTGCTCAGCATAGCAGAAACTAATTCGGGTGTTTCCCAGTCAGGGAAAATTGGATCCTTGGAAGTATCGACGATTGTTGGAGGTAATTTTGTGCTTTTAAGTTAAAAATAAAAGCACGTAACGTCTGCTCTGCTTATATGACCACGAGCACCCAGCAAAGTCAGCGAAATTCACGCATGAGGATGCTTATGTTTAATAGACGGAAGGGGTTCAGTTTCTCCGTTTTTGCGTGACCGAGCTTTTGGACTGGCTGAATTCGGTTCGGGTACGGTTAATCAAGATGGAAGGATGCGGCTTTCGGCGTATAACATTACCTTGGAGAAAGGAAGCAGTCTTTCCCGTACCGGTAAAAGCGACAGCTGAATTACCAGATTGCCGTTTTTAATGGATTTTGTTTTTTCAGAGTGTATTTATATGCTACGAATGCCGTCGCCTACGAAATTCACGGTTTATTCTAACTTTGTTCGACCGTTAGTGGATAATTTGAATCTCGGTATTGACTACATACAGCAGTTAAACTATGCTGACATTTTACGTTCCGCTACGGTCAACTCGAATGACGAATCCGGTGAAAGCAACCTTTTACCGACTCGTTTCGAAATTCAGCATGAAAAAATATCGATAGACGTCTTGGATGCCGAATGGGAATATCTGTCCGCCAGTGTCCATTCTGGCAGGTTTGTTGCGCAGTCGCATCATCCGAATACATCCTGGAGCAAATACGACACACGTGCTCTGCTGCTGTATTTGGGTCGATCCAGTCGCGATCCGATACTCGGACCGGTGTCAGGATCGGTCATGTTCCAGTCTTTTGGTGTGAAAGAATCCACGGTCAGTTTCTTAACCGCAGATGTTAGCTTGGTACCGTTACGTGTTGGACCCTTAACGATTCCAACCGCGGTAAAGGTGTGGCATGGAATCCAGGAACATACTAAGATACTGCTTAGTAAATTTCATTCTTCGCCAGTGGCGAATGGCGTCCGCCATAAGGAATTGCAAACCCTGAGATTTGTCGTTAGTCAGGATGATCTGCGCACCCAAAAGTGGATGTACCGTGAAATGGCAGATGGAGAGAATGATCCAATTCCTGATGTGCAGCAGATCTGTTTCTGCGAAACGCCTACCAAACAGACGATGGCCTGGAGATACGGGGAATTACGCACAATATCAAGTGTAGCCATCATTCCCATTCCTTTCCAAGTGTCACAGCTCATCAGAGAGTCAAGTCATGAAATTATTTGTACCTTGCAATATTTCAAGCGCCCTGTAAATAAATTTGTTGGTCTGCGGAGCTTTACGCTGATGGAAAGCAAGGAGTGTATTTTCCAGTTTCCGGATTTGGTTCCTGAAGATTTCGATCGACTGCCGATTTCAGATGTTTGGCGAGTCGAAGTCTCTATTGGAATTCAAGGCGATCAGCTGATTCACATGGAATCTGGATTTCTCATGTCTGTAAAGTCTTTGGCCGGTTGCATGAAGATTAATTCAGCTGCAATTTTGGGAGTTCCGAAGGCTGTGCACGCAAGTTTAAACGTTGGAGTGGCGTCCATGGCATTGATCCATCATGTTCCCGTTTTGCCGCGAACCCCGGGTCACAGCTTAATAAGCGGATATACATATGACTCTTCTTATCCGTCGGATCAAGAGTTTTCCCGAATAAAGTTGGATAAAGTAGTACTTCATGGGCGTTGTGTGGGAGAGGAGAGCCGTGCGAAATTTCATCTTGAGAGCAATTTTTGGGTCGCAATAGATTTCGCCAACTATCGTTTCCTCACTTTACAACCTCTGCTGGAGTCCTGCTGTTTTTCGTCATCCGTGTCGTATACAATGGATGACAAAATGTATATGCAAGTCAAAATCGATTCCAAAACACCTCTGGTTATTCACTGTGGCCAAAATGTTTTGCACACCTTCAGCATGGCCAAAATCGGCTGGCACATGGCGCAAACGGGAAATTATCAGTCTTTGCCAGTTATGAATCACCTCATGATCTGCAACGACACCTGTCATGTGGTACGTGTTCGACAGTACAAAACGGATGAATGTATCTACATAAAACCGAAAGAAATGCATCCTTATTCATGGCGCAGTCAGCGAATTGAGCAGAAGTTACAGTTCAGCGTCGAACCGTATCCCAATCTATGGAGCGAACCACATAACTCGGAGGTATCCTGCCAGCTGTGTTCCTTTCCGGGCGTGGATGATTTCGAACTTGGATTGGTTTGCAATATCCGCGCTTTAAATAATATTCAAAAGCAGATAGTTTTGGGCACTCAGCTGATGCTCAACAACCAGCTGGATCACGACGTGGAAGTGCAGCTGTTTGTCGAACCGGACTATGTGATTAATCCCGTTGTGGATTCGCCGCAAGAAATCATGCTGTTGCCGGCCCGCAGCTACTCTTCCACTCGATGTGTTCCTGTTATTAAAATTAAACGGTGTCGGGTACGTTTCTGTGGGTCGGCGTGGTCGGACTTAATCCAAATTGCTAGCAGCACTGATCCCCATGTTGTCGCGATACCATGTATGGACGGAGGGTGCTTAGATGTATGGTCCACACTGGTTGTGCCTTTGGCTCCGTCCGGCAGCCGTTGGTTGGTCCTGTCACCGTTGCTCCGCGGTTGCTGCCACCTGCCTTATCCTTTTAAGATGGAGTTCGAACATGAGAGTGGCGCACGTTTCGAGTTCGCGTTGACACCCGATGTGGATTGTTATTTACCAGTGCGATATAGCACGGTGGACTATCAAGTCCGATGCCGAAAAGAGTAAGCTTGTTTTGCGTTTTCTGAATACCCCTAACTTGCAATTGTTAGCCCTTGTTTTGGTTGTTTTGACGATTATTTTTGAAAGGTAATTATTGTAGGAACTTTCCGCCACAAACGTTTCAGTTGAATTTGGAAAAAACTCTGCAGCAGTTACCAGTGCGACTGCGGACGGTGGACAGTGCGATGAAAATAGAAAGTAACGATGACAGCCCCATCGGCGGCGGATCTAATAAATCACAGTTGGCAGCAGACAACGAATGTGCTATCGCGACATCCAGCTTTCTCGTGCTTCTGCGCCGGGAATTGCCTTATGCCAATACATTGCGGTTTAGCATAATACCGAACGGTGTTTGCCTTCGGAATGAATATGATGACGATCTGGTGATTTGTGGCGTTGATGACGAAGTGCTGGTTTCTATTCCTAGAAAGGATGCTGCAGTTTTGCCGGTGTATAAGGTAAGTGCGGGCAACCACTGCATGCTCTTCGTTGGAACACTGTATGAGGTGATCAGTTATAGTATAGAATTAATTTGTACTCAATAATACTCATCTGTTCAGTTCGATATGGATTTACAACTGCATGTCGTATTAATTTATCTATGTACATTGTACAGGGGCAGTTGCGCTTGGGCGTACAGAGTGAAGAGACAATTTATTTATCCGAATATTTTGGAGTGAAGCCTTCGCAAACGGCCCGACAGAATGCGTTGGACTGCACGAGCATGGCAATACTCCTTTGTGAAGGTTACATGAACATTACGTTCTGGGAAAAACGGGATGGGCAGTACTTGGTGAGAAAAGTAAATGTGGCATTGGAATAAATAGCCTTCAAAGAATGATAGAAACAGAATTAGAATGACCGATAAAGAATCTTCACACTGACAAAGCATACGTTGCGGTATAAAGTACCACAAAAATGAGTTGAAAGTTAACCTTTTGTGGCTGTTACAGTTATTTGTGCTATTTATGCTATTACAGTTGTTTGTGCTATTACAGTTATTTGTGCTTACAGTATTTGTGCTATTTATAGTAATATGCAGTTATGAAGATGGCCACTTTTTCAGGTTACCTGTACGTAAATGTGAGTTTTGCAGATTCATCATTTGACACTGTCCTTGAAAGACGAAAATATGGTCAAAGTGTTGACTATCCGTAGTCGATACGTGGCGGTCAGGACAACCTCTGATGCAGACGACGTCCTGCTTTCGGCATTTATTGTCCCAAAAGTCCATACAAAAGTAAGGACCTGGTGACTTTAATTTGCCGAAAAGTAATACTACAATTACACTAATTCGGACGTTGCGAATTTTGGCTTGTTTTTTTTGTTGTTCGCTTTGGTGAGCTTTAAGAAAGCGGCAATACCTATATGTGATAATTATTATGCTTTATTTTCAGTTAAACTATATGGATGAACTGAGAAAAATTCCTTCAGACAAGCTGACCAGTCGCATTTTTCCCCTATCACCATTCGTCTACGTCTCTCCACCTAACCACCCGGTAGATGTTGATCCAAATCGCGTGCCACACTTGGCAATGTTTGTCTGTGTGGCAGCGGAAACACCAAATGAACTGAAGTGGAGTTATCCTCGGGAAATCCGAGAAGGGAAAAACAGTCGATCATCTGTGGTCACAATTGTCGCGCCAGGACTGAGCAATACGAATGGGTTTTGTTTTAAAGCTTCGGTTATGGAGGACCATGGCATCTGCTATATTGCTTTCGAAAGGCTGAGTTTGCCTAGCCTCATATTATGTAATAATTGCACATACCCTTTATCTTTTGGCGAGTGCACCAAAAAGGCAGCAGGTATTTGGAAATCGTATGGGTTTTTCGCAGTTATGTTGTTACGGTATTTTTGCAGGCATCGTGACGTTTGAAGAGGCAGAACTGTTTCTACCGCTCCCGAGTGTAGGAGCTGGCGAAATGGCATGGTATGCTCTGCCGAGTCGTGATGAAATGTTCCCTGCGGTTTCAACGACGGGAATCAATTACCGCTTTCGCATTGGTCGAGTAGTACGAACCGGAGCAAGTAACAATGTGGTACGTGGTGAGACTTGTAACTAACAAAATGAGTATACAAGACTGATAATTTAGAAGGCATTTAGTAATTGTGTGTGTTTGTGAAAAAAGTGCACTCGTAAATTCAGTTTGGGAGTGGTTCATAAATTCTTACAGGCTGTGTGGAGTTCCACCTCGGTTGACCCATTTTCCTCTTCCAACGACTCTTTTATTTCCATTCCCGGAATATGCTACTTGAAATTGCATTTTGACCGCCAAAACCGTCACACCGTGCGAATCACCATTGATCCATTGAGTCGAGTGGGCACTCCAATCTTGCTGCCAGGCAATGCATCTCCCGCGCTTCCTCTTCCGGATGTGCCTCCTTCGCCATCATCTCATTTCTCCTTCGACATGTCTAATGCAGTTCCATCTTCAGCCGTGAATATTGGTGTGTCCTGTGTGTTGAAAGGCATTGTCATTACCCTGGACGATGAAATCTCCAAAACCGACGCGGTAGCCGAAGTGCTGAGGCTGTCGCTTGATGATCTCTCGGTGCAGTTTTACTGTGACGGTGATAAAGCGAAAACTTACGAATGTGCTATAAATATAAGCGATCTGCAACTGGACAATCAGTTGTACGACTCGGGGTTTTTCGATTTCCCGGTAATTTTAGCCAAGGAGGCGCCTAAAAGGAACGTCCAGAGTGCAGTGAATTTGCTTTGTAAACTGAATCCGACAACATTTCATCCGGAGAATATACATATTTCTTTGGCGCCGATGGCGTGTTTTGTGGAAGATTGCCTGGCTTTTCATTTGTTGCGTTTAGTGGATACGTTTTTAGCCCCGGCCCTCCTGGTATCGGAAGCGAAGGCCAAACCGCTTGTTCCGCGCAGTCCAGCTAGTGTAACCATGGAGCGTATCCACATTGCCCCGTTGGAAGTGTATCTATCCATACACGCCGCACTCAAGATCTTTGTAGCATTAGACAAAACACCGCTGTCCTTTGGAGAGATCGAATGCTACGACCTAAACTCCACTGTGGACGAAATTTGGCGATTCGTTAGTGCGCACTATGTCAAAGAGACATTGTTAAGCGCTGGTTGGGTTATCGGTTCCATGGATATTCTGGGCAATCCCGCCAACCTTCTGCGTTCTTTGACGTCCGGATGCAACGATCTCTTTGTCCGTCCTTTCAGTTCACTCCACGCCGGACCAGTTTCATTCCTGCAGGGTATAGCGGAAGGCGCCTCCGCTTTTCTCACGTCCATTTCCGCTGGCACAATCTCATCGGTGACCAACCTGGCCGAAAGTGTTTCGCGAAATCTTGACCAGATCTCGTTGGATCAGGAGCATATTATGCGACAAATGGAGGTGAAATATCGGCAGCGCCCGGAGGGATTAGCAAGTGGATTACAGCAGGGTTTGGTGGGATTTGGCATGGGCCTGTTGGGGGCGGTGGCGGGTTTGGTAGATCAGCCGATGCAGGCCATGATGCGGCCGAAGATGACATCAGCCCAGTTTATCACGGCCTTGATGTTGGGCGTCACGAAAGGCGTTGTGGGAGCGGTATCTAAGCCGATCGCTGGCGCGGCAGGATTGGTATCGAAAACCGGACAGGGAATTCTGCGCGGACAGGGATTGTTGAATTTTCCACCGAGGCGCTGTGTGGCCGCTCCGAAATACGCGATTGGATTTGTGGAGTCAACGCTGAAGTATATTTGGTACGTTGCTTGTAAAAGTGTATAAGTACGAATTCGTAATAAAAAATCTTTAATGCATTTAAATTCGCTGAATATATGCCCAATGTTATGTTCCCGAGCTCAAAAGTAATTCCTAGTGCCTACATTTATTTATTGTTAAATTGTCCCTCTGTGTGTAAGTTTTGCCCCAGATTTAGATTTTGATGGTCTTGATCTTAAATTATTGTGTGCGTTAACAGGAAAGTGGCGCCGCTTCTTCCAAATACCGTACATACGCTATGTGTTGTCGAAGCTCTGCCGGTGATGAAAACGCTGGATAAGGAAGCCAACGAGCCCATGTGTTTGTTTCTGACCGATAGTGCGTTGTTTGTCATCAGTTCAGCGGATGATGAGTTCCGGCAAGCTTATGCCCTGGCCAAACTGAATATTCGCGTCAGCACACCATCTGATGCACTGTCGCACACCAATCGAGATCTGATGCAGGTAACCCTGCTGATAGAAACCCGTGAGGCGGACGAAGAAATGGAGGAAGAGAACGTCAGCGTGAATGATGGAAAGGTCACACATTTTGTTAAAGAAAGCTATTTGCTGGAATGGAAAGATGCGAGGTTATTTGAAGAGCTGTTTTTGGTGGCAAAGAGCAGCTCGTAAACAGTCGTTTTGTATCGTTGTGAACCCTTCTTTTTATTTTTGTAAATTTAATTTATTGATTGTGCAGAGATGCGTAGACCAGTTCGCCTATTGTGATAGATTGAGTGTAATATCCTGTAAAGTTTGTGGACTTCGGATTTTTTTTATAGTTATAGTTTATGATCTTTTAAGCTTCGAAAGATGTGAATGAAAATAAAATGTGGCAAATGTGATATTTCTATTAGTATCGTAGGCGCTGCGTAAATAAACAGGAGGGATTCCATTTTTCGGGTTTCACAGTCAGTTTTGCAGTCACTGATAGAATTAAAAATCTGTCATGCGCGAAGTCGAAGATTGACAAAAGGAGGTATCCACACTTTTCTGCCCTCTGACGATTGTTCGAGGGGTTACAATTCGGTCTTTATTGGTTTTGCTGCTTCCATCTCTTTTTGATCGTCGCCTACACGATAGAATTCGGCGGTCCCCGTGAACTGCTTTGGATTCAAAACTCGCACTTCCTGTAAAATGGATATTGCGCATACAGTTTCTGTTTCAAATACGCGATAGATACAGTAAGTACTCGTATCTATGCTCGTGAAAATGTGTGTATTTCATTGAAGGTGAGGTTAGAATTTACTTCCATCTACAGTTAATTACGTACATCGTGAAATCCACTTGCATTCGGTTTAAACGTTAAAGAAATTTCGAATTCCGCGGTGTAGGTGCCCATGAAAAAGGAGAAAGTAGCGAGTAAACTGGTTTCCGTAGGCATGGTGTAGTTATACTGCAGGAACCATCCTTTGGGCAGCGGAACGTTATCCGGCTTCCCCAGTACGAATACCATTTGGACATTGTACGCTGAATCATTGCGAATGACAAACTGCTGATACTTCTCACCGTCGTCCGTTTTATTGAACACAATTCGCTCGCCGGCTTCCACTACGGCGGACGGCACTCCTGACGATCGGTAAACGAGTTACCGAAACAAGTTACAAAATTTGAGATCTTACTTGTGGATTGATGTTGTTTGTACGAGTACAATACAACGATTTAGGACGTAAGATATTCAGTTACACGGTTAAAACAGTGAACAAAATTAATATAAATATGAAGACAAAAGTGATTTATTACGTGATAAGCTGATTTATTACTTTGCTTCAGCAACGTAATAATGAATTACTGTATTCAATCTTACAAAATTAATCATCTTTTATTCGGAACCAGCTAGTACATACAACAATACGCCTGGCAGATTTGCACTACAATGTAATTAAAATCTAAAAAATGTATGACTCAAGCAACAAAGGAGGAAAGACGGCAATTTTTCAGGGTTTTATAAGTACTGATATGTATGTACTGTATCTGTATACAGATATCTACTCGGCTGTGTATGCACATAATAGCGTACATCTATAGCAATAAGTGCGAGCTAATCGTTTAGACATTATTTCCTCATCATATCATACCTAAGATATCACCGGAAAATTCTGCTATCATGTTTCTGGATGACATGTCCATATCGTATACTCCCAGAAACGGATCCAGTGACCATAGGCAATCTCCTTCTGCGGAACTTCGCTGACGCGCCGCTGTTATTGAAAAGCTGACGCATAGAACTACGCCAATAAGCAACAATTTAAAAAATATTGCGACGACTTCATAGTTTATAAGCAGGCGCAACTTTTCTAGAATGGTCTTATTATTATTTTGTACTTGTAAATGTACACTTATTGTATTGGCTAAAGTAATTACTTATACCACCGCTTATGATTTAAATGCCTGAATTACATATACATTATTGTATCATGCAGACAGAAACTAAATTTCAGTGCAACCGGATTGATTACAATTGATAAACAGTACAGATAGAAACAGTTAAAACTTCTGCGTTCCGATACTTACAATAGAATAGGGTAATCCCTAATGCAGTATTTGGGTATTCTGTGCGCATTTCGAATTTTCGGCGACTAAACAATTCACTGCAAGTTATGCAACTGACAAAAAAACCGGTGATTTAATATCTTGCCGACAACCCCGTTATATTGTTAATACTCTGGTATTTCAATAACATGAAATTGAACGGCTGCTTAATTTCGACTGGAGCATGTGTACGACAAAAACCACGACAGTAAAAAAGCGAAAACTGACAATAACTAAAACCTTTCCGAATGTTCGGTATGTACTATGCGCACGGAAACAGCTGAACATGCAATCTAAGACTACCCGGCGATGGACGACACTACATATTTGTACTTACTATTAATGGCAAGGCTAAGGACAACTTAGAAATTCTTAAATGGCAAAACGGATCGGTTTTACCTGTTTCTCTACTGATTATTATCTGCAGCAAACCTTTGCATAGCTAATGTGGTTGTCGTGAATTGCCGGAAGCGATCTGTGCATAATCTCTGTTAAATGTGAAAATTAATATCAACCTATGTGCCTGGGTTCACATACAACAGTTATAAATTTGTTTGATGATAAAACAGCGTCTACTGTAAAATTTGTAAATACAACAAAACGTTTCCGGACAGCGAGCGCGCTTCTCTGCCTCCATTTTGCTTATCGTGTAAGTATCCCTGGTCTCACATACAATATTGTAGGTGTAGTTAACAGTTTATGTACAGGCATATTGTCAAACACACTGGTCAACGGGATATACTCGTATCTTACCACACTACATAAACGGCGATTCAAACACATCTGCAAGCTGTTGTTCCTTTATGTACGAGGTAAGTAAGTAAATCGAAATCAGCAAACAAAATAATCACCAAATCCAATAATGCGGTCAGGTTTTATTTTAGAGTTTCCATTTTGCGCGAACAATTTCACGTTATAAATACTCTACTTTCCTTCAATCGACACCTCCACTTCGACACCAGCTTCAATAGAAAAGGAAGTGATCTGCTTAACAGTGTCAGGTATGCTGAACAGATCGATAACTCTTTTGTGAATGCGCATCTGGAATCGATCCCAGGTCTTGGATCCTTCACCGCACGGCGTTTTCCGGGTTGTAATGCGGAGCACTTTCGTGGGGATGCGGACTGGGCCTTTGGTTCGCACGCGCTTCTCTTTCGATTTCTGAATGAATTCCGTACAAACTGCGAAGAAAATGTCATGCACTGTTGCTTTAAAAACCATTTGACCAAAAGATCCAATACCCTTAGAACAATAATAACACTACCGTCCAAGTTGTACCCGCACATGTTACATGCTGATCGTGAGCATTTGAACACAGTACAATCAACTTTCATTACGAACATGAAATTCAGAATGCAAATGAACTTTACCATATAAGCAGAAAACCCATAATCAGGATACAAGTAAAAATTCCCGTTGTTTTGCCATTACCAAGTAGCTAGTATAACTGCATAAGTAACCGAAAAACCAAAGTAACCAAAATCAAACAAACACTAGTAACTGGACAGAGAAAACCCACCATTTCGTTGTTGATAACAGAATAATGCTAATGCTACCAAATTAGTGGCATGAAATCTGGAAACGAAAAACTTTTGCAGAAGAGACCAGACAAGTAATCGAACCTTTTTCGAGTGCGGCTACATCCGTGGAGGTGAGAGTAATCCGGATCTTCCTAACATCCGCGTGCTCGGTATGTTCCTTGCCCTCTTTGGTGTCATCATAAACTTGGGTCTGAGTCTGTAAAATCCCAATGAAACCATCAAGAACCCACAAAGAACGCTCAGCCACAAAACTGTGCGAAGACTTCCACACGCGCAATTCGCTACTGTGTTTGACTTACCGCTGCCATTGTAGTAGAACTGGTATCTTAAAGTCTTACAGGAAAACCAAGAAGTTCAAAGAAAACACTCAAAACAGCCAGTTTGTGGATTTGTGCGTCCAAAGCGTTATAATAACGGACCGGCGGGCCTCGTTAGATTTAATACAGCAAGGAAACGAGAAATTGGAAATGGTATGTCACCGTATGTGCCCATTCCAGTTCCAAGCAAAATAGCAACCCTACCGGCGACCGCCCGAGTTGCCGCATGCTTGTGCTGCGGACAATCGGCAGGAAGACTGCTTTAACCCTGCCAGCTGTTCTATTATAACGTAGGAATTTACTAGATGACAATTATAGAGTTCCCCACGCTTTTATTTCCATTTTATTATTTATCTTGCGGTTTTGCTCACCACTAAAAGAGCGAAGCGGGTATCTTTATCAGCACCACTAAAGATGATGCGCCGACAAGCTCGTCTGCGGCGTGAGTATCTCTACCGCAAAAGCATTGAGGAACGTCAGCGAACCATTCAAGAGAACAAAGCCAAAGTCAAGAACGCCTTGGACAAGAGCCACATCCTACCCAGCGCACTTCGTAAGGATGCTCTGCTGCTAGCTGAGAAGACAGACTGGGATGACGAGGGCGGTCAGGGAATTGTCACTCACGAAGACGACGAGTACCGCTGGGCTGGCGTGGAAGACCCTAATATCGTCATCACTACATCACGCGATCCATCTGCGAAGCTAAAGCAGTTCGCCAAAGAACTCAAACTAATTTTCCCCAATTCTCACCGGATAAATCGCGGAAGTTACGAGATGACGACTCTCTTGGAGTGGTGTCGATCAAAAAACGTCACCGATTTTGTTCAGGTGCGTCTTCTCTTGCAGATCAAAAGCAGATTATCGTAAGTAACGATACTTATACGTACTTTACAATATTTTAACGTACTTTTCATATTACATACTTTTTATAATATGTTTTTATACTTTTAACGTACTTTTTATTTTATTATTAGTGTATTTATAATTTTATACGCAACTTTTATAAGAGTGTATCTTTGTGAGCGACGCTCGTCCCTATATATATCGAAAAAAAATTTCAGAATATTTTATATACCATACTGCATACTGGAGACCGTTATATTGTTAATGCACTGGCTTAAAAAGCGCTTAATAATTTAGCTCACAATATTACACTAGTTTATTTGGATTTTACTTTGACGGGTCCAAATAATTCTGTATATATTATCATTGCACACCTGTTCAGTAGTTATTTTGTTGTCTTCTGAATTGTCAGTATTTTATGAAATATAAGCTTGTTGTGTTATAGCGCGTAATCGAAATTTACCAGCATTTTTTTTATTATAACTAAGGAAAACCGAAAATTGCATAGTTGTTTTCGCATAAACAGGCATTCGAATTTGTTCAAACATTTCTTGTTATATTTTATTTCCAGGTGCATGAACATCGAGGACAGCCGGATACTTTGATAATCAGCCATTTGCCTTACGGACCGACAGCCATGTTCTCCTTGACAAACGTGATTATGCGCCATGACATTCCCAATATGGGCACAATGTCCCAGCAGTATCCACATCTTATTTTTCACAATTTCAAGAGTCGGCTGGGTCAACGCGTTGTCAATATTTTGAAGCATTTGTTCCCGGTTCCGAAGGAAGATTCCAAACGGGTGATAACTTTTGCCAATCAGGATGATTTCATCTCTTTTCGCCATCATACGTACAAGAAAGAGGATGGCAAAAATGTCGTATTAGAAGAGGTATGCGTTAATGAGAGCCCGAAATATTATTTATAGTTTCTGTTATATTTTTTGTTTCAACAGCGCTTCACTTTTTGTACTTCCGAAGTTCATCTTCTTTCTAGAAAATCTGTTCATGCATTAATTATCTACATGAATATTTTAAAATTTTCCACTTTGGAAACTGATAACAGTACGTAGGTAAGTTGAGTACCGTAAATACGTTACGTTTGTCATGATTCATTCATTCATTCATGTATCAGGAGCAGACAACCCGTTTAACAGGACTTCAATGTCTGGTCGGTAATAATTAAATATAATGTGCGGTACCGAAAAAATTTAACATTCGTACTGGATTATTTGATCTAGATCGTCATTACTAAATTATTTGGTTCAGACAGATCTAAAAAGTATTTACTGAATTATTTGGTTTGGACAGGTCTAACAGTGCCTCCATATGAAGACATGAGTGTTTTTCGCTACGAATTTATCCCCTCCTCGTTTTGCTTTTCATACTTCCTTTTGTTTCGTTGCGTACTAAATAGTGTTTTATTTTGTTTATTGGTATTTCCAAACAAATGCATTTCGCACGGTTTGTAAGCCCGCGGTCTATGTCTGACATGAGTTTTGTATTTTGAATGACAGCAGTATCGTTCCTAAGACTAACAGTACTTTACGGAATCCTCCCCGAAGTTTGAACAAGCGCGTTATTAATGAATTAAGATGCTGAAGATGCATGTTATTAATTTTTAGGTTGGTCCTCGAATGGAGATGAAGTTATACTCGATTAAATTGGGCACCGTGGAGAATATCGACGCTGCCGACACAGAATGGCAGCTGAAGCCTTTCATGAACACGAGCAAGAAACGCCGATATTTAAGCGATGATCCTGGATTCCTTACGAAAAACGCTACTGAAGCATGAGATTTTCATGATTTATGTCTCATAGAAAACTTCTTCCTTGTTTTTTTTTAAGTTTGAACCGATGTTGCTTCTGTTACGGCGGAATGCAGATGTTTGATCATGAGAAAGTAGATATCGACAGTGTTATCAAGACTGGAATCGTATTAAAGACTAATCGGAAATGTGCGGATATAGAATTACGCTCGGTTTCGTTGGACGTTGATATTATTTGACTTCTGTAAATGCATAATCTGTGCGTTAAGTATTAACTAATCCACACGCTTCATTTACGCGATTTTTCGGAACTTTGTACTCTTTCCATGTGATACTCCGTTTCTGCAAATCCTGAAACCATTTCGCTCGCGCCACATGCTTCTGGATGACTTTGTGGTGGAAGAATTGCGGATCCAATGCGCGCACTTGAACGAAGTCGCATTCACTCATGTGCACCCAACGCGGACACTCCATCATTTGGTTCAGGTATTTTTCCCGGTCGTCAAAGTCGGCCTTTAACCATTTAGCAGCCGCTTCGTAGACATCAACTTCCGTCTACAGCAACATAAGCAACTGACCTTTATCCATATGACTGATTTATGATTCTGTTACAAGGATCAGACCTACCTTCACACATATATGGTTACTGGAAAGAAGTTCGTATATTTGCTGGGGAGTCACTGCAAGAAAAATAAATCCTCTTGTCTTCAGAGTAATGCACGTAATAACGTTATTAAATTTTTTATCTCTATCGCGATTTTATGTTTTCTGTACTTGAACGCTGTCAACTTACGATCGGATAATCCTTCGGCTAGCATTCCATACAAAGCAGCAGCTCTACAACAGAATCAGATTGAAATTTCACCATAGAGACAACTCCGCAAAGGTAATCTGCAAGAAGGGAGGTGAATATCGCCCACACCAAAGTTAAGGACGCGGTGGTCACCCATTATTCATCAGTACCAGAATTAAATAATTTTCTTGTATACTCGTACACTTAAGAGCAACAACGGCACGGTACAACAGTCTCGCACATCATATAAAACATCATAACTTTGAAATTAAACAAAGAAATTACAACCGAAATTGAATTTCGATGCAGGAGAGTTTTGACAGTATATAATCTGTGAAGAGGTCATGGACAACGGGTTAATTTCTAACGTGCTAACGTTCATCCAGAGCAAGCAGAAGCGGCGACAATCAAACAGCTGCTGGAGAAGTGCCGCGGAAATATGGGAAATACCGAATACTGAGGAGGAGCGGCCGACAACGGAAACGTTGTTCATACCTGGCATAATCCGAACGCCCCGAGTTTTCCGCCTAGACCAACAAGGCAAGTGCGGCCACAGAATTCTGCTGATGTAGCCAACACATGCTGCTTTAGAATCGAAAACAACTCAAGGAATGGAACGAAAAGTATCCGGTAAACCGCGAAAAAATCAGCCCGTATTGACCGCAGACTGTCACGTGTCCGGGAAACTATTTCTTTGACAGCACAGCGACTGTTGATGGCGCTTCCTACTTGTAAGTCGCGCAAGTGCGGCGGCGCATACTTCCTGATTTCCTATTGAAGCCTTAACAGTTTAGTCTCAGACCTGGCGCTCACATTTTGATTGTTGGAACTTTCTGTTGTGCCTTTCCCAGAGCGAGGAGGATGTCCAAAATGTCCACTGTCAGTCAAAAGACGAAGTTCTAATGTACTTGTTTAGGGCAGCCGCCGGTAAGCAACAATTGTTTATTTTTTTCGTGTAGGCATGTAACACGCTGGTGCGGAAAAAACATCCAGACTGCCAATTGTCGCCCTGACAGAGAATTTCGACCAGGATACAAATACAGCTAGTGCAATGACAAACTGCCGCATGATTAACTGAACATACGCATATTTTTTTTACTGGAATTTTCAGTATTCTATAGTTACGGAGTTTGACATGGTAAAGGTGTCGTGCGGCTGAAAAAAAGCAGTAGAGATATGCACAGAGAAAAATGCCAGCAACACAAGCGGCAAACATGCCAGTCAAAGGAAAAGTCATAATTTTATGAACATGCATTACCCTGTCCATATAAATTTCGTTATGTTGGTTAAGTCTTACGTTAGTTACCTCAATTTTGTATGTTAGCTTTTGAGTCCTTAATTAATGGTCCAGAGTATTAAAACAAGAACCTCTCGCGTATAGGGCTTATCTATTAGACTTGCGACGCTTAGCTATGTTTTTAAAGTAAAAAGAATGGTTCTTACCCAAATTTTTGAGCCTTTCGGTGAACGCGAATCCTTTCCTGTGGAATGCGTATTTCCGGTTTGTCCGGCTTACCCGCGCTGTTCAGACCGTCCTCCGTTTTGCTGATCAATTGCGCAAAACTGGATTTACGTGTGAGCTTAACCAAGGCTTCGCTTGTTCTCTGCGCTGAATACTTGGGATCACATTCCATGGCGGGAAGACTGTCCGCTGATGGCTTTTCAAAAGGGTCTACTTCTTTCGTGCCATGGACGCTACCGCGACCATGACCTTCCTTCTCATTAACCGCGCGTGACAGGTATGGCATATTTAAGCACTGAGCAATCTGTAAAATGTGTAAATGAAGTCTTTTATTTCTTGATTAGTTAACATTTTTTGTAAGTTCCCGCTTTCGGCTAAATGCGGCATCGCATCTTCTAAAAATGTGAATAAATGTTGATCGCTTTGGCGGTAATTTATTGTTGAACGTGACACATAGCAGTTTTCGTTCGTACTTGCCGTATTTGCTCACTTTGGTCGCTAAGTTTTATATTGCCCGTGTACATCCACAGGATGACCTTTTGAAGAGCTTTAGGATCGGCGCTGATATGGTGCACGTTATCTTGTAAGCTTTCCACTTCGTTTGTCGATTTGCTAGTGTACAGCCGTGATAGTACACTGGAGAAGGCGGCGAGCACTGCTTTATGACCAACGACGGTTTCTCCGCCGATGGACAGTTTAGCATCGCAATTATACGTTTCCTTTTGTTGAACGTACAAGCTGCGTCCCAATTTTGTCGCTGAAAGAAAATATTACTCTACTCTAAAAACTTTTGATAGGCGCAAATTTTTAAAATAAATGCAAAGGACAGTAAATTTATTGCGTAATAACACGCTTTACTTTTTTAATAAATTATGATACACGTATCAGTTGTGCCACTGTGTGCAAGTAGGAATTTAGTTTTACCATGATCAGCCACTTCGTTTTCATTATAGCCTAGTGTGCCACGCAATGACAGCACCTGTGTGGTTGTAAATCGAGTGCCTGGATTGATGCTTCCGATGGGAATAAGGAGGAGGTTACTGTTGATGGGGTCTTCATTCAATGGCTGACAGAGTGTGTCGAACTGTGCTAACTGCGCTGGTGGTTTTGTTCGCTTTTTATTGAAGACTTGGTTGATGGTTTCCTGCAAGCCAATATACAGTATATTGTATTTTATATAGAATGCGCATACCGTACTAGCGAACGCTTTAAAACAGCGTGATAACCACATTCATATTAACAGCAATTTACTCATAATTGATAATTGCAGATAATAATTAATAAATTTAAAGCTAGAATTACAAATTATCACTTTAATGCCAAAGTAAAATGTAATCACAGTGTTTGTCTGCCAACCTCGGAGACAGTCTTCTCCAGCAGGTTTTTTGATTTTCTTAGTGCTTCCACCAGTTCAGGGTCATCGTTGAGCAAGACCTCCTCCACGTAGCAGGCACGGTTGGTGGCACCTTCCTTAAATGTAGCTAATCCCGATAGTTTGTGGTCGGATTTGATGACCTTAGTTGTGATCTTCTCCTCGACCTTGTGTGGCAGTTCTTTGACCTTTTTATTCACAGCTGCCATGGTTAATTTCTGCAGACTGCTGCTACGGAGTATTATTCATCAGTTGTCGTATACACCCTTAGAGTCGCAGTCATTTTTTGTGAATGTTTATTACAATTTAACATACGCTGCGTTTTGACACCTTTTAAAATGTAGTATTATACTTCCAGTATTTTGTATCGCAGTCCGACGCTGCGAAATTACCACGGAAACTTTCGAGTTTCCCTGTCATAGCATACATACGGTTAGCACTTTAATAAGTTGTAGTACTGCACTAGTGTTACACAGCCAGAACAGTTGTATACACTACTGTCACGGTCCCAGTAATTTAAAGAGAAAGCTTAAAGCATGCACACAAGGCGGTTCAACCATTATTATTAATTATTCAAACATTACTTAAAATTAACTGTACACGTAGAGTAAGTACAGTAATCCCACGATCAGTACTAGTGCATTAATTACTGCGATTATTTCGGCTTTTCTAACAAAATGATACTACGCTAGCCGGTAGCATCTACAGTATAATAATTTAAGCAAGTATTTTTACGCTCGCCTAGGGCCGAGAGCAAATAATGCTGCGTACAACGAATACATTATTGAATTTACCTTCAGAATGCAAATTTAGATGAGCATTAACTACGTGGACGTGTACGAGAATGCCTCGCACTTCCAACATCTTCCACTTTGTGCTTCGATCAAGCGCACGGACATTAACTAAGTTCCGTTTACCTGATTTTGGTACGTACTTAATTCGTATTAACTTCCAAGGTTCTGAATTCCTTTTATAAATAACAAAAAAGTAGTTTGATTTATAACTTATTGCTGTTATTACTATTATTATTCGTAAGTGACCGTGACACCGTGAACAAGCACTTATGTCAAAGACTCAAATTTATTTCAATGAAATTAACGAGTAACGGAGTAAGTATAACAGACAAAAAACTAAAGTTTACACTGTGCCCTTCCAAAATAACATTCTTTAAATTTAGTACAGAAGTCTTTATGCAAGCTGCGAGCGCTGATAGACGTAGTGCCCAGAGTACTGGAAAAGTGCCATAATTCGACGCGGATGAGTTGATATGTTTAATTAATTGGCATCGGATATCCGCTTCCAATGGTCCAGTCGCAATTTCGCCGGGGCAGCATTCTGTCTGCCACGTCAAATTATCAGCCAGCACATGGCCACGGAGCTGTACAAGATGCAGCATTACTTATGTTACTGGCAATGGGGAGGAAGTGTTCAGATACACTGGGTGATGAGTACAAAGCGTTTCGCCACTCCGACCCGAGGCACTCACTGCGCGGCATCGCATTCCGCAGCGATCGCCCTTCCATAACAACATGACGGTATTTCTGGCCCGCCGCGCTGACGTCACTGGCAACCTAATTTGTGAGGAAAAATATTTCAATAATTCCAGCTGTTTTTTTCCTAATAGTACCACTCTGTAACGTGTCTAAATCTGTCTCATACGATGAGCGCATACGCATCGAATGCCGACTATTTTTAGTGTCACTCAAGTTTTTGACTGCCAGCTAGCACTTCGTGAACAGCTTCGCACCTTACAACACTATTTTCGATATTTTGTAAATACATTTAACTTTAATTAAAATAAGCTCTCTGCAGGAAAATTGTTTTCTTAGCAAAATTAAAAGCAGCGCGCGGCTTTTCGGTATTGAACTTCAAGTTTCGGCCGCATGTTGTTAATATGCAGTGCCATGAAATGGTGCAAATTGCGAGTACGACCTTTGCAAAGTGGTTCTTTATGCTGATGATCTTGTCGATTGCGGTGCTGTAACTGCAACGTCTGTCTTAAGGGAGACCGCGGCGCAGCGACCGTTGACTTTAATCGCAACTTAATGATTTTTTCGGGAAGAAAATGGGAAACGTGGCCGTGATGTATCTGTGTGTCTGTGTGGCGAACGAGATAGTGTGGGAGAGAAAGCGAAATACTGTTGCAAAGGCTAAACATTTGACAGGAAGGCTGTGATTAATAGTCGGCTGGGTAATTACAGAACAGCACCATAAATAATCAGATTTCATGTTACACTGCTTTTCCTTGCTGTATCAGTTGTAGCAACTTAGAGCCCAGTCCCGCCAGAGAGATAAATCATTTTTTCGATGAAGACTTCTACGCGACACACACATGCACGGCGCTTATGCAACAACACCGTCATAGTGTGTGCCATTCAGTATGCGAACGCTTAACGCCAGCGCATTAAGAGTGTCACTGCTTAATCATTGCTATTTTTTGTGGATCGTATCGATTTACCTAACAGATCAATTATTTTCAAAATGTTGAGCCAGTTAATTAAGATGTTCATATTAAGTAATTCCTTATTACATGCGCAACGCTGAACTTTATAGCCCCAAATTTTATTAGTTTAGAATTGATTGTTTTCTGTGCAGGCTAGCTACGAAGATGTAAAAGATGTAACGGCAATACAGTAAAAGCAGATCCTTGTTCTTCATCAGTTACGGTAAATCATGAGCTAGTCAAAAGTGAAATTATTCCAGTATTCGGCTAGCTTTTCGCAAAAGTTTCAAGTAGGATAACCAGAATGCGCTTTTACGCGGCAGATTTCCGATTGAATTATTGATTTAAGATCATAGCGAAAAGAATATGCGTAACGCACACTCAGCAAACTAACAAATCCAATAAAACAATCGACGAAAGGGGTAGACCGACTAGTCCATTTTACTGGCCATTAGCATTTTAATTATCTGCACTAAAACAAACCCATCCGGCGTCTTTAATTTCCTTATTTCGCGTCAAAGCGAGACTCTGTTTGCCGTGTCAACAGGGAAAATGCTGGCGTCGCGTCGATTACAGAAATGTTTACCCTTGCATGAACCAATGTGCGCAAACCGTATGCGCCATTTTTTCTGCCCAACAATACGGAATTTACGCGACATTAATTGTTCAGTGCAACACACTGTGCTTTCCTTTACCCAGTTGTTTAATGGAATAAATTTACGGCGGGCCGCCGTGTATGCAGCGTCTTTTCAGCCTGTATGGGCGGGAAGCTGATCCTAATCGTTTTATACGTTAACTGCCACGCTGACGTCAATGATCGCCAGACTATTGGGCCGGCGCGCAGTGTTGTGTTGAGGATGCGGATCCCATTCGGGGCAGCGCTGAGTTGGAGGCTTGTTGTAAAATATTGTTATGTCATGGTGAAACCATTAAGTCAACTTGCTTTTCTCATCCAATTTTCCTTCCGACCATTTAATCGTTGGTTTCCTTAATTGCATTCTAACCATCACATGTGTGCGAAAAGCACTACAACTGTGTCACCATGCAGTATAACTATGGGTGTCAAAACAGCGTGACCTTTGTTCGATCGATACAATAGCATAGAGTTTCATGATTCGATGGTACATCAAAATTAACTAATCTGGACTCCAAGGTTTTACACACATTCAACTATGAAATTTGTTTCATTTTGTGCTCCAGCGAACTCTGTACTGCAAATTTACTAGGTTCAGTTCAATAATTTAATAAATCTAATATTCATATAGAGTAAGTACTTAAAGTTTTTTGATTGATGCAAAATTCTATCCTAATCAGAAAAACACATTCGTGACAATTCCTCCGTAGAGGAATTGAATACGTAGGCGGTGGTTATATCATTATTACATAATAAAAATATGCAGTGAAAAATTTGAAAAAAAAGCTAAATTTTACCGTCTCACCGAATTTCTTTTGCACGACTGCAGTATTTTACAAAGGAATTCTAAATAGATCGAAAAAGTGCACCCATACCACCGGACCATCGCTTCCAGTGTTCCCTTTCATTATGGCTACACCGGTGACATGGGTGTAGTTTTTCGATCTATTTGGGCTTCCTTTGTAAAACACTGCAGTCGTGCAAAAGAAAGTCGGTGTGGATACTGGATACTGAAGAGGAAAATACACATTTCACTGATGCCAGTTAAATCGGAACCATCCGTTCATCTGCGTATGAGTTGTCTAGTTCCAACGTGGATTTTCTAGGGTAGAATTTCGGAATGCCTGAACTATTCTGGTGTATAGCAATACGTTATTTTGACATGCATTGTTCATCCTGGACACAGCATTCTTGTCCTGGGAAACAAGCAATTAAGTGTTCCAGTTCAATAATTTTTTTCTGAGCGCAGATAGACTGGAGAGTGAGGTGAGTCATCCGCTAATACTGTCGCAGGACAATAAGAATGCAAGCCTGCTGCCCTACCTGTATGATTGTTGTTGGAATACCGACCGTCTAGCTTTGCGATACATGTACTGAGTGCGATATATGTACTGATGTTCAGCATCTCTATGTACAGCGATACATGTACTGATGTACAGCATCTTCACTACTCAAATGGGAATCCGACAGAGAATCGGCAGCTGAACAGACAGGATTGAGGCTAACCTTTAGTGTCCTTTACTTTCCATCTTTTCCCCGTTAGAGGATAGACAGACGCAAAAGCTCAGAACAGACAGAATCATTCTGACCTTTCACTTAGATGGTTCTGACCTTTCAGTTACACGCTGGATCCTATACTAATATAATATATAGACAGACTACGTCTGCCATATGTTATATTAGGCTTGCCCGTTTCAACCGTGCAGCGCCTACGTAAAACTCCAGTAGCAACTGCATTAATATCATTGGGTCGCACTCACCGCCGCAGAATATAAAAGCACGTCGCTGCGTGTTATCATACAGTACCCAAATGCAGATATCTTACGTAGTAATCCTACGATTCCTATCTATGCAGCAAGCAAACCTGCCGGTGTTTTTAATATACAGTAATGTGATGACTGCCGCACACATGTGTTGGTTTATATATGTGATGGTTTTTAATATTCTTTGTATTACGCACAAATATTTTGCACATTCTTGTCAATGCACAAAACTAATATAATGTATAATCGTTTTATGGAACATCATTCCTTAAATAAGGCAGCAGTCATAGCTGGCTGAAGGTGACAAAGCAGTCCACGTCAATATTTCACACTGATTCTTTGTACTACAAGTTCGCATGTGATCGACTCAAACTATTTAGCGCTTTCAAAACCTCTCAAAAACGCAGTTTATCACTATTTGCACAGTTTAACAAAATTTATCCACATGCTATGTATCGTGTACCGTGCATACATGAATGCTTGTAATTGTGATTTTTGTTTCTCATGATCAGGGAATATTATTAGTACATGCAGATGCAAATCATTTCGTTGTAAACCGCACGTGGCGGATTTCTGTCAGGCCCACGAAAACCGCACTTGCAAAAATAAAACAACCATCATCATGGCAACTTATAAATAATGTTCTTAAGGAAAGTAGATTCTTAAAGAACATGACCCAGAAATGCAGACAAGCTGTAAACATTTCGAAACCACGTCGCTTCTTTTGTAAATTAAGACACTGTCAATATTTATGTTACATATTTCATGCTCTTTTGGAAGACTTCGACATACTCGCTGGTCTTGGCGCCATAATTTTATCCTTTAGCGTTTCATTTGCGCGTCACATTGTACGTAACTATTTAGTATAATGCTGAAATAAAAAAGATGCTGTAGTTATTCTGTATTACCAGGGCTGACGTAAAATAGATTAATTCATTGTCGCTTGAACAGTTGGCAACAGTAACCGATTGTTAATCGCTTTAGAAACCGTCCTTACAAGGAAAGATTTTTGTACGATATTATGTAAATGTGAATAATTTATTTCTTTGTTGTCTCGCTTAGAGGAAAAAAAGAGCGCCTTGAGGAAAGGAACGCTTGACGATTGGCATGGTAGAAAATGCCAAAGACCGGCCGGAACAACAGCGGGCCAAAGAAACATTTTCTCTTGAATATGATTAACAAGATAACAAGCGCCAGTGCACACACACAGAACCGTCTCGGGCTAGTCGGATTGCAGCTTCCGGTTCGTATTGAGCCAGCTCAGTGGCCTTATCGGATGATGGATCGGATTGCCGTGGCAGCGACAAGAAGCCATAGTTCCTGTCCTGCTGCGGCCACTGCCGGCGTCTTCCCCGTACACACACATATTTAATATCCCCCGCGCACGCTCGCACTTCTCCACGGCGGAAGTCACTAGCCCGGCCCGGCTATACAACACAGATATGTTTTTTGGAGAGTGCGCGACCGAACAGTGCGCGCATGTGCCCATCTCCACGAAGATGCTATTGAAAAAATAAAAATAGACACTTCGCCATGTATACCAGCTTAATGGCCTTTATAAAAACAAAAAACCCGTCCAGGGCGTGTGAACACGCGCCGTGCGGCTCCATTCACTGGCAAGCGAGTGGGCGGTGCTGGCCAGAGCCGTGTTCACTAGAGTGCACATTTTACTGACGGACGCCAATTGCCATTTCCGAAGTTTTCCCTCGTCACCCACTGCGCTAGCATGCGCGGCCGGAATGTGTTTCGCATGGAAGCAGTTTTTTGTGCTCTTTGCCCGTAGTTGACTCATAGTGGTAACTGGTAGCATGGAGGATTCCTCGAAGGAAAAACTATACGGCTCCATAAAGTACGTCATGGATAGATGCATTTGGCACTTCCGAAACGTCACCTGTGAAACGGGATCCGCGCACTCGCGGGCATTTCTAGACATCTTACTTTCTGGTAATTGCAAGTTTGACGCTGATCTATGCATCACACCAAAAGGGCTCCGAAACTGGCTATTCAGCACAAGCAAAAAAATAGTATCGAAATTTTATAGCAAAGAAAACTGCTTTGTAAGATTGGGTAAGGTGATTAGCGTGACCTTGATGGGTGGTCAAATTTACTCTGAATCGAAGCGAACGAAACGTTAACCGGAAGGAGGCGCCAGCTGTCAAATTCGATTGAAAAATAAAGTTGTTAACAATTTGGACATTATTTTGCAAGTGCTCTGTGCAGTGTACACTGTAATGCAATGCAGAGCCAAATCCGCGGCGGCATTTCGTTAGCTGATGGTGCGATGTGATATCGTTTAGGAATTTGAGCGTAAATGACGCCCCGGCTTTTCTTCCTCATTCTTCGTGGCTTGATGAGCGATACGGACGATTCTGATCCGGCCTAACTCCTTGGATCGGAGAGTGCGCTGGTTAGGCGCAGGCGCGGGCCGAATATTCTTAGTTCCTCATCCTTCATCGCTTAGCTTCTGCTCAAGATCAACGCTCGCTGTGCCGTACACGCATAGTGCGAGGCAGCCATGCGATGCCATCTCCCACCAGTACGCATCTCACTTTCGGCAGGGCACCCGCACACATTCACAATTACCCTGTTTGGCATACTGTCCTTGATAAGTCGCTGGCAACATTAGTGTTCTGGTTCGAGAAGAAAGCCAGTTGTCAGTTTGTGATCGGACGATGAAAGTCACAACGCGAATGTCGAAAATGCATTTAGTAAAGCATTGTGAAAAATATAATATTACGTACTAAAGTTGACCGGTTATACGAGTACAAACAAGCCGGAAAGATACAGAGTTGTTTTCTTCTAAAATTTACTAAAAACATGAGATGTGTACTTTCTTTCTTGTAGCCGGATTAACGGTCATACAGAAGAGGGCTTGGTGTGCTTAGTCAGACATTTGTTTTTCATGGAGTTATCTACAAATATTCATATAGATATAACTACAACAGAACAGAAAATTTCTGTTAAAAAGGTTAAGTAAGACAAGCGACGATAGCTGTAAGAGCGGCTAAAAGGAAAGTATGGAAACCTGAGTGTCTTACATATATACAACGCAACAATCACTATAAATGGACGAAGAAATGAAATGAATGAATATGCATTGAGACAGCGAGGCGTCCAGTACATGTACAGTACAGATATATCGTCTCGATTATGCTACTCACGATCGGAAAACATTCATTTATTCGCGGATCCTCCCAAAGAGTGGTCCGGAACCGGGCTGGATGGGAAATGAGCTAAGTAGGGACGTATGTATGTACCTTATAACACACAACATACTGGCGAGTGGTGCGATTTGAGAGACGATCTCGGAAGAGCGAGAAGAGAGTGTATGAAACTGCATCTGAAGCACCACTAGTTGGCCCGATCGGGCAGCTAGCTGGTAGCGTAACTTCTCCACCGGTACGTATCAATCCATCCTTATTGTATTTGCCAGACGGAAACCGGGCTTTTTTGCCAATTATAACTCCCAGCAACCGTCTTATTCGTACGCCCGCCGTGCCGATTCCGATACATGCCGGCATTTTGCTGTCATTCTGTTCTCCCGTGTATACACTCTTGGTAACTCTTTTTATTGCGCATCCTCCTTCCCATCCAGTTCTCCGTCGCCGCCGTCTCGTTACTGTCCATCGCGCGGCAGCCCAGTGCGTTATTGAGTCTTCTTCGTTGTTGATTCGCCGCCCGTGTGTATGCACCGCTGATCCGTCCCGGACCGTGTTGTATGTGTGTTTTGGATATTATATGATGATATGTGTGCCGCTGCTGCGTTAACGTTGCACCTTGACATGTGCCGTCGACGACCCGGCACTGGCGACATCCGCATGGATAATTAATTAAGACAAAGCGCTGATTCAAGTGAAATCTATGGGGACCAGGTGTGCTTTATCAGCTGCCAATGTCAGTATGGACCCTTTCTTGATCTGCATCCCGTCACCCTTCCCGCTTCTCTTACAGCGTTGCCACATGTTGCCGTCGCTCCTCATAAGGTTAAATCACTTTGCCGTGTATGATTCCATGCGCCCGGGTACACGTTGTCGTGGCTGCCAGAATTGTTGATTTGTGCGTCCCCGCGCTGGCGTTGCCTTGATGCCGGCATTTAGTATTATTATTATATAGATTTCCCATGAAGACCTTTTTGTCAACCCATCGACATTCGGCTTTCAGTATCCTAACGGCCGGCAGCGACACCGGCTGGTGGGGCGCTGTGCATCGGCATCCCGCGTGAATGTCTGCTGTACATAACGGCACATTGACCGGAAACGATCTACGTTCGCTATTTGTCCAGGCGCGCGCCTTTTCTGTGTGTCGCGCGCTCGGCATTGTCCTGGTTATGATCATTGTTTATCTGGATGAGTGGGATCAATGCGGCCATTTATACTCTCTCTCCCTCTCTATGCACGGATCCGACCATCCGCCCAGCGGCTTAATCTTTGATTAAGGGAGCCGACGTGTACTCACCGTATTCCTGTTTTTTAATGCCGCGTTCGAAGTAGTCTGCACCCGATCTCGTCTGTACTGCGTCTGCCTCGAATACAATGCGGAAATTCTCTGCCAACGACAAATGCATGAAATGTCGCTATTATTGCAAGAAGTTCATCGCCTTTCTATTTTCTCATATTGGATTATGTGGCCTGGTGGTGGCATATGTCATACTGGGTGCGATTACGTTTTCTTCTTTAGAGGTTGGTCTGCACGGCAGTGCGCATTCGCTCTGGATATGCGAAAGTAGTGCATAAGCGTACCGCGTAGCATTTAAGGCTGATCGTTGTCTTTAAGGATTGCAAATCGTCAAAAATAACAACATGCTCCTAAACATAATTATCCGCTGCCGTATCCAGGCCCAGTCAGTGTAATCGTACATGGGAGACAACCGTTGTGAAACTATTGCGCTTGATAGCATTTTCAGATGACCGCCATTTCCAATTATAACTGTTCCGTTTATGTCAAATCATCTTCGTCGAACAACAGTTTCTCACTAGAATAAAAATGTGAAATATTTGTCATAAAATATTATTTATTTAGACATAAACTAAAATCTCACGAAAGGTAATTTAACGTGTATTTAACCTTTGTTGTGGTTGTCTGTTCTGCTTAAAATTCTCAATAACTGCTCGTAGTAGTCTACACTTAATTAAGCAGTTGAGCGGCATGCATACAGTGAAATGGATACTTTCAAAATAAGAAAATGATAATTTTAATGCAATGTGTTTATGTTATGAACCTCACAAACTGCTTAACACATCCATTTATATTCATGGCGATTATGAAAACTGGGATATGGCGAATAATGATGTGGAGGATGTTGCGCTGGCATTGTTAGCTTAATTCAGCATGTGATTCTTGGCGCGTACGGATCGGTGCGGAGCCGGGACGGCGAGCGCGCAGGACTCTTGAGTTATATAGCTAACACATTAAGACCGCTATTTATTTAAGCTAAAACTCGCCCTTTTATTCCACTGTACTCTCATTCAAATCAGCCAGAAATTTTCCACTATTCCCTGTTTGTTGAAGCCCTTGTGTTTTATAACAGTACACACGGCCAAGCATGCAGCATGTGAATTACTTGCTCCACTGCTCGTTTCAACGTTGTCCACACTTCAGGGAATACTACGCCGAAAAGAACACTATGGTGTCAAAGGAAATCCCGCGTTCCCCCTTATCAAATTCTGACTTACAGAATTAGAACTATGTGCACAATTTAAAAATCAGGAAAATATATAAGCTCGTGAAATGATACATCTTTCTTTTGATTATAATTGAGTCGTACACGCAATTGCTTGTAAATAATTTAGCTTGTACTGTTTTTATAAAAAAAAACAATTATGCTTGCGACACAGCCACAGCAGTTACTTACGGTAGTTAATACACTACAAGTAATTAATTACAGTTTAAATAACTAATATTTTGAATTACATAACAGAACTTTCTAGGGTTATGTTAGCGGTTAAACATACAGATAAAGTGATAGGGCGGATGATAAGTCTTACGGATTCAGTTAGATATCGCAAAATATTAAATATCTCAAGTTGAAAATCATATCGGCCTGTAGTTTACGGTACTTAGAAATGCATCGTTACATTAGCAAATTTGCGCTAATAGAACTATAAATACAAACTGTATGTATTGTACATACATGTACTTGCAATCGCTTCGGTATTAATGTAACGAAGGAAACTGTGTTTTCATGATGAAATCTGTATAAGGTCACATTCTGACTGAGCTTTTGACTGTTTTTACTGCTTCAGTATTTGGCCTGTTTGCGCTTTTGCAGGCTGAGGAGGAACGGCTGACAAAAGTCCGTGTACAGGAACTACACAATCGGACGTTAGACGACTTTTGGAACAGCACCGTGGAGGAGTGGAACAACCTGAGCCTGGTCCCAGCCGACGACACAGGAAGGGATTATTATGAGCAGGTAAAAGCCCGGCTGACACCACTTCCGGTGGCCGACTAAATAAAAGCGCCACGGTAATTGTTGCCGTGGAGTTGATTGCAGTGGACAAGCCAACATGGAAGGGTGTTGTAATAACAGGAAATTGCGTGTGTAAACCTTGTCAAAATTATCCTACAGTTGTGTTGGCAGGACAGCCAGTTAGACAAGACAAAAGCATCCCGTTAGGATGTCAGTGCACACACTGCCTTGTGTATAATGTAGTATATTGGACAATGTTCCCGGATTTTTCCTAACAGAATTACTGTCATCAAGGCTGGCATCATCGTCAATTAGTAGATCATTCTACAAATCAAAATCGATACTTTGTCTCTGATGCTGTTTCCGCCTTTTCATCAATGGCGATACATCCATACATACTTCTGCATACACCCAACCGAAGATGTGCGGGCAAAAAACAAATGCTTGCTAACTAAATGGACCAATTGAATTTGCTGTGCAAATCGATTATGGAGTGCTGTGTGTTCTACAGCGCTAACGAGAAAGGAAAACGATCATATTCCTTTGTTGGCTCATATTCAACAGGGCTTTTTCTATTGTTCATTCAGTGCGACAGAAATCATTGATCTCATTAATTCCCTGCTCAAATATCACAGCATTTACGCTGACAATTTTCAGGACTTTTTCAATTACGTTCTACGTAAACAATAAAGCAAAATGCTGTCTGTATCATAATCACTTAGGGTCTGTGTCAAAATCATGCGACAAAAAATCGTTAGACGAAAGTGGACTTTAGGTAAAACGTTGTAAGGAATTGCGCATACAATCGAATTTCATTTACATAAAATTAATAAGGACGGGGCAGTTTTTTCGGCTGAGAACGTTGTTATATCTCACAGAGGCCACTTCAGCCCGTTACCAGCAGCAGTGCGACACCAACCATCAATCCGGCCCAATTAGACCGCTTACGGCGGGACGTTACGCGTGACCTTTGGAATATCACATTAGAAATGAATGTGTTATTTGAGAAGAACTGGACGACGCTGGTCAATGAGCGGATAATACAGTATCAGAAGGAATTACTGGCCATGTTGTTGAACGATACTTTGCCGTTGAAGAATGCCTCCTCATCGGCATCCATGCCTAATAGTAATAACAATCTTGTCATAACGCCCAATTATACGTCCATTCAGCACGGGGATTATGCGGCTAGCGGTGCACGAGTAAAGGACTCTTTACGGTCTAAACTGTATGCTTATGAGGCGGAAATCTTCAAGGAAGTCCGACAGCATGGTTATGACGGGGATGCCACGGATGCCTCTATGCAGTGGTCAATTCCGGGTGGACTGCTCTATTCCCTGACCGTAATTACCACCATCGGTAAGCGATCATATGTCCAGATAAATATTTGCTCTGACCCAATGAAAATTCAATCTTCCGTTCAGTTTTCCATGTATCCGCTAAAAACTTTTACTGGAAGTTTATTTTGCTCATGAATTTTTGGATATCACAAGGAAAGCTAGCTTTGCTATTCAATATGCAATATCACCAGTACCATCGCGGTAACGCTACATTGAAGGAAAAAATCCCCGGGCCCGAAATAAGGCACACTACGGCGTCAGGAGTTATTTTCGTTGCTAGTACTAGTACTGAAGCTTTCGGAGTAATATATTAATTTTATGAGACGATTTATGCAGGTATCAAGAGGCGCTTTTAACTGTTTACGCGTGCAGTGGTTATTGGGTAAACAAGCAGTAAATGCTTAAACTAATTACCGGTTGCGATTATGCAACGCAGACCGTATCGCAAAATCCCCTGCAATCCGGGGCTGCCGTAAATTACCAGGGAAAGTTTGTGCTATGACGTCAGGAGCAAGAGCGCTTAATCGTGTGATATAACCCGTGTGAGTGTGCATGGCATATGGTCAATATTAGCCAACACTAATATTGTTGGTTTCGATCTTCTTAATCGAGCTTTTTTTGCATTATGCTGCTCCTTCACTCGAGACACGAAAACTTCCCCGGACATCCAGGGATACTATCGATTAGCTATCTTTCTTGTGTATGTTTTCTTTTGCAACAAAAATGCACTAAACGCGCCTTGCGCAGCGAATCAGTGATACAGAGCGATAATATTTCGGAACCAATGTGATACACATAATTCAGTGACCTTTGCTAGCTGTAACCCTGTACGCTGAGTTCTGGTTTATTTTGTTAGTTATTCAAGGGAGCGTTTACGAATGGTAATTTTGAATCCACGGGAAAAACTTCTGAATCACACTTTTAAAATTTCCACAAATTTTAATGCGGGAAACTGTAAATGTCTGTAATCACACTCGCACAAATCAGAACCGATTTCGTTTCACCGAGCGCGTGCTTCTGTTCTGCATACATCGCCTAAACCTTGCTCCAAGATTTTTTCGCATTCACTTCGTGTTATCCATGAATGCATCTTTTAAAATAAATATAAAAAAATGAAAGTGCCAAGCACCTCAAAATTTTGGAGCTTTTCGAAATTACCAAAACTGAATGCTAAAATTATCAAAATAATGTTTTATTAAAACTGCTATTACATATTACATAAGTACGTAGTCGAGGGAACCGATTTTGCACGATGAAATAAAACGCTTTTATAAAATTTACACTTCTGCGTGGACAGTTCGATTTGAGTTTAATATGGCAAGAATTTTTTCCTTGCATTACTGTCAAACGAACCATAAATCTACTGTCGAACTGCCTGTAAGAATCCCACAGGTTTTAGCGGGAAATAGTGTGGAATATGGGACAAGTTAACGGAAAACTCCTGCTGGGTGTGATTTGGCAAATCACTACTGGAGCAAGTTGCACCAGTTAATTCTGCCCGAATGGCCATCCATCATGCGGTTGTTCAGAGGGGTTAATTAACGCCGTATTTTTCTTTTTTCCTCCCCGATCATGATCGCTGCGCATTTTGCATTACTGCAGATACTGCATTCACAATACGAGTCTTCCATCGCCATTTTCATTTGCATCGTGTCACGCGATCGAGCAAATTTTTCCAAGAAAATTGAGATGTCTTGATGATTTGATAATGGATTTCATACAAAAAAATCGCTAACTTGACTTGTTCTGGAAACTCGTTTTTGTGAGTAACACTTATTATTGCGTCCAACTTCGCTAAGCGCACGCACATTTCAAATCTGAACAAATCAAAATTTTAGAATCTTGTTCTGTATTTGTATGATATAACCGGTGGTTCTAATTATTTACTTGGTTCTAAACGCGTAAAAATACAACATCCACAATTTTTTAATTTTATCATTGTGTATTCATGAAAAAATAGTTTAACACTTGGAAATGGAACAGATATGTCAGATCACTAACCATAAGCACCTACGGTATCCATACTGGACCGTATATGCTTGAAAAAGATGAATTACTGCTAATAGAAGACAGCGCGATATATTTCATCACATTGCTAGTATTACACGACCGTCCATTATAAAATCGCTCTGAGCCTGAGTTGTCGAGATTGTGCTTGGTCAAACTGCACAATTATTACTGGCAATCAGTATGAAAAGGCATGGAACTGTAATTTAATGAACGATGACATTCCCTTCCTTTTTAAGCGGAGCTGCAGAGCCGCGCGTTCCCACTAATAACAAATCGTTATGCTTACGGCCATCAGTTATGGCTCGACATCTATCTTTACCAGCAAAACGTTGTCGCACGACCGTGTTTTTGGCTGTGCACTTCTTCCGACCCGGCATGCCGAGACTTGATTTTTGCTTCTGGATTATCTCGCAAACTAGAGCGTTACTAATTTTCTCCAACCGTTATATAAACGATGCTCGTTGTTTTGGAGTCTCACTTCCTGTCCATTTTAATTGTTTCACTACCACACAACACCAACAGCTTACATAGTTCTCCAGCATTGCGATAAAATTTAGGTTAAATTGTTAGCTTTTCTAATTTCCATATATCTGCAACCAAAACCATTTGTATACTGATTGTGATATGATCATGTGCACTAAAAACAGACGCTTTGATTTTAAGGTTAGCTGCAAATTTGCCGTTTAAAACTTAGCAGCACTTCCGCTTGTGTCAAAAATCCCCAATTTTGTTCAATGAAAATTAGAATTACCAAAAACAAAGAAAGAATAAAATTTGTGCTAGAATTGAGATCCTACCAGGTATCGTTGCGCTTAATTTTTTATGGGCCATTACACTTCTTACTGCTTAGCTGTTGCTTATCAGTTTCTGCTCTCGACCCAAACGGGAAATCCTTTCCCAACCAGTATAACAAATGCTGGAGATCGGCAACCCAGGGAGCGGGTTATTTCATGTGCCGGCGAAAAACGAATGGCCCGCTAATCGACTTAAGTTTGTTTGAATAAGGTCATGGTGATACAGCTGTTATTAGCATATATACCACCAATATTCATCATGCGTGCGTTATGTGCACATGTGCTTACCGTAAACATCTAATATATGAAACATAACTATAAATATATAAAACAGGGTATAGGGATATCGGACATTACATTATAAAATATCCGATATCCATATAATATAGACCCTGTATTATTGTTGAGTAATGATTCGAGTTCGCTCGCTCTGTTTTTGTCATGTGCGCCCTTGAACGACTAATGGGTTGCTGCACATGGTTTTCCGGAAACAATATCAATTTCCTATTACTAATTTTGATAATTGTAATGTGCGAGCAGTGCTGCGGAATATATACGAAAAATCGCTGTAGCTTAATCGACCGTTAATGTCGGCATATTCCTGATTATTATAGTGCCTTTCGTGTCTATCCAAGAAGAAAACTGATAATTGTCATGAAAGACGAAATGGCTGAATTTGAAAAAATATGATATAAAGAATTTAATTTTGTGTGCGGGATGTCGGGGTTGAATAAATCTTTTACAATGGTATTCAGCTGTGCTTGTTGGAAAACTTTTACAGCATTATTGCTGTATATAGACTGATTCCTTGCGCCATCCTTTTAGAGAATGCTCTACGAATCGAACTTCCACAAAGTGTACTTGTAGAAAATTTTGTATATCAGTGCTTTATTAACTTAAATTTTTTGTATTTCTAATTTACACAATTTGCATTCACTGTGAGATGCGTGCCTATCTGTACTTACAACATTAATATGAATGACATATTGCTAAGTATGTGTATAGTGCATAATATTCAAGGCTTGTTAGTGGCATCCTCCTTTATTCGCTGTTATTAAACATGCATTTCGGATAATATTATCTGAATCAAATATTTGCGTATCCCTTCCGGCACGTGAACAAGTACATCATGCCAGCCTATTGTGCCGGCGAACAACACGAATGATTAAATTGGAAGAATCGTGCAATGACCGGGGATAAAAAAGCAGACATTGCTTCTTGGTTGTATGTTGTGCCCAAGTAGAATGTTGCTGCGTATACGCACTGCCAGCTCAGTGCAGGAAAGGCAAAAGAAGGGAATTGCTCGATTATCTATCTGTCTAGGGACGGGAATTGAAAAGGAATGAACGATGCATTTTGCCGGAGTGTTCTGTGTTGCAATAGCTAGCAGCATTACAATCTGGCTTGACATGGCGTTTGTATGGGAATACGTATATGGAGACGCAGTCTATAATGTACATGTCGTCCCGATTGTGCCTCCATTGATTTTCCCTGGCCTGTCTCTATCTCGCTCTCTCTTGGCGGCGCACAGCAATTCGGCTTTTGACCAGAGCATTTGCATTTTAAAAAACACCCAGGACCCATGTCAAATCCTGCCTTTCAACAGCCAACAAATACCCGCTCCCCGGAGTCAACTTTCAAAATTCACATAATATAATCAAGGCTGATTTTCCTCCCTTACACATTTGGCCAAATACATAAATAAATCATTCCACTTAATACCCAGGCAAAAATTTTCTTTCACTCGTGTACCAATGTCGAAACCCGGCAAACGACTGAAAATTTACGTTGTTACTGTTTAATTATACAAAAATTGCTCTTGTAAAATGAACAAATTTAGCAAATAGCAAATAAATTTTGATATTTTAAACTCACAAATTATTTATTCACAAGGCCGTACATCTTGGCATTGCAATATTCTACTTTTATAAATTAAACAAATTTACAGTATAAAAGCGGTACACGTTATCAACATAACTTCTGTGAACATGCTACAATTCCATACCTGTGCAGCTTTCACATAAGTGTTATTTATGGGCACTAATATAAGTGCACGTATGCTTTACCGGCGATCGGGACTGTGAATGTCCGAGTCAGGGTTTGACCTAAAAATCTCGATTTGTAGACATTCGATGCATCAATTAGTAGTTTACAGGGAATTAAAATTGAAAATACCGTCTAGCGTAGTTGACGTATTTACAACTTGCCGTTACGCACTTGGCCGGAATCCGGCCGACTATGCGGCGTTTGGCACGAAGTAGCATTCCATGAGAAAATTTACATGATTAATCATTCCACAAACTTAATAGAGATGTATTGCTAAAGATACACTTCGTGCAAGCCGCGCAAATAGCATAAACAAGCAATTACAGCAGCACGTAAAATTTTGATTACAGATCCAGCATTTGTATCGTCTTAAAGCAGTGACCACCAGCTTGACGGCTGTTGTTTTGTTAAATGGCTTTTTTTGCCGCATCCAGTTCAATTTGTACCACGTAAAGTGCGTTGACAAAATGCATTTGCAGTCATTTTTTGCCACTATAACAAGAACTATGCTAATAATAAATTCTACATCAGCATACTGAAATTTTAAAACAACGCTAATTTAGATGATGTGAACGCAGCGCGTTGCCTTTTGCTAAACATACTGAATTAAAAGTTACTAATTATATCATGTTTGCAGGTTATGGCCACATTGCTCCGAAGACTGTCTGGGGAAAGTTAATAACAATGCTGTACGCCATTATGGGCATTCCTTTGATGCTGCTGTGGTACGTAGCGGGATCTGATTTTAACACAAAGCACGAATTTTTATTGATATTAGTGCAGGCATTTGTGATTTTGGAGGTTGCTACGAATATTTTGAGCAAAAAAGAAGCAGCAACACAATTATTTTGTTTTTGAATGGGAATTACCTTGAAAGGTCAATGGGTAATCTGTACGACAAAATTATCTGTGCGACCAGGATTATTAGCGCATTTTGCAACTGGAATAGTTATATGACAATTTTATAGCTGCATGGTTGGTACGTACTGCTACGTTTGAAGTACGAGCATGGATTAAGTTTTATTACTTTAATAAATTATTGAAGTGACGAGCCAGTTTCACAGCATAGTGGACAGACTGCCTGGCACTGCATAAGCGGTCGCACATGCTTATCTATGGAGCTAATAGGGATACCTTTTTCTGTTTATGATAACAATTCCGTTGCGTTACAGTTTAGCCAATATTGGCGACGCTCTCGCTCATGCCTTCAAGTTTTTCTACTGGAAAATTTGTTGCCTATACTGTGAGATTAAAAAGCGCCGGAAGCGCCTAATGCGCATCCAGAGCGTACGCATGTCGCGCAAATCAAACCGCTCCCCGGTGGCGTCCATGGTCAACAATGTGGGCCTGCACAGTATGCACTCCAGCTTCAAAACCAAACCCCCCTCGGTCATCACCAAGCCGCCTTCCGTCATCATACCGGAGAAGCCGACGGAGCTGCTGCTGCCCAACACCCACAACAGCACCCTCATCAAGATCAGCTCCACACCGGAGAACCGCTCCCTGGACGATAAGTCGCCCAGCTCACCCGACGCGTCGGCGACCACCACCGAGGTGGCAACCACCAGCGTCAACAATGACCCGGCGGCCACCGAGCGCGACGCAATGATCAGCACGAATGGCAGCGATAACAATAATAATCAACTGAGTAATAATCCTTCCGTGGTGGTGCGCGAAGTGCCCATTGCCGTGGCCGACGACACGGACATCATCATCGACCAGCAGGACGACGGCATGACCATCAGCCTGCCGCGGGCGGGTGACCGGAAGATGAGCGTGTGCAATATGCCGCCGGAGAGCATCGACGGGATTGACTACGTGGACGAGTCGCCGCAGCCGTCGCCCACCCATCTCTCGCCGGATGAGACGACGGCCGTGATTGTGCACGATGTGGTGGACGACGATGACCAAATGGGAGGGGATTTTGAGCCGCGCTACGAGAAGCAGTCGGTGCCGGTGTACGTGTGTCTGTTGGTGGTCTTTGGTTATATTGTCGGCGGAGCGATATTGTTTGGATTCTGGGAAGGCTGGGAACCTTTAGATGGTGCCTATTTTTGGTAAGTTGCACATGTCCGTCGCATGTGTATCATGCTGGTTACAGCGTTAGCCGACTCTTCACCTCACAGATCGAGGGCGCCGACAGTACATTTAATCCAATCGGATTTCTCACCCATTTACACTTTACTGAATAGGTTAAGATCGTCTGAGCTTTGTTATCGAAAAAGGACAATCTGTTTTTGTTACTTCTTTTACTGAACGTTAGTGTTTTAAAAGAAAAATATTGTTGAAGATATTTTTTTCGGGTGTACGTCGTTGGAAGATTAATTTACTCAAAAACTGTATTTGGATCGAGCTACATACGTGTATTTTACAGTTCTCACTAGTACTTCTATACTTTACAAGAAAACGTTTTCGATAGTGATCGATGTCGGGTAGGCTTCGTGTCGCCGCTGATCTACCACCAACATTTCTTTAGTTATTCGGAAATTCTTAAGGAGTTGAGCCGTAGAAAGTAAACAATTGTATGCATGCGTTGGTCGCTCAAGCACATTTTTTTGCCCAGTAAATTTATGCCGGTATTGCACATTGACCCGCTTTTCTCCGTCTGCGGTCCCAATGTTTGTCCATAGTTGACATTTTGGAGGGTGAGCTGGTGACGTAAGCAGGGGATGAAGTGTGCATACACAGTTGGATTGAAGAGCGAAATGTGAGCTGGCGCGATGGACGCTCAAGATATAAGGGCGCAATTAAGGCGGCTGCCAAAGGGAGCCTGGCATGGCGTGTTGGGCGCCCTGTTTATAGTCGGGCCGCCGACTAACGACCTTTTTCCGTGCGGCACACACAGTACAATGCGGCACGGGACAGTTTCCGTGCTGACAACGCCTTCTTTCAACGATGTGCATGCTGTTCGCCATAGGGAGAAAAAACACACCGGGTCGCCCAGTTGAATGCAGAGGAAATGTTTACGATAGGGAAGGTCGTGATTCTATTCATCCCTATTTTTATCCATAAAGTTGGCAAAACTTTCATATATAGCAAGCTATTTTCGGAAAATCCATAATTACTCGCGGACCGGTAGGCCGTTGCACGTTGAATTACAGAATTACTAACCGGCAAACCGGGTACTATGTAATTACATGTACAGTAGTCGACAGGTCAATGTGCCGGCAGTTCCTTTTTTTAAGGAATGTAGCTTATTTAATTGTTTCTTTGCAGTTTTATTACATTGACTACAATTGGATTTGGTGATTTTGTGCCGGGTGTGAGCTCGAGCGGACGCAACGTGAATAGCAACAGCGAGGAGAAGTTGACCTTATGTTCCCTGTATCTCGTATTCGGAATGGCGCTGCTGGCCATGAGCTTTAATTTGGTCCAGGAAGCGGCTACGGAGAAGGCCAAATGGATAGCCAGAAAAATTGGGATATTGTCCGATGATTCCGAAGAAGAGGACTAATCCTTCTCAGTATACGAGTATATTCAAAAACAACAAGTCCTTCCTTGCCAAATACACACCATCGCCAATATTACCTGTACATATTTGGCGCATGCATGAAGAGTCTCTGTTCGTATAATTGACAGAGAAATGGATACTTGCAATTGTGATCCACTTTGGCCGCTCAACAAAAAAACCTGGACACTGTGTACAGAGAAAATGAACATTAGCGCATGAAATGCCACATTCGGGGGAAACTTTATCACCGCGCGAGATTGAGACGAGAGAGCAGCACACAACACACGGCAGTTTAGCCTTTGACCGCTGTTTCTTTTCAATGAATCTCCTTTGCTTTCGATGACAAAAAGCATTATTGATGGGGGGAAACGAGTGGCGGATGCCGCTGATGAAGAGAAATGATCCCTCTTTTTTGCCGGCTCTCGTGCGAGACTGTGATCGTCAATCACGGTATACAGATGTGTGCAACTGCCCAACCAGCACACACACAAACTGCATACAGCAACACATACATCTCGGCAAACTCCATTCTCCCGCTAATCGAACGTTGTGTCTGGGATTTTTTGAATCAAAAACACAAATGCTTTGTACATTTGATCTGTCCTACTGCAGTCTGGCTGTTGTGCACACACTGTAGAGTGGCAGCATGTCAAAGCGCTTTGAATACTTCATGTTGTTCATTTGGCCCAAATGATCTTCAGGTTGTATAATAATGACGGTCCTGTACTCACACCTGCTACAATGATACGCGACATCATATGCTATTGTCGGTTGATAATGGCAGACATAAAATGGGAATTAAAACAAAAAACGTTTGCCTTTGCAGCTCGATTTCATCAGATGTTCGTACGTCCGGTTGTCAACAACAATATTGTTAATTAACATCCGCTCTGAGTCGCTCATCTTATACAAATACTCGTACGCGATTTCTTACAATTATCAAGGAAAGGGTCCGTACTACGTAGGCCTCCTCACCGTTTGGAGATCTCACTAACCAAAAATTCCGCCAACCAAAACGCCACTATCAGAACGGCCATAGTCGAGTATTGCGTCTGATGATTTCTAAATACGCCCGCTCAGAATCGTGCCGACGTGATGCTGCAGTTCGCTCAAGGTGACCTTAACAGTAGGAGAAAGTTGTTGAAGGAACTTTATACTTTGCGCAGATATAACGGTAAAAATAAAAAAAAGTATCACCGGCGAGGGATTAACGAATGAAAACCTTATTTCTTACTTTGTTTAGCTAAAGCCACAACCGAAAAAACAACCCAGACACTAATCACAGCTATGAATTTTTTAATACATGCAATCCACGTTTTCCTTTTGAAAACGTTTTCAGTTTAAGAAAACTCACAAGGATCCCGTGGTGTAGGACTGTGTGTATTAAGAATTAATTCTAAAACAAAATTTCAGTTCAAGAACGTTTACAAGAAACCACGGTAGCGGTATGCGTATCTGGTTCTTTTTTACACCTTTCTGAAAAAGATCAGAACCTGATACAAAGGTAACAGAGTTTATGGCATATTATATGGGTAATAAACAAAATGGCTGATTCAAGGAAATTACGATTATTCTAATGATCTAATCAACGGTAAAGATATGCAACCTGGAAATTTTTACTATTAGTAACTACTTTGGATTTCTCAATACTTTGTCACAGCAGGTGATAAGTCGCTTCGCAAACTGATCATACTCAGTACATACCACGTTCAATAATTTTTCGCTGAAATACGTACAAATAATTACTGTACAGTGTAAACAAGCATAAAAAATGGCTGACAGAGTTTCGATTACAAAAATTATAAAAATTTGCAGTTTTAACCTTCGAAGCACATATTCATCATAGCTGAAGCATGCAATATTGTACAACACAGAAAACATTCAACAAAATCTATTGTGCAAAAATTAAAAATGTTCAAAATTGTTCAAAATCACGGGCCACTTCAGGGTCAGTACGAACGCAACGGCTTTCCTCCTGCCAACTGCGATAATTCGACAAAACGGTATCCTTTCTCGAGGGCATCCCTCAAATCTCCCACTATTCGACCACGAATAAACGCCATAAACTCTCTAAAACAAAATGTAAAAAGTAAGTTTTCAGCTATGCTTTTTTTGGAAAGCCAAGGATGCGACAGCTAAATAGACAGCACGCAAAAACAGGACAAATTTTAGCGCACATAATCGCCAACATCACAATTACTTCCAACATGCTATCAAGCAACGTATATAACTTACAAACAGTCTGGCGTTGAGTCCATCGGTATGAAACGCAGACGAATATCGTCGGTAACTTTGTTGGATTTGGTATCGTTGATTTTCACAAAGAACCGGAACGGCTGGATGACCGCGGAAGGCGATTCGCGAATCAGCTGGCCAATCAGTTTTTCCTGCTCCCATTTTCTGCCTTCTGGAGCATCACCACCGCCATCTCGGCCTAATGATTTTCCTATTTCCACACGGTTCCTCCAAGTAGCATACTTTACTGTGTACCACTGTCCAGCTACAGCAAGATAGCAACGATTATCAACACATCACAGTTGCCCAACAGCGCATTCTTTACCATTATGGAAGTTGATTGCATTTTTCATATGCTTAGCGGTATAATTCAGCCGCTCGCAGCAGTAATAATCCTCCAGCATTGCAAACACACCAGGCACTGATTCCCGAAAGAAGTATGTCAGCGGCAAATCTCGCACGCGCAGCGGAACACAAGTATACGTGGAAACTTTAAAATCATTCTCCAACGGACCAACTGATGCTCTGTCATTTAGTCGAGCAAGAACATCAACTGTTTTCTGCGTAGAGTCACTTGCAATCTCCTGGCCGCTTGAGTCGCTGCTTGATGGAGACCGGTCCTCATTCCTCAAAGTTTCTTTAACATCCTTAGTATCATGACCTTTCGCAATAATCTCAATCTCTGACTGCATTACGATATCCGGCTCACTTTCGCTGGATTTCAAATCGGGAGGCGCACTGCCATTTTCCTCTTTCGATTCGGAAGACTTCGACTGAGCGGGAGGTGGATTAACGTAGAACGATTCGCCATTCTGGAGACGATGAAAAAAGTCTCGTGCTGCCTCCATATCTTCCACGGTGAAAGCACCGAACAGATTGTTCCCAAACAACTTGGGAATATTCTTCTGAATGTATTTGGCGAGGTCCCTTAAAATACGCATAAATACACAAAAACCTTTATACAAAGTATAAGTACAAAAATATGAATAAACAAATATACGTGCATAAATACGCAGAAATAAATACAAAATATAATATACGGTATGCATAACACACATACATAAATACACAAATACCCTTAAAATACACACTATCACGTTAATCGATTAAAAATGTAATATTGTGGATAACGCAATATCAACACAGTCCAGTTTTAGTCCAGCAGTAACAGTAAACAAATGAAATCACAAACCAGAAATTTACCGAGATTTTGGGCTGTCGGCTTTGAAAAGCACTCCCATGTACAGCGAATGCCAATCCACAAAATGATTTATGAGAACAATCGAGAACTCCAGTTCGAACTGGCCGTTACTTTTCTCGTGGAGAGCTTGTCCCACCAACATTTCCATAACCCATTTTTGCAGCTTTTCCGGAACTCCTTTCAACCGGTTGTCGTTTATCAGCCGTGATTTGTCACGCGCTGTCCAGGAAGAGTTTGTTGCTTTACAGTCGTACACCGCATAAACTTCGAAAGAATCCGGAAGACTCACATCAGAGCCATAATTGTCTAAAATTGGAGCAGTAAAAAGCTAAATGTCATCAACACCAATGATCGAATTCCAATTCTAAGATACAACTTTGATCATCCTACCGATACAAATAAAACTAATTAAAAACTGCTAAAACAAAATGAGGTAACATAGTAGAAAAATTTTGTATGGATGCATCTCATAGTTTTTGTAGGCCTCGGGAAAAAAATTAGTATAAACCGGCATGCATTAAACTTCAACACGAATGAATTTGCAAAACCGCATTCTGCTCTATCAATCCCACAAAGCAACGCTTTCAAAAATTAAAAGTCTGCAAACTCAGCACTCACCAGAAATGTCTCGTTCTACAATTTCCCACTTGAAGAAATCCTCCAAAATATTTCTACAGATCTTCACTTTGTTACCCAAATAATCCACGATAAGGTCCGCATCTGGACATTTGGAGCGCGACAAGCAGTAATAATTCCAAGAGAGATCTCTATGCTCCACATGATCGCGGACAAACTTGCTTCGGGCCTGCGGCACTTCGGGCGCAGCCACTACCGGATGAACTCGTGTCAGCAGTCTGGTCAATGAGGGAGCTGGGCTGGTCAAGATCTGGATAGCTCTTTTCATCTCATCGTGAAAAGACATAAAGGTGAAAAAATCCACCGATTTGGCAATATTGTGGCTTAAATCGAAAGGATCCTGTACGTTGATGTAGGCCCACTAAACAAGAAAAACACCGGTTTAATTTCAATAATAATTTAAGTACCGTGCACGTGCAATGAGCGCATGCCAATATCCAGTATTAAACGATTACAGCATTAAACGAAAAGTGCTAAACCTGAGAACGGAATCATCAATATGCAACGTCTCAAGCGTAAAACATGCACGAATATGAGTTTAATGCACAGCGATACGATGAATATAAAGTGCGCCATTTTAAACAAGCGGTAGAAGTATATACTGCGATGTGCAAACTATGAGCAAAAGAAAAACATACGTTACGCGCATTATGGTTTTGATTTACATTCTGTAGCTTTTACCGTTCTTTTCGTCTATTAAAAAGTATGATTATACAGTTACGCCATCATACGGTTACTAAGAAAAACGCATCACTGTATCCAAATCTTGAAAACATGCAACATATTCAAATTACTCTGTACATACCTTAAAATCATTCGGCCCGCGAAAATCTTCGGGAAGAAGGATTTTTCCCGATTTTATCTCGATAACACATTGTGCAAAATTGATGTCGGAATAAAACTGGAAAAATCGAAGCAGTAACTCTGAGCAAGTGGCTCCTTGGATGTCTCTAGAATTTTTTCTCCTCTCCATTTTTCGTCCCTGCACACTTTCCGCAGGCGTCGGATCGTGCGCTGTAGGCCGATGAGTCGCTAGAAGGGCATCAGGCGTGGGAAATATACCAGGGATTTGATCACAAAGAAAAAACATAACCAGCATTGTTACACAGTAGCTGGTCAGTCCTGCGGGGCCATCCAACTGTTTATCTGCTATCCAGCGGCGCACAGTGAACACGAGTGGACGGACACGCCAGTCCAGACTGCTGTAATGCCGCAATAGACCCGTATTACGTAGAACCAAACTGCAAAAATAAGAGCCTACTTGAGAAAACTGTGCGGAAAATTACGCAAAAACTGGAATACGAATTATCGCTGTTGTGTTAAATATTGTAATCAATGTACAAAATAAAATAAAATGGCGGGATAATAGTTCAGTGGCCACGGAGCATTGACAGAAAAGAAATTCAGTGATTCGCACTGATCGAATACGGGCATCACACTACAACGTACTAGAACTCGTATTAATAAGACAACCAATACACGATCCCAAAATATCATCGTTCAATGATTAACTCATTAACTGCAAAATCATAAACTAACAATAAGCTAGAGATGGCAACGGCTGGCTTAATGGCTTATCGGCTGGCTGCGGCTGGCTAAAATAGCGAGCCGGCTCGAAAGTATCGGCTCACCTACCTGAGCCGGCTCTAACGGCTCGGCTCTGAGCGCAAGCCGGCTAAGCCGGCTCCGAGCCGGCTTAGCCGATAGTTTTTTAGCGCGGGAAAACACAAGTACTTTTTCACTGAAAAGCACTTTTTCCTGTTCTCTTTTAAGCAAAAACTGTTTTTGATCAGTTTTTATTGGAAAAAGTGGTCTCCGAAACAAAAATTCAAAATTTTTTTATAGGATCATCGATTTTTCAAGTCTCTAAATCGGCTTTGAACGGGCCAAAAGAGCTAAAATTAAACTTTCCAACACATTTTCGCACACAATGCGCAAGCCGTTAGCCGACATCAGCTTACGGCTGGCTCGCGGCTGGCTGAGACTCCGAGCCGGCTCAATCGGCTCGGCTAGTATCGGCTACGGCTTCAATTTTGGGTCGAGCCGGCTCAGCCAAAGCCGGCTTAGCCGCGGCTCAAACGGCTTCGGCTGAGCCGTTGCCATCTCTACAATAAGCCTTTCTAATGCCAAAAAAACTTGACAAGCAATGCAAAGCGAATAATTCTAACTTTATTACACCAATCACAAACCGGTTAAGTTAAGCTATTGCTTAAGCATGAGTAAAAAGGCTTTTAAAAGTACACTATGTACAAGCAGAAAAGAAAAACATTATTTTAACAGTTACCCTCGTCCGGTGAAGGAAATATCCACACTCAATCCGGATGGCCTGTGCAGCATCTTAACAATTGGCGTCCGCGCATGGGGAATTGGCACAACGTCGTAATATCCCGAAAAATTGAGGATTGTGGCTAAATGCATTGTGACTTTATCTTCGGTTACGAAACACAAATCCACTGGTGAAAGCAATGGTGCTCGGCCTTCCAGAATACGTCCGAAAAACTCCATTCCTTTCCGTTTCGACAACTGATTCTGCACAAACAAAAAAGGTGGTAACTCTGCCAACATAAAATGATCGAGCCAAGTGAACAGTCAAGCAAAGTGAATCACCGCAAAAATAATCCGCAAAACTGAAAACCAGTACGTAAAAAAACCGCTTGAAACAGTAACTGGTGGCATGAAGATATAATCTGCTATTCCACTAAACCAGATGTATTAGGACCAGCAAATTTAAAAAAAATCCATCTCGGGCCGGAAGCTGAAGCCTGCGATGCGACCTGCAGATCAGAGCTGGCTTGAAAACTAACCAAAACGTTGGCAACAGGCGGCCGCATGATTCTTTCTCCGGGAAGGGGCAAATGCAGATCCAGATAGAGATCCATATCGCAGCCATGGCAGCCGAAGGTGTTCACCGAGGAACCGTACAAATACAAGTGGCAGGCTTGAAAGACATAGCGCAGCTCCATTTCCAAATCGGCTCGCAATACCTCGCGGAGCTGCACTTCTGCCGGCGTCAGCATCTGTTTCTGCGTCAGATCCACCATTTCGGCCGTAACCTGCATGGCAGATATTCCAATCATTAGTTTCTCAAAGCGAAAACATCGAGGAGATATAAGCAGTCTGCGCCAAGCTCCCACACATACCTGGTCAACTTGCGTACTCGGCAAAGGATCCATGTTCAACACTCTACTGGCAGCAAACCTCTACTTTGTAGCAGTCAAACGGGAATGGGATCACAGTATAATTTATCAACAAATATCAAATTGACACCACATCGGCGCTATTATCAGTGCTCCGACTCCGACCTGCCAGCAGATTAACATTTCCAGATGATTCAGCAAAATCCCTGATCACGTGGCGAAAATGGGATACCAACGTGTTGCAAATTCAAATCCCGATTAACGTTCGGTTTACTACAGCAGAAGTAGCTGCTGTACCTATAATCTACTGCAGTTGCAAAGTACTTGCAGCTTGCTTTACAACAATCACGTTTTCCAAAGAATCCAAGTGTGGTCGACTGACTCGACTGCCTGTTATCCAAGATTCTGAGATGGGATACTTGTGGCTGAGACGTGATGGTAGGACGCCATAACCACAGACAAACAGATAAAATAAAATAAAATTACTGTACTCGTAGTAATTTTGTTGTACTATACGCGGCGTTTTCTAAGCAGATGTAATCATCATTTAACCAAAAGGACCAGAAGTGCGATCGGTCCAAAAAATAATTTTTGCCGTATAAGACTTGGTACAATTTTCGTTCCAAGAATTTAAATTTGAAATGTGATCAAATATATCCCACTTTTCTGGCGTAAATTCGACCAGAAGTGCGAGTTCGCATCACCGTGTACAGTAATTTCAATTTTCTTCAAGAAATCGAACAATGAATAATTAACTCTCATTATTAAGAGGCTCATTATTCCTGTGACTCCTGTGATATTTCACAGAACTGTTTACAATTTGAGTGGTTTTTGGTCACTACTTCACATTTAAAAAAGTACAAGTTGCACTTGGCTGTAGTTTTCCAGAAAATAATTATGCAGAACTGTAGTACATCAAAACTAATTCAAAATTAGTTTGATGGTGAACTAATTCTTTCTGTGTAGAAGAGCGGTACAGCCAAATTAGAAGTACGGTACTCGTACAGCCAAAGTCATCAGAATTGAATTCTGAGAATTCATACGATCTGCAAACTGCGCTTCGATCTGTAACAACCAGCATCCGAGAATCTGCGACCTCACACAGAAGTAATGTTTCGCTTGTTCAGCTAGAGTAGGAACTGAGTATTGCAGAATTAAGCATAAAATTTACGTATGGATTTGCGCCATGTTCCCTGGAATGTTTCTCAGTTAACCTTTTGGACCAGCAAAAACAGGCAATTATATTATTTCAAAATTTCATATTTATTTATTAATACTTGCATATCTAACTAACAGATATGCATGTATGGACACATAATATATAATATTATGTGTCCATACAAACATAAAATCAGATATTATCTGATGGTGAGCACGATCGATGGCTTGCGACGGCGACAAATTGTGACAGTCTTGCAAAAAAAGCACAGCCGTACTGTACTTTGCGATTGCTTTCTTCGGCTACGAATAGTTCTTTCGAAAGTACGCGTGGTCGAAGGTCAATTCTCATGCATGGTTCCGCGCACGTCCAAGTGATATGCAAAGTAGATTGTGTGAGTGATAGTGTATAGATATTACGATTAAATAGATATACGGTATACCTATATACCACGTACAATAACAACCATAAATTATACAGTACTGTACTCTGCGGCACATAAAAATATGTTTTTTTCCGGCATGTGGAATGTTGAGTTTGTGGATTACAAGTTTCGCATGTCTTATCGACTTGGCTGACTTCTGATAATAGTAGGCTTGTGATTTGTGTGCAATTAAGTTCTATGTACAATAGTCTTAACGCCTTAATTGTAAAATTATTCGTAATCCTGCACATTCTTTCGCTAGCAGTTTGACAACTAGCAGTAGTTACTAATGAATTGATTTAGTAATTTGCCGTTGCCCTTGAATGTGCAGCACCGTAATGGCTGAAATATTTTCTCCATACGAAGCAGTAAAATGGAATTCTGGCAAAAAACATCCTGATCCTCTCGTGGAAACGACATCCCTTCGGAGTGTCTGCCCGCCGGACATCCAGTCTTTGTGAGCAATCGTTTTTCGTTCTACATATCAGATGAAGGCATTAGCAGCCCTTCTATAAATATTACTTACAGTTTGTAAACTTAAATGTTTGTAAATATGCCAGTTTACTAATAAATATGTATAATTTTAGCTTGCAAACTAAAATACATTTGTAGTTTGTAATTTAGGTAGATGTAAAGTTACTCATAAGTAAATTAGTTTAATTATGCAAACCTTACGTCATTTATACTAGGGCGGGCAGTATATGGATTTCGTCTGATAATACACGTTGTGTTTTGTTGTCTGCTTATAGCAATTCCTTGAAGTTACCCCAACGAACTATTGATGAAGGGTTACTCTCCATTGTCCAGCTGGAAACCGTCGCCTACGCCTGTCAAATGCATCGTTCGTTTCTGCCGGACGGCTATCGCGCTGGATTTTTAATAGGTCTGCCTTTTGTATCATTAAAATTTCGAACGTTACCTTTATTCGTGCACACTTTAGGGGGTGCAGGATCGTATCTCCAACGCATATAATATTACGAAACGTAAAACTACAGCTACTGATTTAACTACCTATTCGGAGCAGTTCATTTTAAGCCCTATATTTTAATATCGAATACGGATGTCGCAGGCGATGGGGCGGGCGTGGGAAAAGGCCGCACTGTAGCCGGAATCATCCTGGAGAATTTCCTCCGAGGAAAACGGAAGTTCCTCTGGTTTAGTGTATCCACCGACCTTGCAGCTGATGCCGAACAGAGCCTGGAGGAAGTCGGCGCCAGCCATATTCCCGTGCACCGACTGGAGAAGGAGTCGTACGCGTACAACGCACTTGGCCAAAAGGAAGGAGTTATCTTCGCCACATACAGCAGTCTGACATCGGGAACCATCCAGCGAAAAGGCATGTTTCGTAGTCGGCTACGCCAACTTATATCGTGGTGCGGCGCGGACTTCGACGGAGTCATAGCGTTTGACGAGTGCCACCGGGCGAAAAATCTTTATCCCCCACCTGGACGAAGCAGGCACACAAAGCCGACAAAAACTGGATTATTTGTAGCTAAACTTCAACGCGAACTGCCAGAGGCTCGAGTGGTTTATGCTACGGCTACTGGTACGTGTAAATTTCAGCATGGCGGTTCTCCATGACCTTTCTCTAATCCGGTTGCACTAGGGGCATCTGAACCGCGAAATATGGGATATATGACTCGTTTAGGACTGTGGGGCGAGAGTACAGCTTTCAAGAGCTTCAAACATTTTGCAGAATCAATCGATAAACGGTTTGCCGTCTTCACTTCATTAGACGTGGCTGAAAGCTGCTTCGTATTAAACTGCTTCGTAAATGTATGTTTTTTAATTATTTATGTTGTTTAAAATAAATTGTGGTTTTTCTAGCGGAATAGGGGCAATGGAAGTTGTAGCGATGGATATGAAACGCAAAGGACTTTTTCTGGCTCGTCAGCTGAGCTTTGAAGGAGTGACCTTTGAAATCCATCATGTTCCGCTGACCGAAGATTTTATAGCACTTTATAATCAGTGCTCCCGGCTTGTATGTACACCTGCAGTGTCTAGATTTTTCGTTTATTGTAGCTTAGTCCATCGGTGTTTGTTTGTATTAATCAAACTTACTGATTGTGTATTTTTACATGTAAAAACGTATAAGTACTCGTAATTTGCGCTTTATAGTGGATTTGCGTTAGAGAAAAGTTTATGGAAGCCGCACTGATTGCCACGTGGAACTACAAGACATCCACTCTGTTGTAAGCGTTATCTGAGTGCGAAGATTGTTATTTCTTCGAGTACCTGAATCTTTTTTTGTTGGTAATTCATAAAGTTGGATGCGATTTTGGAACGTGCATCAGCGATTTTTTAATTGTTTGTGCCTGTCAGCCAAAGTGGAGGCAGCGGTAGCAGTGGCTCACAGTGCTATTCAGCAAGAAATGGTGAGCGTATATAGTTACTGTATGGTGTTATGTATTGTACTGTACTTTAGATATATTGACCTTTTTCCATTTTGACGTGAACGTGTTTTGTGCTTAATCTTAATGTGCGTTATGATTATCTGAAAAAAAACCAAAACAAATATAAGTTTGTAAAACCGATACAATAATAATTATATGAATGTGTGTACCATACAAAATACGAAATAATTTATTAGCGTAGCGTCTGTAAAGTATGTTGCAGTGTGTGGTTATTGGTCTGCAATCAACCGGGGAGTCCAAAACCAATCAGTTGCGTCTGGTACTCGAAGGAAAGGATGACGAAGCGACTGATTTCGTATCGACGGCTCAGTACGGTTTCAGTGATTTTTCATAATTTGTGGTTTCCTGCAGCGTAATTTTTCTCCAATTTCCCCTTACCATTAGAGCCGTATTCATGGACATTATGGATTGTTTCCCTCTTGTGGCTAATTCTTTTCCTTTTGGAGCGCACCACTGGCAGAGATATGGTTCGGATAACGAAAGTGTGGATAACAGTTTTACTGATGACGAGTATGCGGAGGATTTCTTAGAAGAACGGAAGGATCAGTTTAGGGAAGCCGGTCTCGATGAAAGTACGAGCAAAATTAATTAAGCTGTTCGGTGTTTTGGTGATAATAAGAGGTACAAGAAACCGCTGCGGCTTCGCCTCCGCGTTTCTTGTGATCCACGGCCGCTTTGAACAAATAATTTCATTTAATTCGTTAGCAAATTCACTAACTGACTTCGACTTAGCAGTTGTTGTAAAACTTCTTTAGGCAAGGAGTCTAGCTCGGTCACTTCCTCACCTAGAAATTTTGTTCACTGGACAGTGGGGGTAGCTCGGTCACCCACTAATCTAGCAATTTTGTTCAGGGGGCAGTGGTGGTAGCTCGGCCACTCACTCACCTAGCAATTTTGTTCACTGGACGGTAGTGCTAGCTCGGTCACTCACTCACCTACTCGGGTAGAGATTTTGTTCACCTAGCGATTTTTTGTTCACTGGACAGTGGTGGTAGCTGGGTCACTCACTCACCTAGCAATTTATTCACTGGATTTTAGTCCCTTCGAAACCTGGGCTAATTTAAACATGGTTCGGAAATCAAGTTGTTATTTTTATGCATTTGAACACTCTAATTTGATTTACAGCAATCCGGCTATTAAAATTTAGCATGTTTGCAAATAAAATATTTACATTTTTATTATAGTGCATACTTAATACTTTAGTTAATGTTCTAAGCAACTGGCACTGCTATTATCCTCAAGTCACCTTGAAAGCGTTACCGAAGCCCGTTTTGCCGGAACCGGCATCGGTCCGGTGGGACGGGTTCAAATAATTATTTTAAAAAATAAAATCCATGTGACACAGTTTCTGAACATGCTGAATCTAATGGCCTTTACAGTTTTTTTGATTATGTTCTGGTTTTTCCGATCTCGATGTGTCAGCTTTTTTTGTAGTTATATTATAGATCTAGTTCCTTGATAGTGTATCAGCTACCATTGGATGAGTTCTCTTGCGTTATTTCCTGCTGTATGAGTAAATTATTATTTATTGGTTATGGTTGAATCTCATGTTAATTGCAATCACTCGTATATAATACTATATATACTGCAGTATGGAGTAATGCACGTGTGCGTACAAAGTAATGACAACATCATTACCAACAATTGTAAATGTAAGAGCTTATAGGAGATTTACATACCGCCTACTGAATACGAGTATGGAACATCGCACATTTGAAAGCTGGGAGCAAATATTTGCTCCCATCGACCACTTTGAATGTAATCCATGGTTATGGTATCAAATTTTAGAACTCGTACTGGCTAAACCTGCCGAGGTCGAAGAAAAACTGAAAGAAATGAAAGAAACTCTGCTAGCAGAATTCGAAAGCTTTGCTGATAATTTACCGAAAAATGTACTGGATGAGTTGATCCATCGCCTTGGTGGGAGTGAGAAAGTTGCCGAGGTGAGTACCTGTACACAAAGATAAACTAAAGTAATCGGGAGCGAAGGATAACTTCCTTCGTTCGGTGTTGCACCGATAATGTAATAGTTTTTAGCTACATGATATGGAAATATCGATTTTGCATATCTCCTCTAGCGGATTCGGGAAAATTCACTTCTTGAATAAATTTCCAGATGACGGGGCGCAAAGGGCGAATTCTCAAAGATCCAAACGGACTGGCTAAGTACCATCAGCGGAAACACAGTTCTGGCACTGCTTCCATAAACTCCGAAGAAAAAGAAATGTTTATGAGGGGAGAAAAGTTGGTTGGTATTGCAGTAACTACATGCGTAGTGTACACGCGCAACTAACCGTAAGCATATACAGGACTTTAATTATACACTGACTGCTCAAGTTATCCGGCTAAACAAGTGACCACAACCGTACGGTACATTTTGTTTAGATCGCCATCATTAGTGAAGCTGCTAGCAGCGGCATTTCGCTTCAGGCCGATCGTAGAGTCCCCAACCAGCGTCGTCGGCTGCACATCACCTTGGAGTTGCCGTGGAGCGCTGATCACGCTATCCAGCAATTCGGGCGAACACATCGGGCCAACCAGACATCAGCGCCAAAATACATCTTCTTGATCAGTGATGTTGTCGGCGAAAAGCGTTTCGCTAGCGCAGTAGCCGCCCGACTAGAACAACTGGGGGCGTTAACGCACGGAGACCGTCGCGCGACGAGATCTTGGGGACTGACCCAGTTTAACATAGTTGGCAAGGAAGGTAAAATAGCTCTCAAGAAGATGATGAAGGCATTCACTGATTATGATGAAGACATTCTTGGAGATCATTTCGATGTGGATTTGAACGAAGTAAAAAAGGCAAGCAGATTGACCAGAACCGTAATTGACCGTGACTATAAGATATATAATCAACAATTTTGTTCTTACGCAGGGTTTACAAGGTATCGGCCTTCTTGACAATTCCGGCTGTTACCGCCGAAACGGTACGCTAAGAGAAGCAGATACAAACTACAGTACATTCGCAAAACTGCATAAGAACTTTAGGACATGATATCGCCCAATATTCTTTAGTTTCGTCCGTTAGTCTTATGCTGAATCGGATTCTTGGAATGGAGATTTTGATGCAAGAAAGAATTTTTCAGTATTTCATCAATTTTTATGACAAAGCCATCCGAACTGTGAGTGACACCTGTTATCTGTACACCACTGATTTTACGCTGCCTTTAATTAGTGTTAAAGTGATACTACATAGTTTCATCGTCAGTATTATACGCACAGGCGAAAAGGACTGGAAAGTTCGATTCAGGACTGAAAGAGTATGGTACGCTACTGCACATGATACCATTGTACATAATAATGTAACTATTTTATTCCACTGCGAAATGTTTGGCGTTATGTAGGATCATGCTCACATCCGGCGAAACTCATAAAGCGTTTGACCTTTAAAAAGGATCTGAAAGATGCAAAAACGACCAACACTTCACACGTCTATTCTTTTGCTTTCGATAGAGGAATGTCCTTTGCCGATGCCGAAAACATCTGGAAGGACAATGCTGGCCTTTCTAACGGTTTCTACGTCACAAAGGTAAATAATGATACCGCAGCACTACTCTAGATCCATGTGAAAAATGGATTAAATTATGTTGCTTGAAGAGTCGTGGACGGAAGTATGTATTTTTGGCGGTGCATTCGAAAACTAGACACGAACCTGGCCAGCTGGCCGTTCAGCAGTTTTTTGACATTTATCGGCCAAACACCGGCTACCAGATTGGCCAACGTCTTCAGAACCTGAAAACATCGAATATGGTGGATATCGATTATGCGCGGCAACTGTGGACCAACATTTACGACGATATGGCTAAACGGTGCAGTCATGTTTTTGAAAAAGGGTGGTGCGAAAATGGGCCGCGTTGTGGTATCGGAAAAAGACATCTTCGTGGTCGAATTTTAAGGTGCCGGTAATAAAAACATGTTTAAACACTTTGGGATTTTTTTTTGCATTTAATGATTATCTTGAAGAAAATTCTAATGCGCTATCCCAACAACTATTAGACTTACTGCATATACATCTCTATTTTTTTTGTTTCCAGTGGAAACATATTGAGCGTGTGGAGCACCCTGGAATCATTCGGGACACCATACGAAAATCGCGTAGAAATCGTTCGTGTGGTATTCAGCGCACAGACAATAATTGGTGCGAGTGTGTGTATTAATTATCTGCAGCGACAAAAACTTAGAGCGATCAGAAGCATTCAGAATTTCGTAATTAGTATACGAGCTGCTATATTTCTCTGTACATTGCAGGAGTTTGGTTGCCAGAAACCAAACACAACGATATAGTGACATCACTAACTGAGGTGCTCGGTCAGCCAATAGACGATACGGCAGCTTGCGTAGACGATCTGATTGCGAAAACAGGGCTCGGCACACCATGTCTCAAAAGGTCATGCAATGCCGAAATCTGCGACACTAAACCGGACGACAACGCTCCACCCTACTCCAAACGATTCTGTGTTGGTGAAATAGAAGCAGAACCAAACACAGTTTCTCACCAAAAAAGGGAAATAGAGTTGATTTGTCTGACGTCATCGGATGACGAGGATGTGCAGTAATGGGATGAGTGAGAGACTGCGGAATATGAGCAACAAAAACCACAAATAGCACACACTTTTCTACAGAAAAGATTACCAGCATTTCATTTGCAACCTGATCAATGTTTTTCGCATCGAAGTCGGTGTACAAATATTATTGTGATTGAGCTTCTGTTAAAGTATTAAAGATGACCTTGCCCATAGATGGGCGTGTGCGTGATGTAGGATGTTTTTTTATGATGATCAGCTACAGTACTGCGTAAGACTACATGCATATGCAATATGCATTAACATCGGCAGTGCAATTATGACGGAAACCACGCACGGTGATGTGCAGTTAGTGTACGTATACGAGTGACTGGTGAACGAAACATTACAGTGTTACGGTGTCTTAATTAAAAGAGCTTGGGTGCTCATTACCGCGGTTGGGTACGGAAATTGATGAAGCACAGCAGTCATTACAATATTCCAGCGTATGGTTTCGCAGATTTGCTCAGTTGATAATCATGAGGCGCTTTATCACTAGAGGACGCGGAACGACCTGGTAGTGGTATCATGTAACCGCTCACTAATCAGTTTCAAGCAATTTTTCAAATGCCAGTACCAAATCACCTGTGCATATTCAGAAACATACTGAATCTTGCAGAATCTAACTGATTTCATAACAGAAAAGGGCACGCTAAATCGCAACTTCGGTGTTTCTTTACTGCCCGTAAATCCACTTTTCACCAAAATTCGGACTACTTTGCGTTGGTCGGCGATCTGATTGTCTGTTCATCAGTTTCAAAAACTTCACCGGTCTTCATCATGAGCAACAGTAATTTTAGCAATTTAACGAATACCAGTTCCTTTTCATTCCTTTATGCCCTCTCTCCAGCACCCAACTGGACCATAATAATTGGTCTGAAAGCATTCATCGGCGTGGCATCGTTCATTCTGAACGGAGCAATCTTACTCCTGCATATTCTGCGTCCAACACTAATCAACCCCTTCACCATTTATCTGCTGTTCTTATTCACCGCCAATGTATGCTTCCTGATGATCATCGCCCCGTTAGGAACCATCAGCAACCTGTACGGAGGGGAATGGTTCTGGGGTCATCCGGTGTGCGTCTTCTACATCTACGCACAACGCATTGTGACCGTCATCCATGTCATGTCCCATCTCCTCATCTCATTCAATCGTCTGTGGGCCGTCACGTATCCCATTTCGTATCGCGAACGCCACACGAAGCGAACCGCTGTTTTGATCTATCTCGGTATGCTCGGCTACGTGCACATTATTTCGTTGCCGCCGTTCCTTGTGGAGACAATCCGCTATCAGCGCTCCGATGCCGACAAAGGGTGCCATCATATTGCCATGCCGGCTTGGAGCAGAGCGCAGACGATTATACACCGACTGATGCCGCTTTCCTTGGTCATCAGTATTTACGTTTTTTTGATCGTTAAGCGCTGGCAGAAGAAGCGTCGGAGTGCTGTGTGTGTGGGTGCGGTGGAAGAACTACCGGTTGCGTCGGGCAACACAACAGGTACAGTTGGACAAACAAACACCGGCAAACACGAAGAAAGCCGAATGACCTCATCTGGAAAGCCGATTGGAAGTGGTGGTCAACGACAGGTGCGACCGTTTGTTATTCTGACGATCACCACGATCAGCGTAGTGACCTGTTGGCTACCGGAAGACGTGTTCTGGATTGCTGTGGTATTCTGCAATGTTTGGTTCTCCAGCGCTGTCTTTCAGTTTACTGAGATCCTGTATTTTTTGCAAATGGTTTTTGATCCTCTGATGTGGATTGCTAGTTTACGCCGGACCAAAGCATAGCCTGGCAAACCAGTACCACAGAGCGCAAACCTTGTTGCACTTATTCGTGACCTTTAAAAATCAATATGAATGTTCTACATCAGATCATGTATCCTAGTCGTACGAGTTTTCAAATACGAATAATAGTGAGGCAGATGATGGACAGGAAGAGCTGCTAAAAATACATTTCTTGTCAGTGGCTTGAAATACACGGTATCATTATGGTAAAGCCATGTACAATAGACTGGCACAACAACATCCACATACATTAAATTTTGTTCCTGCACGTGCACGATGCCAAGGTGTGATCAGAATTACAGTAACACGCTCGTTGTTACTGTATTACAATGAAGATATCCTGCATCTATCACAAGTCGATGATAACTACATTTTGGCATTTGTAGTAAGGTTTAGTACCTTCTGATTCCCCGCCGGTTTCGCTATAGAAATACTCGTACAAGTCTCGGGTATGACAAATTAAAAGTTAGTGCAAGTTAGGTTTGCACAGTCAGTAGAATACACTAGTGGCAATACGGCAACAGAATATACTGCATAATTATTTTGCAAGTATTAGTACGCTCAGTACAGATAGAACTATATCGTTCGAGCCGAATATTAATTACATTTTAACAGAAAATGCTGCACGAATCACAGATTTATTTACACCACATATTTCAAATAGACGCGAGTTAGTTTTACATTTACGCAGTTATGAAATAACGAAACCGCTGCCAAAAAGTAGGAATACAAACTTTTCCTAAATTTAGTCATAATTCGTAAGATCTCTTGCGCTTCCGATGGTGGCTACAGTGGAAGCCTGCAGTTCGGTTTTCTCCTCATCTTCTTTTCTTTTCTCGGGTTCTCGGTCAAAGGATAAATTTTTCACTTTGAAAATAACCTACGCCAGACAAAACTGCGTGAAAAGTTTGTAAAATTTGTATTATGTATCTAGACAATCTTCAAAATAATTGTAATATAATATAATTGTTTAGAATTGTATAGAATATTGTAGTTGGCAAATAAATATGTGCTTACATAAATATCCATAATGCAGGCCAACGTCTTTATAACTCCAACATAGAGGTGCATTTTGTAGCGCAGACTGTCTAAATCATAGATCAAGCAGGCTCCTCTCTGACCGCACGCTTGGGTGTTCCATAAACGACATGTGGAATCGATGAGTGCTCCCATAATAATCGGACCAGGAATAAAAGCTGCAAGAGCGAAATATTGCAATAAACTTTCTCTAGCCGGTATAAGAACTTGTTCAATCTATTTTGCTCACAAAGGGTACTCAATGCTGAAATATCAGGACGTAATAACATGCAATGCATAAAGTTAAGTGCTACATCTGGATTATTAGCATATCCTTCGTGTCTTACCGGTATATTTTCTTATGTACTGAAAATATATCATTAAGTACACACCGAAAAGAGAAGCGCAAAATGTTTGCAGGGCTTTGGATAAGGCTTTGAGATCCGGTTCAACAATTCTAACAGAAACACGCACAGTCACTTTCATGGGATTCAAAAACAGTCAGAAATCCGTTTACCGGAAGGAAAGCATGGTGTTTCCAGAGAACGGTAGCATCCCGATAAATTTGAAAGAAGCGCTGATGGCCACATAGGTCCAGAATCCACTGCAGCCGCCTTCGCAGAAACCGCGTTTAACGGTGGCGCCGGGGTACTTAACATCTGCCGGTGGACCGTTGACCAGATCCTCCAACGTGGTGGTCAAGCGTGTCCACAGTGACGTGGGAGTTGGACTAGCCGGCTGAATCCATTGAGGTGCCGTAATATTGAGAAGACATTGACAGTTTTCATAAAACTTTTGTCCCATCTGTTAATAATTGAGCTGCAGAATTATTACAAATTTACACACAAGAATATCAGGATAACAGGAATTATTCTAACACGCCGAAGGCGTTCGTATTGCATTTCGGCCTTTTAAAAAAAATAAGATAGCTCAGCAAAAAAATAAGATAGATCTGAAAATGCAAAAGCGGTACTTACGCCACGTGTGACCGTTGCAGTACACCCAGCGTGGCATGGAGAGTAGTAGTTGGTTTGGGTCAGTTCGTCACAAACCGGAGAAAACGACTTCCCGGCACAATTGCACCCATTACTGCACATCGTGTCGACAATCAGCATTCTGAAATTATAATGCGGGTAGCGGGTCAGTTCAATTTGTACCGGCTGTATGATTTCTGTTTTTTTAACTGCTTACTCATCAGGACCGGGGATGCTGTGTAAATTTCGCGGTTCACATCGGATGAGCATGAGGAAAAAGTAACAAATGGAGATCAGGAAGGATGAGATGGCCAATCCTATGGCGATTTGCTTTGGTGTCATCTTGAAACGCCGGACAATCAGCCCGCCGACCGCCGCTCCTAAACTGTAACAACCATGGCATAGTCAGATTTCATGATATGAAAACGCTGCCATTCAATAAAACGTCAAAGCTAATTAAATTTCGAGTACAACTTTCAGTAGTGATTCATATTTACTATGTCACTGGGACAGTAAAAGTCTTTACTAACGGTTACAGAATGATGCAGAAGAAGCTGTACTATACTTAAGTTAACTACAAACCCTATATCTATATATAAGTATCTGCTCCATTGATACGGAGCAGTACAACAGATTTGTAACCGGAAATAGCAGTAGATAACAGAACTACATACAATTCTGAGCAGAAATATTTCGCCAAAAACAATAAGTAGCAGTTTAAAAATAGAATTAGCTAAGCTAATTCCGGTAAACTCAGCGGAGAGGATTGCGAGGCTAGACTACCTGCTTGACCGATGTCCAGCCGAAAAAAGCCATTAGAGTGTGTCGTTGGGATGTACACCCTGATGCTGGATAAGCAATGCATTTTCGATAGTGGAACTGTATGTCGCATAGCGACATACAGTTCCACAGGTTGTACCGGTGACCAGGTTGTACCGGTGACCCGTGTTCCGGTGCTAATGTGTTCACCCAGTGCCCAAATAAAGCTAAATCGTTGCGTGTCGTTGATGTTGTTATCGTAGACTGCGTTAACTGCATATGGTTTTACTCTAATTACTCGTACAGATATCTAACGTACCCCATGGCTAGGATGCTTGATAAACCGCTGGCTTTGCCGGCCTGTGCGGGCGACATACGGAAGTGGAATTCAATATATTTGGATGAAAAATTGAAATACCCTGTAAAACGTGCACAACCTCTAGAATAAAAATCAATAACAAAATTAAAATATTTGTAAATCACGAACAAAAATGAGTAATTCACAGAAATTAGTAATGAGTAATTAGTATTCGTATGCACACAATAAACGAGCTAGCATTAAAGAAATAAACCAAAAGTAAATAAATAATAATATAGAAATCCTACATACCGGACACGACCAGCATATCGATGCAGTCGTTGATTAACCGACACATGAAAACTTTGTTCACAAGCAGCCGCTTCATATCTCTAGGAAGAACTAAAAAGCAGCACCGATTACAGTAAAATTATAATACATAGATAATAGTTTGTTAACAACTGGAAGCTAGCAAACGGGCAGAACTTAAGCTTACCAGCCAGCTTCTGTGAAAGGCTTTGCTCTTGCTGTGATGTTGCGCTAACTCGGGATATTTTCCGTTTGCCATGTTTAACAAGGTATTCATTTGATAGGTGTCGCGGAAAAAACTGGAAGCACAATAACACAAGATGACGGTGGTAGCCGGTAGTGCCCGTTGGTATTTATAGCATACCCAGTATAAAGTCGAGGTCAAACAGACAAGAGATCCTATTAGGACAAATCCCAAATACCATGCTCCCATCCATCTGGGATCGGTTTGCGCAATGTTAGGTTTTTCTACAGTTGATAGATAAACGTCAGAAACTGCATTTGATCACTAGCACATTTTAACTTTTTCGATAACGACCGGGACTTACTGGTAAGGTCAACGTATGTTGAAAGGCTAAACGAGCCCACGAAAACACCAATCAACGGACCAATAAGACGTCCAGCCAGTCCAAGCGCTAAATGAAAGACAGATAAAACATATAATACAATATAATACTTCGAAGTACGTGACTCGCCATACAGATTTAAGAAGGTACAGATAAAGTTGCTCACCAAAATATACAGCGGTATTTTTGGTCTCCACGTTGTCATCGATAAACGGCATCGCCAGCACAATCGGGGCTGTTATGAGTTCACATTTAGATAACATTGTTTTATGTGCAAATTGTTGTATCGTGACTAATTAAGGAATCTGATATCTTTATAAATTCGGTAACATATCGTTTCTCACCAGTTGTGGCGATTCCCAGTAAAACCTGGGCAACACCCAGCAGGATCAAAGCCCACATGTTATCGTTGCGTATGGCCTGTGATTCGGCATCGCACTTATCAGCGGTCTCTTGGGCCTGTGCTTCATTCAGACAAATCTCCTTATCGATACTGGAATTGTCCATACGAATATTCTCGGCATCCCATTTGGGAGCGAAGAGTTCCGGCGTGGCAAAGGTCAGAATGGCAATGCCCAACAAGAGGCTGGACACCGCTAGCCAGCGTGGACGGTGTCCCTTCCCGCAGAAATGTGCAACAAGTAACACCACAGCAATGTGACTACAAAATAATGTTAAAGATAAGCAAGTCCCAGCGCATGCTTCGGTGTTAAGAATAAAATATTCATAATTGTTATATATTGTATTTTTTAATATAAGGATGCAAGTTCTACAGAATTTACCTGACATCGTTAATTGCAGTAATAATCCCCGTAGTACGGCTAGGAATTTGGAATCGTTTCTCAATGGATGACAAAGACATGTTCCAGTACGAATAATACATTCCTTAAACACAAATCACAGTTTATAAATTCTTTGCCTTTTCAAAAGTGTGTAAATTCTTGCATGAGATACACTTTGGTCAGCTGTAAGTTCTTTATGCGTACGTAATAAATAATAATGGAACTGATTTAATATAATTACTTTGTCGTGACTCGTAACCCAGACAGAGCATAGCGTTGAACATCCTGTACACATATAATTACAGATATAATTATAAAATACTTCAATACTGTAAATAACGTATGCATTATTGTATGTACCATTGAAAATTGCATCCTGAAAAACTTTGATTGTTTTATCATGATTTTTCATATCATCTTTCATTGAAGACTTATTCGGACTCTTCTAATTTAAACAAAACTGTAAACTGAAAGTGGTGCTACATATATTCCATAAATGCAAGTATCTAAAGGAACATTCTCACCACCAACTCTGGCGACTAAACACGCTCAAATACATAATTTGAAAAATTTTACTTGTTTAAGAATGCGGATTGATTATAAATTATGCGCAGCACGAATGCATTATATAGCAGTTCGTAATCGGGCGGATATTTTCGTTTATCAATGTTAACGCAACAACAGCGGGAATTTCTACTGAAAATAAGAGAAAAATGATTATTACTTAGACTCTAAGTATTTCTGTAAGAACACACCACAAAACTGTTTATGTTGCGAAATTTTAAATTCGACAAAATTTAGTGTGCTTGCACAGCACATCTTTCGACTTTTGACGGTTAATTACATACTTTCTTAAGTAGAGCACGCAACGACGGTGTGCTTATACCAGCGTAATTTAACGCAAATGTGAACGTTGCTTTGCCTACCTTGCGTTAGGCCGGTAATAATAAACACCAACAAAAACACCTTCATATTGCGCAGTTTCTGCAGCCAGTTCGGTTTGCAGCAGGCTATCCCACACCGGTCTTCATAGGGAATATCAGCCGGATCTATATGATGATGGTGATGTCCGTTCATCGCAATCCCTTCTTCCGGATCGGAGGTGACAAATGTTTCCGTCATCAGCGGTGTATTTTTGCCATTGTAACTGGGCGGTTGCGGCTGTTGCCGGTGCATGGACACATCGAAGACAGTTTCTTCGGCATCTTCCCCTTTATTGTGTGGATTTCCGTACGGCATTTTGTCGATCGAAAAACGAAGCGAATAACATAAAAAAAAGCGGCATCAGTGGTGGACGATGCTTTCCACTAAAATTCTTGAAGCTTGCACCCACGACGATGAGAGTTGGCACTTTTCAGGTGTTGTTGCACTTTGCATATGTAATGGCACAACAACGGTGTTCAACCTTATCAACGGAATTCTGCAGCATGCGCTGTCGTGCAGTGCGTTCCAGTACAACTTGTCAAGCCGTTAATTAATTAGAAATCAACTAGTCCAAAATTATGCGCATTCATGTTGTATTTCGTGGTTAATTGTTTCGCAGAGCCAGATAAGACATTCGTGGAGAGGACAGATTAGGAAACGTTTGCGGCCGGTGCCGTAATGTCGCCGATTTGCTGTAGTGAGTGCACCGCACATAGCATCTGCAGAGAACTGTTGACACTTATCTGACCGGCACATTCAGTCCACTTTTCGCAGTTTTGCAAAATGTGGTATGCATTTAATTTTCTTTGTAATCCCGTTAGGTCATCCATGCTGCAAGTCGTGTACAAGTACACTATATTTTTCGCTGCCATTAAATGGATCGTAACGAATTATAATAAATTTAGAGTGACGATCTAACTGTGCTACAGCTACCTTCGGAATTATTGATATTTTTTTCGATGTATCTAAAACAAGAAAAACATTTTTAAGAAAAGCGCGTTGTTTTGTTCAGAATATTGTATGTGTAATATGCAAGGCTTTGCCGAGCATCATTTACTGTACAATTTTACAGAACACATTGAAATAATAAGAGAACTAGTTCTACATTACTAATTACGAAGTGCAAGTAATAATTATTGTAATTTACCTAACCATTCCTCACAGTCGCACCTATCGGGAAGGCGGTTACGCGTTTGTTGCTAGTTGGCAACTACTGTGAGTCGGCTCCCTTTAAACGATTTCGATTTCGTTTGGCTGTCGTGATTCGATGCATCTGCTCTTCGGTGTTCAGTCACTTCAGTGTACATGGCCAACAAGCTTACAAGCACAAGGTTTCATTTTGAAAGTTTGCTCAACAGCCGAACAGGTCGGTCGTCTGCACTCTGCAGATTGGTTCATCTTTTTATCGGAGCGGAGGCGTTTTTATTCGGTTCGTAGTGTACTTACTAGTTTCCGAAATTCCTTTTGATGTGTGCAATTTTGTTGCAGAAAACGTGAAACGAGGATATCATATTCGGTCCGTCGGGTTGGAGTTATTGTTGGGTATGACCGTAGGAGGAATCGCACCGTCCCAAAGAGCAGCCGCCTAAAAAAAGTCGATCGATAGAGGATAATTCATAATCGTGCGTCATTTGTGACTTGTACGTCCGGCCTTGTTTTTCATCTTTTTGGGCCTTTTTGGTGAGTAAACTATTTTTTGATGGTTGGTAGTTCCCAGGTCTTAATTTGTCTTAATAATTTTTCAGATATCTTGCAAGTCGTGTTTCATTTTGTTGCAAAAGAATGCAGAGTGAAAAATTAACAACCATAATTTCATAATATCATAAAAAATTTGCAGCGGTTCTTGTTACACTTCGCAATTTTTTAGCGCATTGTGCTTATATGTACCACCGCAAAAGATATTGAGTGTCTGTCGTGTTTGCAAACTAGGATCAAATCACAATAGCTCCTGCGATCATATTGTCAATTTTTCCTTTTCTTTGATTGTTGCTACATCAAGTTGTAGAAGCAGTTTGTGATCGCTGCTGAATAGAAGTGTAAAGCATGGAGAACTTTCGACAATTTTTATATTCCCTTATGGAAGTGAGAAGTATTATCGCCAAGTATCGAATTTTTACTGCATTTCTCTCAAGTTTTGCTCACTATTATATATATCATAATAATATATGTTTTTAATATGTTCGCGCTAAGCTGGCACAACTACGATTAGAATCGCTCAGAAATCTACTTTGACTTTGAAATTTATATGATACTTACTGTTAAATTGTCGGAGTTGTTTGAGATTGTCAATAATTTACTTAACCGAGATATCATAATATTAAAATTATGCACTTGCAATTTAGTTGAACGCCACATCGTAATGACATGGTAGAATGATAAATCGGACTTAATAGCGGATTAATGCCCGCATTCAGTGATCGGATAAGGTTTTTATTTATTTGTAAATATCCAATTGTGGTAAATGAATAAATTAAATAATGACTTTAAGCACTGTAAAAATGTGTATTTTTAAAGTTTGATTGGCGCTTATAATGATAGTGCTCGAATTTGTGTTGCTTGCAAATAGTGTGGCTCGATGCTTTGTGGCCTGTGGGACATTTGATAAGCAGTTACTTCCGGTGGCGAGCAGTGGCCATGAGCAGAAGAGTCACTTGTCCATGCAAATTGACGCTTGACTTTACATAATTTTCCTGCATATTGAGGTTTAAGTTTTTAACAAAACTGGTGTAGGTTCCCTCTGTAATTGCTACTTGAAAAGCCGTATCTATGTGTCTTAAACTGTTTTTCTTCCTTTTAATTGTGAGAGTTGAGTATTATGATTGCTGCCATAACATGTAAACATTCTTCTTAGGATGAGAAATTGAACCGGCTAATTTCTTGATCATTTCGGGTTAAAGAATCTGATTTTGAATGTTACAGCAAATTTTATCGCGCGTGATGCGATAGTTTTCGGTTAAGGCTACAGAACTGCGTGGCATTTGCTAGCTTATTTTGTTTACTTATACTTTTATCAATAATAAATTGCGAGTACTACTCTTATTGCCATATTTTTGCAATTTAGGATTTACGGGATACTAGAAAATGTCGGGAGTTCAAGTTGTGCGACAGAGTAAGATGCGCCATGTGTATGGGCAAGTGGACAAGAAGGAATTCTGTTACGATGATATTCGCGTCACCAAGAGTTCATGGGATTCCATGTTCTGTGCCGTTAATCCCAAATTTATTGCCGTTGTGACGGAAGCAGCTGGTGGAGGTGCCTTCATTGTCCTGCCGCTGAATAAGGTAAACTCGGCGGGCCAATCCTAAATTGTTACATTTCTTCTGCTTGACCGGTCTCAAAACTCAGCTCTCTCTGCGGGATAGTTTTGCTGCGTTTTTAATAGTGGGGATGGGCAATAGGTTCTCTTTTGCTGCCATCTGTCGCTTGTTGATTCTTATCGCCTCGCTTGATTTTTCGACCGATTATGCATGAAATTTTATCAGATTGGTTTTTCTATGGTTTTGGGACGATGTAAGTTTTGTAACAATAACATAGTACGAGTAACTTATTTAAAACCTTCGTTATTCGAAGTCGTTATTCGAACTTCGAGCAACTTATTTCGTGTACGGTTACGCACAGTAAGTTAACGGTGTATCTGATCCGGTGGATGATGATGGATCGGTGAGGAGTTGATTTCCTCAAATCCCGACCATCCATCGTTGTGGCCATTGGAAATTTTGGTCTGTGTATTTACACCTTACAAATTTCTGTTTTCTGTGTGTTCGCTCTGGTTTAATTAATAAAGATTTGTCGATTGCACGTTTTCGATTGGCTGTTCCTGTTCTTTTTGTTTTAAGTTTTCTTTGTCGTCCGCTTTTAAAAATCACAGAAATTTGTTGTAATAAAATTTTTCGGGGGTTGATTTTGTTTCGTGAGAAGTACTCACATGTGCCGGAGGAAACGTTTGTTATTTGAGAAGTGTACGAAACCTTGGTTTCATGTGCTGAAGTTCAGCTTGATTTGTAAATATATATTAAGCAGACAACCTATGTACATAGTATGTACGTTAGGTGCCTATAAGGCGATTTGATTTATTGTTGGCCAGTGAGGGTTTCATATTGTCATACATGATAATCATGCCGCATAAATAGCACCCAATATGGCCAAATGCGTACTGTGCTTGCTCATGAAGTGCGAGTGAAAACCAGGTTGTCTGCGCTGTGCAACATCTCGATACAGTTTTGCACTTTGCGTTGTCAGATACGGCAGTTTTTTGTAGCGCACTTCGAGCGATGATTATGATTGAGGTTAAGTTTGTGTTGTGTGTGTGCGGCTTTTTGGCTTGTATGGAGATGATGCTGTGGCAGTTACAGTATTATTCACCGGGAAAAAAAACTAGTTTGCCCTGTCTGCGCACTGCCATTGGCTTTTCGGCCACTGTTTGTTGTTACCTACACGAAGCATGTCATGCTTTCATTTATGATTATGTCGTTAATGCTGTTAATGTTTGTAGGTTGTTCACATGTTACTCTTCACTCAATAATTGCGGCATAAATACTTTTTTAGGTAACTGGTGAAAACAATGGAAATTTGTATTGTCGTTGTGTTTTGCATTTGTTTACTTCTTTTTTTATACTTATGGTTAGCCGTCTTGATTGGTATATTGGTAACTAGTTACTGCAATACGATAAAATACCGAGGAATGTATTTTTATGCAAAGTTGCTCAGAATAAATGACGGATAGTAGTCGGATACCGATAAAATATCGAGTAGGAAGTTGGTTTCGAATTGTGGCTTTTAAATTGTGGCAGTTTTTAAATTTTAAACTTCGGACAGCTGTACATATGTATGCATTGTATTTGTCTAGTTTAGGGGTAGAAGTATAGCATTTTATACCTGTCTGCGATTTTCGCGCGTGCTTGAATTGAAAAAAATCCTTTTTAACGGGCTCTTCTCAGGAGTTAATGGTTACCCTTGGATGATGACATTAAAGGAATCCGGACTTTCAGTAACGTGTTTGTAATCAGCTGCTGTAAAGTGTACAGATATCTTCGTACGATTCTTTGTTGCTGTTTCCAAAATTTTAAGCAATCTTGAGCAACACTTCTCTTGAGAATATTCAAACTAGAAGTATAGATGTTTGAGAAATGTGGTTGCTTACAAAACGTATTCATCCACAGCCGACCGGCTTCTGTGCAGACGGTAGAACATTATTACATAAAAATACGATGCCTACCAATCGCTCAGCTGATGTTGGTATCTTCAAAAAGCAACTAAGACACGCCAGTACCATTTTAAACATGTCGGATGTGTATGTTGATGTTTTCCATGCGTAAATACTCTTTAATTTTAACTTCTCCAAAAATGGGATCCCGCGCGATATTCGTGTGCCAGTGTGATGTGTGTCTGACTCGTGGCTGCAACTGCTGACTCAATCAAACGACACGACCGGAAACGGCAACACACTGACTCATTGTCTTATTAAGGACTGATTCGCGTTTTGATTGAGCTGTCACTGACACTTAACGCTGTTTTTGTTGCAGTTTTCGTCTCGAAAATTATATTGTGTAATCATAATACTCGTATCATTGATTGAACCTGCAATAAATCTTTTCGAGTGCAGTCTGCATGCGTGTTATCAGTTTTTTACGGGCAAAAAATTACGGGTGGAAGCCGTCACGGACTGATTACGAACGCTTTGCAAATTACATATTGCATGCTCTTTCACGCCTGTTTCTTTAAACCAAAGCCCTACGATCTCTTTTTGGAGCGTTTACAGCGAATACTAAAAGGAAATTTTGAAAAACCATACTGAATTTTGCGGGTGAAGAGATGAAATGTAGCATTTTGTGAAGAGGGAAGGGACATACAGTTAAAACAGTCATGAAATTGCACAAGAGGTGTCAAACAAATCGGTGAATGCTGGAGAATATAGATATAGGACACACGATTTTTTTATGGTTAGAAGACGCACATTAATATACTTGATAAATGTTTTTCTGAGTCTTCGATTTTTTGGAAACAGTGCGTGAGACAGTGATTGTTGCACCAAAGCGGAGGATTATCTTGTTGGCTGCATGGGTTTTAAAATTTTTGAACGATTTTTCATGTGCGGAGGAACACAGTTTACCAGCAAATAAACTCGCATTATTTAAATTTTCGGCTTTGTTAATAGTATGGACGCCAGGATAAAGATAGTCCTATAGTTGGTGGTCATAAAGGCGCGGTGTTGGATATCCAGTGGTGCCCCTTCAACGACAATGTAAGAATTATTAAACATCGATTATTCACATATAGTCATTTACGTAATAAGATTCTTGATTCACAAATAATATTTTGATTCATCAGGTTATTGCCAGCGCTTCCGACGACTGCACGATCAAGATCTGGCAGATCCCAGATGGTGGACTGTTTATCAACATGACAGGTAGATTTAATAAATTTTATCGAGATGTCTGTTTTTTTATCATATGATTGTTGTATTTAGAGCCCATTGTATCCTTGGAATACCATCAGAGACGAGTAGGACAGATCCAGTGGCATCCAGTGGCAAATAACATTTTGATGAGCGTTGGTAAGTACAAGTAAAACCAAAGTACAATTGGCTTTTAGGCTTTTTTTGTGCAGAATTCCTTAGTTTGCACCCTTTGTTCAATGGAAGCGTAGCTTTCAAGAATTGTTTATGTCGCATGCTTTATTTAGATTGTCTAAAAGATTTTCTGTCGCTGATTAAGTCGCAAAAGGTTCTCAGAGTACGGTAATGGATGAACGAATCTTTGGCGATCCGCTTTGGTTTTCGCTATCAAAAAACTGCCACCTGTCTTCGCGTTAGTACATTTTGGTATTTCCGAAAGTAGTCCCATAATTATCAGGATTGTGGCTACGTTGTGGAGTATGGACTGTAGACCATTTTGCATGAAAGTGCATTTCCTTACGAGGTTGTTGCGGAGCACGACAGTCTCGTCACGAAATGAATGAATCTATTTAGGACAGAATACTGATGACAGCTACAAACTGCACTTTAAATGTCTGTTTTACCAAAGTTCTGGTTTGTCTGAAACTGAAATTCTGTTTTCCTTGCAGGTGGTGACAGCAAAATTGTGATTTGGAATATTGGTACGGGTGAACCCTTGAAAGTGATCGAGGGTCATCCCGACATCATATTCTCTGCTGCCTTCAATTATAATGGAAGCAAAATTGTCACAACCTGTAAAGATAAGCTGATCCGTGTTATTGACGCTCGGTCTGGCGAAATATTAGAAGTAAGTTTTCTGAAAAGCATTAACGCCCAGGGTGAACTGTGAACAGATATCACCGTGTTGACTGTATGATGTATTGACAGAAAGGCAAAGGTCACGATGGAACGAAATCCTCGCGTGCCATTTTCCTTAAAGACGGAAGTATTTTCACCACAGGATTCTCGAAAATGTCCGAACGCCAGTACGCTCTACGGGATGAGGTAGGTTTCGTGATAACTCTGTAAAACTCGGTAGTCGCCAGCCAGTACAGTATGTAAGCGGTGTTAGTGGTCCGGGTCCTAAATTTGGCAGTTAATTGTACAAAAAACAAAACCACCAGTTTTTATGGTCCTTGCAACCATAATTAACTATATTTAACTTGGATTTTGGAAAAGTATTGCCTTCAGGTCATGTACTGCTTTCTTGCCAACAGCTAACAATAAGCGGAAAATCTCACTGCGGTAACTGGCTGTTCAGTTTTAACATTGGTTTCTGCTTTCTCATGACAAAATAATAACTAACCACTAACCAATAAATTCAATAACTAACCACCATAAAGATATGCTGCTGAAGATCATTATTTTTAGACAATGTTAGATGATCCGATATCGATGATAGAAGTGGACACTAGCAACGGCATATTGGTGCCTATTTATGATCCAGACAGCAACCTTATGTTCGTTACGGCCAAGGTAAGCGATTCCATTCTTTTTTCATCTTCGTGAGGAAAGTATGGGTGTGGTTTTACAGGGTGATAGTCAAATTCGCTACTTTGAAGTGAACATGGAGCAGGTATAGCAAGGCTGTGATATTTATTCAGACATCACATTTTCTTTAATAATTGTAAAAATTAACGGATGAGTACCATACTTCTGCTAAAGTAATGAATAAATGGACTGTGTGGTGGACTTTTGTTGCTGTCACTTTTTTTTGAGTCGTAATAGTTTTCTTATTGTTATTACAAATAGATTTGCTTGTTTGCATATGCCGTTTTAATTGGCCAGTACAGTTTCAGTACTCGTAAGGAATTAAGAAAATAATAGGTTTGTATTTGATTACAGCCACCTTATATTCACTACGTAAACACCTTCCTGAGTTCCGATCCTCAGCGCGGATTAGGCGTGATGCCGAAACGGGGTTGCGATATTGGAGCTAATGAAATTTTTAGACTGTACAAACTTCATGGAAACGGCAAAGTGGAACCTATAAGATTTTTTGTACCGCGAAAGGTACGACTGTTTTCATTTTGTGTATCTTAAAATTTGCGTTGGGTATTAGCAGGGTATAATTTTGTCGTTCTCTTACTTTTACAGTCGGATTCATTTCAAGAAGACTTATATCCAGACACTGCTGGTGATACCCCTGCCCTCTCGGCTGACGAATGGTGGACAGAAAAAAAGGATGCCAATCCAGTCCTGGTGCGTTGCAGGTGTTTTCTGGTCTACTTTATGCGATTTGAATACAATTTTCAATCACGCAGATCTCGTTGAGAGGCGGCTACCAGGCAAAAGGCGCTCAAACCTTACAAGTTACTAAAAAGTCCAATATCCTGGATAAAATGCCTTCGAAGGGAGCTGCGGGCGGGGTGCGTATATACAGATGTTTATTAAGGAGTTGCTTTCAATTTGTACAGCTTTGTTCTTTTTTTGGTTATATCTATATCTCAAGAGCAGTATATTTGCATATCTATATTTGGGCTTAATGGGGATAGAAATGTAGTGGTGAAATACATTAAGCCGTGGCGCATGGGGAGATTTGGTGTTATCGCGTTGGCCGATCTGTATTCCCGTAATATTATGCATTGCCCTTGGAAACGAATGCCGTTTGACTATGCCCTCCGAGCACTGAATTGCCCAGAATGTCACTTTTAAATTCTTTCTTAATACATTTTCATAAAACCTACGAGTAACAGTTAAGTTCCTGTTGAAATTTAACAGTTAACAATGTTTTTATTGCCTTGTCCGTTGAGGAAAGTTCATAACGCATCATTAAAACCCTAATTAGATGTAACCAGTGCCAGTTGTAATTCTGTCCATGATCCAGTTACCATAATAAATTGGATTTTCCTTGGCATTGCATGACCATGCATGAGTGATGTGTGATAATGTTGGACTGCAGGCTGGAAATGAGAATGGTTGCACGGCCGCTGATGGTTCGCAGACTCCGCGTGAACCTGCTTCGCCTACCGTAAGTGCTGCATGATTACTGTGCCGCGGACGCGACATGGGCAGGCAATTGTCTGATTCACTGGCAGCTCGAAATGGGATGCTCGACAGAAAGCTCAAGCTTCCCTTTAATTCATTGTTTCAGTGTAACAAAATTAATTGGTTAATTCTTGACTGTTTTGTATCTAGATTACGTCAGCACAATTCGAAGAGCTACAAGCCGAATTGAAGACCTTGAGGAAACTAGTGATGGATCAAGAGAAGAGAATAAAGATTCTCGAAGGCGGCAAGCCGGAAAGTAATGGTGAAGTCAAAGAGAATGGTCCTCACTAGCGATAATTTGGAATTCTGGTCCTCTCATGAAGCACTGTTTTTTTTATATTTGAAACGAAAGCCGTTCAATTTGGTCCGTGCTCAATGCAGCAGCTTCCGTGGATAACCGTACACTTACTTATTTTTGCCTTTCATCGTGTGCAGTTTGCCTCTATCTTTTATTTTGACCCGTTATAATTCTTACTTTGTATGTCGCGACAGTCGCGCGTTTTCTAAATATAGATTTTTATTTGTTTCGTTTGCTAAATTATACAATGTTTCATGCCTGAAACTCTAAGGTTTGTTTTCTGTATATTATAGAAATAAATAAATTGTCCGGTGAGATCATGGGGATGCGATCATAATTTTTTTCACTACAATGGGCACAACTGCGGAACTTTCGAAAAATCAGAACGGGATTTGTGTGTTCTTTATCGCAACACGAAAGTATCCAATGGTTTTCTTGCGGTTGGAATAAAAATATTATAACCTGCTGTGTACGAATTTATTTTAGTGGCCTGTACCACCAGGAAAGGGGAGAAATAATGAACATTTTACACAAGCACTGCGATAGTTCAGACAGTTAAAATCCCGAACGCCATCAGTGGAGATATCAGCGCAAAAATGAAAACAGTGGAAATCAACAAGGCGTTAAGTACCATACAACGATGACTCATACGATACAATTAACATCATAAGCAAACGAATAAAACCAATTTTTAACTACCACGGCGCTTCTTGCGATCGTAATCGCGGTCCCGCTCCGGGGTACCGCGACGGCGTTCCTCCTCGTTTCTCTTAGCGCCTTTTTTCGCTTCCCCCAAGAATTTATCCAACCCAAAAGGATCGGCTTCCCGCTCGTCCTTGGCGGCTGCCGCGTGTCGTTCAAACTGTACGGGTCCATCGCGTCGCTGGGCACGATCGGCTCCTTCGAATCCTTTATCTGGTACAAAACGATTGGTCTTGACAATTTCATCAAAATCATCACCGTACACCTCCTTATCGACGTTCTTATTCGGGCGATACAGCGACTGGCCAATGTTCTTCTCTGAACGCCAGGCTTTGTCGTAAACGTTGTAACTTTCGTCCTCTCCGCCTCCGAAACCACTATCCATTCCTAACAAAGCAAAGCATAGTAAGAATTCCGAAATGAACAAGAAACTGTATCAATACCTCGACTCTGGTTAAATAATCTCTGATCGAATGCCGAATCATCGCCTTGGTTAACCTTCGCCGGTATACCCAGGGCGATCTTCTCGCTGATGTCGCGCTCGCGCTCCCGCTGCAGCTTCGTGCGTTTATCGGGCGCGGCCCGCTGAATGTTGCGGTCACGAGCACGCTCCTTATGACGATCGAGTCTGCAGTAATAACCGAAAAATTACATTTCAAAAGCCAACAGAAAAAATCCTGATAATTTGTTTAGTACCACTAACAAGCAACAACCTACTGATAAAAAAATTATCTGCTGGGTTCATGTGAACCGAAGTGACAATAAGAAAGTTTAGCTTGAACAATAACAAGATGATACAAACACTACATTCTACTTAAAAACAAGTCTACACACTGTATGATAACCGCAACTCAATACGTGAAATAAAGATCTGTCTTTGAGGATCCAAGTCAGATTTTCTATGCAAAACATCTACTAAGTACCTGAGTTGTTCTCGCTCCCTAACTTCTTCCGCACTAGCTTCTTCCGGTGCCGTTGCCGCACTGCGAATCCCAGCGCGCTCTTCGCGAGCTTTCTGAGCCAGTTGACGAAGATTTTCTTCCTTCCTCTCCTTCTCCTTCTGTGCCAACCGACGCTCTAACTGTGATCTGGCTTCTACAGCTTCACGGGCCTTGCGATCGGCAATATACAGGGCCTCCGCAAACTTGGCAAAATTTTCATTGATATGCACTTGTTGCAGGCCGCGTCCATCGGCAGCCAAGCGTTTATCCAACGGTATTGTGTAGCCTTTAGCATTCTTCCAGTTGGATATGCAAGGAGGGATTTTCCAGTCGGCTTGCTCTTGGACGGTTACCTAAATCGCGGAAAACAACAGCTATGACTCTCACGATTAAAAAACCAAGTTCCGAGCGTTACTTCAGAACGGATGCACATTTAAACAGCACGATGTGACTAACCTTCCGCGGAGGCGAATGCATGACCGGGGCCGGCGGTGAGGGAGGAGGTTTAGGCAGCTTCTTGTTGATTTTGAATTTCGGTGGCTCCATGGGATCATTCTGCTGTTCGACGACGCGGACGATGCGCTGCTTCGCACCCGAATTGAAGTTGTCGCCCTGCTGAGAGGGTGTGTAGCGGACATACTGATCAGGTCCGACGGCTTCTGCTCTCCTAACTGGCATGGCGGCAGCAATTTTGGTGTCAACGCGCACTTGTAGGGCTTGTCTTGTCTCCTCCGCTAGCTTGGCAATTTCTTCCTCGTCGGGTTTCTGTCGAATCAACCAAAACATGGATTAAACAACCTTAATACTGAACGCAAGTTACTTATTCAAAGCAGGGATAAACCAAATCAACCTGTCTGAACAAGAACATAGCCCTATCGATTCAAATACGTATGTAAAATGAACGCCCATATGCATCTCTGCATCTTATGAAACAAGAAATACATTAATTTCAAAGTTTTTCATTCTAAACACCAACTACAATTAAGACGTTATGTACTACTGAGTAGTAATATAAAAACGAAAACAGTGGAAAAAGTTAAGTTTGCTCAGCAAAGAAAGTACCAGAGGAAACATCACAAACAGTATTAAAACCATAATTAAATTTTAAATGTGTGGTGTTGTACGTTTCTAAAGAACATCATCTTGTGTGGAGTTCCAGAGAACTCCCTTGGCTTTACGCAGTCTGTAATACTCGGAGGTTGTATCCAAAGACATTGTGGAATAGAACATCGAAAAACTAATTCAAGCTGGCTAATGAATGGCATAAAAAACTTGTTACCTGCAATTCTGGCGCTGATTCGTTGCGAATGGGTTTGGGCACCAGATCCTGATACTTGGAATGTATGACTTTATCCGCGCGTTGTCCCTGTCGGAGTAGCGCATCATACTTGATACTGCCCGCCTCATCTACCGCCACGGCCAGCGCATTGGTCTTCTCCCCGCGCTTCCGTCCCATCTCCAGGGGATACTGGGCCACGGGGATTTCGGGAAAAGCGCCTCCATCACCGTAATCTTCGGGAATGCGCGGAATGTAGCCACTACGGTGGCCATACGGAGGAATCTGTTTCTGACGCGATACCACGGCTCGCTGCGACTCATTGGCCACACGCTGACGTTCAGCGTCCCGATCGTGAATGATCAGGCTCGGAGGAGGCAGAATGCGACTGAGGCCTGACATCCCTGCCACTTGGTCGTTGGATCGTTGACCAATCTAACCGTGATTTCTGATGTGAAACCAGAAACAGTCACAGGCTTCGAGAAATAGAATAAACTGATTCCTCGACCGTTCTCACACAGTTGGTCAACTGAATAACAGGAGATTCAAGAATGTGCGCGTACTCGAATCCGCAGACGAAATGCCAGCCCGATAGATATGGTACTATAATTATATTTTTAGTTCAAAATCAAATAAGTACTACCTGTAAACCCCGAAACAGATTACAAGCGTGTGGAACTGCAAAAAAAGGCATGCATGGGCCATGGCATGGTCATGGAACATTTGACGTATGTAACAGTAGCCCGAGAGAGGGTGCTGCATGAGTATTATAGCTATTACTTATTACTGGATTGCCGAATTTTTGTAATTTTATTGAAGGATTGCCGAATTTTTGTAATTTTTTGTCATTTATCTGTAAATTATATTCGGTAACCATAATATGTGGTTAATATTAACTGACTAATTATAAATTTTTCAGTGATGCTAACAAGCATAGCTGTTGGAAATATAGCACGATAATTCGTACAGATCAGACCAGTTTAAACGGCTGCTTTCTTGCCTACCCTATGACAGGGGTCACAGGAAGTTCCGTGTGAACCGACCGGCGGCCTTTGTTCACGGTAACAAGGGATCTTTTCCTGGAGATACCGTTAAGTCCAGAACGAATTGAACAAATAACAAGAATAAAACTATACATTACTTATATAGTTTAAGATTATAATTTAACTTGACTTTAACCTATTTTAAATCCTGATTTGCGTTTCAGCAAAAAAAATCAGAATGTTTTATGCAGGATGCACCTTCTCTCTGCCTAATAATAATAGTGATTGTGTCGACCTAGCCGCCGATAATAATGATTGTTTGGTTTTGTAAAAATCGATAAGCATTGTTAGGGGTTTTGCATACGGTCTACCGGTCTTCTACTAGATGCAAAAAGATGCATGCTGATGCACCTGTATATGATGTCCCATGCTACAATACTGTGATGTATACAGTATGTAAGTCATGATCCTTGACGCCCTTGCGCGGCCAGCTATTCTCTGCACGCCACCATTTAACGAGATGGAGCGTCCTTGTTGGATTATGAAATTCATTACCATGTATGCATTCCGAGTCGGAACTTCCAGCTTGTGTGGTAGACCTCGGTCGACTGTATTTTGCTAAAAACCGTTGGATATGTGCACCTTTTATCACGTGTGTGCAGTGATACAGTATATATACAGGGTGCACACGTCAAGTTGTCATCAAACCTTTTTAAATCTTCTAGATTTTCTGATAAAACCGGAAATATTTATTTATCGTTTTTGTGGTTGCTGTTGTTATTCTTATCGTTTGAGCGGCGAGCCATAGACTGTAAACATGCAGTGAGCGTGTTTCGAACAGCAGCAACTAGCAACCGAATATATCAGTTTTTCTGCCATCGCGAAAATCGCTGTTTTTAGCACGTACTTGCTTTGTTACGTTTTCTTCTAGTCGTCCATAATTAACATTAATTCAGGAAAGTTATGTATGTCCCTGTTTACTTTTAAATCGTTCAGAGGGATCCTTGCCTAATTTAACAATCATTTGAACTTTTAAAGGTCTCGGGCATCTGCAAAAAAATTTTCGCCGCTCGTACCGTTAAACATTCGAAAGCCGGGAAAACTTCCAAAAAAATTTACCCTATGTGGTTTAATGATTCCATTGCGTTTATTGTCTTCTTACTTATTCTCAGCGCTTATTTAATGTTTTTTAGCTTATTTAAACTAATTTCCAGCGTGGAAAGTGCTTTCCTGATTTTCTGATAACTTGAGTATACTGACCAGAGAGACACCACCAAATTAAAGATTCCCCTTTGGATCTGCCTTCTGACAGCAGTTTTAGAGCCAACGGTCAGAAACTAATATCAGCAGGCGTAGAATTTAATTCTGGACCAGAAACAAACAAATAAACTTGAGTTGGTGAACTTCTTTCAGTTTTTAAAAATGATTTACTTTTTGGTGACAACTTGGCGTGTGCACCCTGTATATTGTACTTCTGCTGAGGATCGCCGGCTACGATCAGGATCCGATCCTCGCAATCCTCGGGCCGTGGGAAAAGTTACTCCTGTGACCGTAGTGCTTACTACTGGCTCATAATAAACGAGCAGTCCTGTAATAATTTGCCAGTTTTTGCAACAGCGCACTGCATGGCTTCGACATAGGTTTAGGTTTCTGTGGCTGACTACCAAAAATTAAGTGAACTCTTTCTATTGTGAAATCTACTGGTGACAGTAGATTAGCTAGAACTCTAGAAGTTTTAGTTCACTTGTTGTAGTTTTCGGCATTTTGGAGATTTACATTAGTGAATTAGTTTTTTTAAAGGTAGCTGCAGTTTGTATAGCCATGTACTGCATCTTTGTAAGTATTCAGTGCCAAGAGTCGACTATGTTTGTACTCATATCAGTAGTGCATGATGCTGATGCATATGAAGCATAATTATGTTGCTGCATATATTGATGCATATGAAGGAGATCCTTCAAATGCGCTAGCGAGTAGCCACTACGCTGTTTCCCATTCCATAAAGTATTCGACTGATGCATGTGATCGAACTCGCACCGGCCGGCAAAATGCTTTTGCCAGACACTGCACGAACAATAAATGAGACAAATGAGACATTTGTACAAACAAAGCAGCTGCCAATTACCTTATGTGCTCTAATTATCTCCCACCATTTGATGATTTACTATTATGGCATTTAAAGCAAAATGGAATCCTTAACTAAGTGAAATGAGATATAGCTGACTCCCACCGTCAGTCGATACACTCTCGGCCAAACACTGATTTCCCTTTTATCTCTGCAGTCTTCATAATTAGTTCATTAACTGATGGGTTTGCTGCGCTTGTTCGGACACACCTAACTTGTAAACGATTTATTTCCACCCGACTCCATCACTTTGGCGACGTTCATAATCCTGATGCTTTGGGATTCTGCCGAAGTTTTTCTTTTTATTCAAATACTTATCACAAGGAGAGCAACATGTAGCAAAAAAACCAAAAAGCTGTTAGAAAGATGTTTATTTGTGCAGTATCTGTACTATCGTCGCCAATTTTGAAATCATTTTTAAAGCCAGATTGCTTTAAAAATAGGCTTATAATTTATTACGAGTTTGTACGAGTTACAAAGCAAGTCTTTTGTAAAAGCATACGCTCATATTAATTAATACTTGTATACGTCGAATTTTCTTGTGTTTTTTGTATACATAATTTTACAGGTGCTTGCCGACTCATGATCATGATATTATTCCGTATATCAGGTTATAAATTAAACCGAAACACGGCTTCACTACACCTCTGGCAAAAATAATAAAAACCAAATTGATGCACCGCCGGCAGACGAATAAGAAATTTAATGGATTCGGGCAACCGCGAAATGTTGTACGACATCGAATTACAAGATACGCGCTGTACATGAGATAATTTAACAGAACGCACGCGACAAAAGAAAATCATACTTAATTGAGAAAACGGTCGGTGAAATATGAACACGGTACAGAGCAGTCATATAGCGCATTAAGCTGATTTATTACAGGATTGAGATCAAATTTCCAGTTTTTCCACTCCATATAATATCCGCTCTGGGGATGATTGTTACTCCGTTTTAAAATACTGATTATGATTAACTGATGACATTTTGGCCATTTGAATAACAGTACTGTTACTGTTATCCCGTAATCGAAAATCATCCGCCAACGGGTTGAATGTGCCATTCATATTGACACTACTAATGACAGAGCGCTTGCTGTCCACCGGCTCCATGCACAGTGCTCCCGATACGCTTCCCATAGAGCCGATCGATCCCGTTAACGGCCCACTATCGCCATCGTGCGAGGAATCGTCACCGTCGTTCAAATTGGCCGGATCATTCGATGCTGAATTTGAATTCGGGGATGACCTGCAAGAATCAAATATTTCATAAAAACCAGTTTATTTTGACATAATTGTCATGCACATCTCTTCGACATTTTTACAGTACGTCTTCGATAAACATACGGCATAGATTAATTTTTCTATTTTTTCGTTCAGGCGCCACGCTTTTACTCTAAAGTCTACGTACAGTAGTTTGGCCTTTAAGCGATTACAACACAATTAATATAACTGCAGTTTCTGGCGCTACTTGAAATTTTCTTGTGCTAATATAAAAATCAACTATGTATACAGTAGTTCAGCCTTTGCGATTACAACTCCTACTGCTGAAAGACTGACACCTTATTATTTACAACTGTTAGTGATATATGTATATTAAACACTATTAAATGGCTTGCGGGTGTATGTATAAGTGCGGTCAGACTTTAGAGTGACTTTTGCTACGTTATTTTATTACGTAGATAATTATGTAGCTGTGTTGCCTCTGTTGTTTGAAATTCATTACCCATTGCATTGTACATTACTTTACATCTAAAATGCATGTTAGTTTAATTTGCCGATTGACGTTTGTTGGTTTAATTTGCGCAAAAAACGTTAAAGTGCAGCTGTGTATGTTAGTCGGACTGTGGTAGGTTCGTTTGTGCCGTTCGTACAAGTTGCATCTTGTGGGCAAAGGAAGTTCACAAAGAATAGAAAGCATAACAATGACGCGCTCGGACGGAATTAGGCTAAAGTAACTCGCCTATTGTTTGAGCGGTGAAAATAAACAAACAACGACAAAAAATCAAGTGTTTTGAATGCATGCAGCGTACTAAGAGAGAAAGAAACGGGCGATAAGATTTGTAATGCGAGGACAAGATCTCAACGTCTACACCTTGCTCGTTTCAGAAAGATTTGCATATCGTCGACCATTTTGAAAATAGTACGATACAAGAATTCTTAATGCTAAAGATATTTGCATAATACATATTATTCAACAAACTTAGTTAAGCCAAAAAGAAAAAACAAATCATATCGGATTAAAGTTAAAGTTGGGCCTAATTATGGTGTACCGGTGATGCCAGTAATAAGGATTAATAAAGAGATTTAAGAAAAACTGGAAAGAATAACAGTAGGTAAATGTAATAACGCATATGCAAACGACTTTATTATTTCATATGATTGCATATTTATGGCTATGCCGAAAGTATACAGTACAAATACAGATCACTTACCAAATGATATGAAAGGTCACACCACGAACGACAGACGTATAGCCACAGAGACTAGCATATTCTGCGATCACTGCTTTACAGTGCGTGCTTAATATTTCATTTATGGACTAAATGGTCTTCTCGCACGATTTCGCAAGAAAAAAAAATTTCCAAGGGAGCAACAGCATCAAATCCCGACCCATCATAATTAACATGCGGTTTGCCATACAACGTGCCACGGTATAGTCCATGTGCAAACTGCTGTTTAAAGTGATCGGAGAATTTTCAGAAACAGAACGCAATAATGTCTCTCTAGCTTTTGATATCAATCGATTTCGACTTTTTATGGAGCAAGCTGTCAGTTTTGACGAAATCCAATCGTTTAATGTTAAGAAAACTGCTACCAGCTGCAAAACTTGTGCAAGCTAAGACACCCGACTAAAATTTCATCACAAACAATACTAGATCAAGTTGCCTGTAGTGATAATCATGTGTTATGAACAATATTCCATAATATTTGGTTGTTACACCTTTATGTGTCTTGTATACTTTAAAAGTATGTGATAACGCGACACTAATTTTATAATTGTCCTCTTGCTGTATGTCATCATTCTCAAATTATCATTTTTGCGTTCGACTGATCGCAAGAATGTGTTACGGTAGCACCTGCAGATACATACACTGTTGACTTACCGGCCGTCTTTTTCGTTAGCGGCGCGATCCCGTTGCCGTCGATTTTTAAACCAGTTGGACACTTGGGTTGTGGTCAACCCGGTAATTTCCGCTAATTCTCTCTTGTCTCGTGGCGATGGATATGGCTGCGAAGTGTACCATTCGCGCAACACATTCCTGCTCTTTTCCTTAAAGCAGTAACTTGTCTCCTCGCCATCCCAGATTGTCCTGGGCAGCGGAAATTTGCGTCGTACACGGTACTTCCCCACGGCACCCAGTGGACGGCCGCGCAACTTCTCCGCTTCGTTATAATGCGCGCGCATCCACAACTGCTGTAATTTGGGATGAGATTCCGGACTAAAGTGGTGCGACTCCAGTAGCATGTACAGACTTTTGTAGTCATTGCGGTGGAAGTACACTGTTGCTCGGGCCTTCAGTACGCTTTCGTTCTTCTGGATCTCCGGACAATGTGGCGGCAAGGACCAGAGGAAAGATTCTAAGCGGCCAATATTGTTCGAGTTCTGTAGCACGTCGCATACGCATGCCACTTGTTCGCTGGTGAACATGAAGGGCGGATTCATGTTGATGCGGTTAGTCGGCACCCCGACCATGTTGTAGGGATCGCTAACCATTCTGGGCATAAGGTCGGTCGCGGTCATCTGTACAGATGGTAACCCGATTCCCAGGTCACTGCAGGACATGGAGGAAGCGGAGAAACCCAACGCAACACGTTACAGCATTAAGCAATTTGATAACTGCCACGTCGCGGTACGGGAAAGGACGGAATATGAGATTGCGTTGAACGCTAGCTGAGCTAGTTTTACCGATTTGAATATCGCTCGGGATCAAAAGGCTAGATCGCTTTTAAAATACCATCACTGCTCCTCTCTCTCCTCCGTGTGTGCATGTGTCTGATTTAAACAACATGTGTTGGATTAATTTGTAGCTGACACCAGCGCGAAAATGTGCGGTAATAAAATATTGTCATATACACAGGCCGCGTACACACCCAGAGAACAAACGGCCGCAGCTTAAAACCTGACACTATTGGAAATTATCGCCAGTTATTGAGATATTTCAGAGTCAACTGGGTTCACTGAAGGGAACGTGCAGGAAGAGGCGTGACTGGTACGTACAAGCTTTGGTACTGTATAAGCGACGCAAAATGACGGGTATCCACTATGCAGTGTATTAAAGACCTTTAATCATTTTAAATGGTAGACATTGTGTAGCCCCGCCTATTTGTCGCCGCGATTGGCCAATGTTGGACGATGAGTTAATGGAGATTGACAATCTGGTCGTTACGGCTAAACTTAGCTGCGCACTCTCTGTACCATCGGTACCATCGACACAGTAATCGGATATTAATATCCCTGATTAAATCTGAACATGTGTCGGAATCGATAAGTTTTCCCTGAGTTGGTACTGGTAGCTGTCATTTTGATAAAGCAGTTGATAAACGGCACATTTTTCAGCGATGGTTGGCCACCCTCCAGGTCACAAAATGCTTTGTGATTTCGCTTGAAAACTAAGAGCATATTAGCGAGCTAGTTAACATTCGCCATCTTTAAGAAAAGCTAGACAAATTTTTCTTAATAGTGTCCTGCTAAAAGGAAGACACTTAAAAGCATATTTAGACTCGGTTGCTAATCCAAACAGGAGAAAATGGACAGGAAGTCAGTTGTCAAGTGATGCCGGCGCGGTGAGGCCGCATGATCATAGCCAACTGGCGCCTGAATCATTCGTCGGATAAACATTGAGAATTATTGTATTGGGTTAGTATGCGAGGAGGCTTTTAAGGGTTGAGTGTCAATGGATGGTATTGAGAGATTACCAGTCAGAGCTTGGTTTACTAACAATCAAAATCAAATATTGCCTTTTACTCATTCATGAACTGGTGTATACTCATCATGTGAGTAAGAGACCAATAATAATGCCTACTACAGCACTAACAGCAGCGCTGATGCAGTCAGCCGAAATTCTTGTCAATTCCACAATGGATAAGTTAAAGCTGCTGGGATGTGTGTAAGTGTGTACCGAAGTGCTTCCGTATGTTTACTTTGTTTCCGCCAATTCTGCGCATATTTGTCCTTCCAAATGAGAGTACAGGAGAAACAGCAGTCATGCTGAGCACACCCGCAAAACATTTCGAATCTCACAAAGTGCCCTTTTAAAACGGAAGAAAATTGTCTTAATTACCATGGCTTCTTAATTTCTTGATTAATAAAATACCACGGACTTCTCATTATTTTACCGATGCGATTTTTAAATTTCAACTTCTTCGGTTCATTTTCAGGCCTGGGATATCACGCTATAGTTAAGAAATACTAAGAACGCGCAGCTTGCGTTTCCAGTTCAATTTAATCGTAATCAATTATCGCAGTGTCGTGCCTGACTCTTCGTTATCGTTCGTTCAAGGGTTGCGAACAGGCAGAGCAAGATGGCAGGGGAGTTAAGACGGCAGTTTTAATGGGCTTCCTGTCCATTTACAGTCTTCAGACAGACTTTCCTTTCGTTAGTGCAAGTGTCTGGAAGAGTGGAAAGATAAGGATGCCCGTGTCTAAAGCGGAGTGGCAAGTGTTAGGACTGCTCGCTGCTTCTGGCGCAGTGGAAGCGCCGGTCGGTTGCCATCCAAAATGGAAAATGACCGCAGCCGTGTGTTTCTCCCTTCTTGCCTTTTTGTTGACATAGGCAGCTGAAGCCCATCCATCAGTCTCGAATTTCAGCCTGGTGCAGTGGAAAATGACTGGCGTGCTCACGCTGAGAAGGAAATCCGATCTAGCCGTGGGATCCGCATCTTTGCCCTTCAACACCAGCCGCTCATAGCTGTACAGCTCTCACTCTCGCTCTCAATCAGTACACTATTAGGGAGCCGGCCAAATTTTCCACTTGCACCGCGCACTGCTCCCCCAACGCGCAGAAGAGACCTTGCCCAATAACTCGTTGATAACTCGCTTATTAACAATGCAATTTTCACACTTGGAGTTATTCGGCTAAAATGCCATTCGCATCCACTGTCAAGCACATTTGAGCCGCCGACTGCCTCGTTGCAGCAGATTATTTTTCCACCCTACGTTGCATCACGGGGGCGATAAGCATTTTATTTACAAAACGGAATAATTAATCTAAGACTCCAAATGCCGGTAGTTGGAAATTTTTAATAGCAATCAACCGTTAACCGGCAGTGACAACGCTTGTGACATAACATTAACCGGCCGCGGCAGTCCGAAATGGAAAATATTGACAAGACCGTCTTTTTCTACCGCGCGTCCTACCGCTGATGAGAAAGAGGTTTTGAATTTCTCAAACGGGCACCAGTCATATTATCGGAACGTAATCCAATCTGTTGGGCTAACATTTGATCGCGCACTAGGTTCTGTTAGGATAAATAATGTGGACAAAATTGCTTTTCTCTCACTGTGTACCACTGTATCAACATACTGGAAATTCGATGATGATAATTCTTGACGCAAATTTTCTATTCAATAATAGCTTATTCGTTTTACTGACGCGCGCGCATTGGCTCATAAAAATCTGTCAAAGAAATTCTAGATTCCATATTTTACGAAAGCAGACCTAGTTTACGGATATCAACAACATGATTGGCGGATCTCTTGCCAGAATTAAGTAAAACGGATTTTTGCTGAAATTGTACATGTATTCTTTCAACCGAAACATTTCCGGAAAAATCCTACACGGCAGACTGACGTTGCGATATACGAGTACAAAGAGTTTATAAGTTAGAAAACTTTGTCTACAAGTCTTTCAGACTTGTGTAGACAACAAATGTAGCGAATAAAAGCTGGAAAGATGAAACGATGGCTTTCATCAGCTGTTAACTTTTGTACTGTGAACTAATTGCAAGTAATTCACATAGCGTCTGCAGATAGTAACGAAATAGTCAAATAGAAACAGTTCAGAAATTGTTAAACAGTTACTTGTACTAGTTTTCCGTGCCACCGTGTAATACACATACTCACCATAATTGATTTACAAAGTAATTTGATTGTGTTCGTTGCGGTTAGTGTTTGAATGACAAAAGTTAGGACGATTAAGACCACTGATTCGCTTTAAGACAGTAATCAGGTCACTTATTTCCTGTAATTTAACGCGAGCCCATGGAAAGCGATCTAACTACAGAAACCATACTCAGGCAATCTAATCTCTTTAAACTGTTGAGATTACTGTAAGCGAAACTCGCTAAACGTTAAATCGACAATTTTCCGCTGACAAGTTTACTGTATAATTTGATCTCGCTCTTGGGAAACTCATCCGCAATTTGTACTGGATTGTAACGCCACCAAAGCAGTCTATTAGAATTAATAAAGTTCTATTGTAAAGTAATAATCTGGTTGATCCTCGACGCTTTGGTGGTGGTAACCTTTGCACAGTGCATTGTGCAGTCCTGCAACATCATCGATCTGCTTCGTTTATCAACGATGGATGATGCTTCCCATGGAGCAGATTACTGTAGTAATTCGTAATTATTTGACTGATTATCAAAAAAGTTGGTTACTGTACAGTAGTTTTCATCAAAAACCAAATTATTACGCTTTGCCGAGAAGCAAAAGTCATCCTTAGCTCAAACTTAAACTGCTTGGCTAGCGTAAGTTTAAAAGGCCATGATTAGGCAATTTTTTATTTGGACTTGTCATTCTGAAGTGGCAAGTGGAACCGGTTTTGACCATAGTAAAGCATTTAAAGCATGGCTCGCACTGATCGATAAGGTCACCCGGCAGAACGACAGACAACTGATTGGCAGGAAAAATTATTTTCCTGCCAGCCAGCTTCGTCAGTGATCCGCATAACAGGGCCGTTTGGAACAAATCCTACAAAGCGAAACATTGGTCGATTAGAAGAACAGCGCAATTTTGGCACATTCGCAGTTGAAATAACCGATTCATATGCTCTGGTAAGCGGCATTCTACGTACTGCAATTGATTCGAGTAAAAATACGTATTGAGTATAGACGCTTGCTTAAACGGACACGCGTCTAAAGTTTCCATGTGATTTAGTAGCGAGGGAAACTTGATATTAATGAAAAGGACCGTATGTTAGGGAACGGAACGGCCTAGTTGCTAGTTAAACATGTTGGGCACTTCTCGTATTACATTCACGACAGAAATCCTCTCAACTTGTACAACAAGGAAGAACTCGATTGTTGCATGCAATTTTAGGGTCGCGTCCTATTTCATGCCGGTCAATTGGATTTTTCAAACTGTATATTGTTCGCAGTTTCTCACGTGCAGCTGCGGTATTATCTTGGATAATTTATTTGTTTATTGGTATGATGTAGTAATTAATATTATTAACTTCAAAAATTTCAGTTGCCGCAGCAGCAGTACATTGCAGCATTTCTACAGTATATTCCTGCTCGGCAACTGACCAATTAAGCTGCTCCTGATTTGGTTACAGTACTACAATTTGTTCAAGGAAATGTGAATTTTGAAATAAAATCTATACGTATTTATATTGCACAGACACATTAACAGTAATGGTGACCTTGTAATTAAGTAGCCATTAGAACTTTTGTTTCTTCTATGAATCATCATGACCTGTTTTGTTAACTTGACGATATCAAAAACAAATAAGAGCATAGAGCTGTATACAAATAACACATGTATATTATAATATTATGTACAACTGTATCACTATTTCCATTAATTTTATTATCTGTGTAGGCAGAGCTTTCACATTCGCGTCCGTAAGTCCTAATACTCCACTATTCTGTGATCTCCACATGGGCCGAGCATACAACTGTTCGTAATAATTACTTGCATCATCAGCTCTTCTTCGGTCTCGCAAAATCACTTCTCATAATTAATTTCCTTCATGTGTATGGTATGATTAAATACAACAACTTCTGCCACCATGCACTCCTTTTGCTCGACTACTTGTATGTACGAGTAATTTCAAATTTTCAGTTTTTAATGTGCATGCATATAACCAGTCTGTCTAAAGTAGAGGTAGCTGTCCAAGACAGCGTTAGCCATCCATCCATTTGGCGTGAAAGGCCTAAAAGCGTGCCGATGCTGTACTGTACTTCGCTTATTGACATAGTGTAGGAATATTTGTCAAAAACTGCGTGTTGAGCAAGGCAATAAACATGAAAGGTGTTTTCGTTTAAGATCAGCACTTCAGATGTTGACGCATATTAAAATCGAAGCGTGTTTCCGCTGCAACTGTTGGTCGCATCACTGCATGCTGCCTACTCTGTACAATCGCGTGTGGGTCAGCCGCAATGACCCTGTTAATGAATTGCTATGAAAATTAATCGTGATGCACGGGAACAGGAAGCCCTTGCGCTGCTACGCACTATGTGAGCATTCACTAAAGCACGGGTATAAATTTATTCGTTATTAAATTATTACATGTTGATAACAACATTTAAAATTATGACGATTACTTAAATTACGTTGAGCATTCACTAAAGCACGGGTATAAATTTATTCGTTATTAAATTATTACATGTTGATAACAACATTTAAAATTATGACGATTACTTAAATTACGTAATGGGGGAATGATGCAGAAATACGGTTTATACGAGTATACTTAAGTATAAATAACACTGACAACAGAACAAACAGACACTGCGGTGAGCAAATATCTAGCAAGGTGTACAACCTGTGAGGGTAGCGCTTTGTAAATGTTGATAAAATTTTGATAAAGTTTGATATTGTTGATTTGCAAACTTGCAGATCAACAATATGGATACCAGACTTGGGCCGCCTTTTTGCGGAGCGGGAAAATTCTCCGCCATTCCCGCCCCTCCCCGCTTTTTTGGAGGGCGGGAGCGGGCGGAAGTTTTGAGTTTGGAGGGACGGGGCGGGGAGGAAAAAAGTGTGAGCGGGCGGAAGCGGGATTATTTCAAAGGCGGGCGGAGATCAAGCATAAAATAAAAGTTAACATCATTTACTGAAATATCTTCACTATTTTTTATAGAATTTCTAACGGTTTTGCGGCGAAATTGGTTGTTGGCTTCAGCTTCGCGCAAAATTGGCAACTGGTGTGGTCTTTGAACAGACATTTCTGAAAAAGAACACACGGAAAAAAATTAAAAAAGGAAAAGCACCGAAAATTTTTTTCTCAATTTTGGCGGGCGGGTGGCGGGAAATTAAAATATGGCGGGCGGAAGTGGGAAATTTTTTGTTACGGCGGGGCGGAGCGGGGCGGAAAATTTTTAGCAAGAGCGGGGCGGGCGGAAAGCGGAGATGTCGTTGGCGGCCCAAGTCTGATGGATACACATTTCTTAAGAGTTGAGTGTCCATATATAAAGAAATTTCCACCTGATTGTTTTAGGACCTTTATCGCTTGTACAAGTGTGCACAATAGGATAGATTTCTTATGCACTGTGAAACCAAAATCATCCGCGTCAGGCTTGCCTGCACCGCGCTAAAATTTAAAACATCGGATCGTTATATATTTGTATATCTGCATATCTGCATTACATGATGAATCAATAGGCCTTGTTTATTCAACCATGTTTTTTAATGTAAATGTACATTCATCGCTTTTTAAAATTTTATTTAATATCATCTATGTGCACTCTGCGTACACCTCAAAGCCAGTAGTGAGATCGCACGTGAGAAAGCTTTCAATACGGCAAATTCGTATTTAAGATAATATATATAAGTAAAAATATATAATTGCACCAGTACATAATTGTCGCATGTTATTGTCGATGACTCGATACACACTGTGTAGTTATCTCGTCTGGCCATCCATTTCATTGCGTCTGTTCCATTAATAAACCTAGTGTATGTCCATTCACAAGTTGGAGCACAATAGTACAATTGTACATATACCCGTTTTGGGTTTTGTTCGCTAGCGCTTCGGAAAAGTGCAAATTTTTTTATTTGAAAAGTTCTGTATAATTAAAAGAACATATTACGCTTCTTTTTCTGTTTTTAGTATGTTAAGTATAAAAGTACAGTTAAAGTCAGTGAAGCGGTAATTCTAAACCAAGCTTACTAGAAAGAAGTGCAGCTCTACAAGGGAACCAGACTAGGCCAGCAGAGTAAATGTTTTTAACAGCTTCGAGGAGAATGTTTAAAGAACAGCTTCCTGTCCTGGTATTCTGAGGCGACCAACTGGCTCATCAACCACAATTTGCCGATAATCTGATCTCGCCCATCTTCAGTTTTTCTGGCAGCCACCGTGTACAGCAAGGAATTCGGCCGGACTTTGGAGAGGTTAACGCGGTAATCCAATTTACTCTTTGAGTCCCATCCGACAACCGCATTAGGCAGGAAACGGAGGAGTGTCGGCGCTTTTACCTTTTTCGTGTCGGTGCTGACGGCTGCCGCGTCGTACACTGGCAATCGATTTTCATCCAGCGGTCGGTGGCAGTCCCCTCCCGGCAAAAGCTTTAGTGCTTCGTGCTGGACGGTCAAAATTTTGGTGACGTTGGGATCGAGCGAAGCCGGACGGAAAGTGGAGAACGGCAGAGAGAAAACGTTGCGGTCGTCTCCCTGACCATCGGTACCATGGATATTAAAAGTAAAAATGTTCTCCGATGGCTTTCCATCCACGAGCAGTTTCATTGCGAAGGACGGTTTGAAGCTGGGATTGTTGATGTCACAAGGACCCAAAGAAAATCGAATAATTCCAGGAATAAGCGCACCCGCCTTGAACACTCCGGTGTAGGAGGAATTAGGAAATATCTGTAGCAGCACTTTTCCGCTGCTTCCATATGTATGCGTTAGTTTAGGTCGGTCCATGGGGAATTCATCCCCGCTCATTTTGAACGACATGATTACAAAACTCTGATTAAACAACTGATCGGACACTGGAGGTTTGTGACATTCAGTTGGTAGAGCGTTAGACTGATAAGGTTTTGCTGCGATGTTTCTCCAGAGAATCTCTTGCTTAATCCACGCCGGCAAAGATTCGTAGTCGCGGGACAATGGCGACAAGGAAAGTAATCGTGGGAGTGGCAGTGTTGGCGCTACATGTCGGGTAAGGACGGAAAGGTCATCCTGGTAGTCGTTATCGGGGAGCTGATATGCGTCGAGATCCAGTTGCACGGAGAAGACGAACGGAACCCTTCCTATGGAAAAGCCGCATATGAAGAAGGCTTTGCTTAAAACCAAATACAGCGGTACCATTGTGGTTTCATTGACAAATGAAATTTCTGTAGCTTCTGCTCATAAATAAGGAAGAACGACTGAGGTGACTGTGCAAAGAGAGAGGAGATTCAGGGTCTTTATATATCCTGATGTGAGCCTTTTTTGTGTCAAAGTCAAAATGATTATGTTGTGATAACATCCTTTCTGTATAATTTATAGCTTGAAATGACGCGGGGTAACACCCGGACACCTAACATTTGTTGGATAAGTTAAACAGTTTTCCAGGGCCTAACTGCCAGGGATTCCGTGAGTTACCTGGCTCCTTTATATTTGTCCGGTTTATTTTGCATTCCCTTTCCAACGCGATGACGTCGCACTCGACTAGACGGCTGCTCACAAACCGCGTGTCTAGGCAGTAAAACGTTAGGTCTCGTTTGCATAGAATTGTCGTACATTAACTTTATGATCCATGTATTGAGGTGATAACAATTATTCCTGTTTGTATAAGTGCACTTATGCAATATTTACCTTCATTTTGCCACAGGGAAATATTTATAACGTTCATATTCAAACGGTTAATAGTCAAATCAGAGTCATACTAGCTTACTAGTCAAATACTGGACGATAGATGTATGTAACATGGACCGGTAACGATTGTTAAGCAGCAACAGGTACTGCACCGAATCTCCAAATTATTGTGCCTATGGACTATGATTACTGTACAAAATGGTTAGAAAACAATGGCATGACCAAACACTTTACGAAAGTATTCACGATCGATACTTATGCATAAATGGCTATGGGTCAGCGTACCCTCATATTCCCAACGTCGCACCTACCAAGTCCCATAACGTGAAATGTATTTAAAAAAATATAGGTACTGAAGTACAAAAGGTGTCAAAATGGACAGCTGTCCGCTTCATACACAATACAGCTCCTTACCAGTGGAAAGCGCTCTGGTAAATTGTCATGTATTGCTCTGCACCCTGCATCCATCAGCCTCCAAAAAAAAGTCCTCGGATTCCGAGGAACTGTATAACATGTAATGTACTCGTATTGTTCGAGTTCCTGTGTAGTTTACTTTACAGACACACTCACGACCGAAGCGCTCGAACGTTGCGCTGTGGTCATTGCTTTTGACACTGCCGAAGAACACCTCCCATCCACATTTCCTCATTGGCGTAAATTGATGGTGTTCTGTAATGTGATTGCCGGGAATCTCCTGAGCTCGGTAAATATTTCATTGCAAACAGCCACATTCATGAACCGTTTGGCATTTGATGCTTGTTATAATGCAGTTCTTCATTGTCCGGCACTAAAATGAATGGGCTCGAAAGATTACAGCACCCGCGGTGCTATTTTCTTCTTGAACTTAGGGATGACCTTTGCTCTGTCTACATCGAGTGTCGTAATACTGACGAATTAAATTACAGGTGACTGTTACGCTGCTATTTATTTTGACCATCGCGATCCAGCATCCATAGACAGCCAAGATTTTTTTACTTACTTGTTCCAAAAAGCGCAACTTTTTCTTTTTCGTTGCACTCCTCTCACATAGCGTAAAATTAAATAGAAGTCATCAACAAACGCACATCATTCTGCATGTCGTTTGGATTGCCAATTCTCTCCTCTAAAAACGGAAAAGATTGGTATTTGGAGCCTTGTCTCTGATTTTTGTAAAGGTGTGCTGTTAGATCGGTGAAGTGATCAAATTTGTATCCTATGACACTTTAAAATTCAGTTTGTGCATCGCGAAAATCCGCTTCTTACTAGTACTGTTGGGGAGCACAGAATGCTACTGTACTTGTACACCAAGGTTAAAAAGGTTAAAAATGCTGAGGTCAATTTTAACCTTATTACAAATGCGAGTTTTTAACATTTTTCAGTTTTTAGTTTTAAAATGGATAATTTACAGATTTTATCAGCATTTTCGGCGTGCAGATTATTGTGAAAATATATAAAAATTTGTGGGTGCCTTAATTCTGGCAACGTCTGCTGAAATTTTTCAGTGCTTCTGGCCTACACTAGTCGCTAAAACACTCCTGCATACGATAAATTAAAACAAATTTCGTTTATTTTCAACGGATGCCTTTCTGTCAATTCAACCGATGCCTTTCTGTCAACTTTTTTGTTTTATTCTCGATAAGTGTCATATTACTACGTCTTTCGTTAATCGCCTTTGCTGCAGCAGAGACATTTGTAAAATGCTGCTTTAACGAGATCGTTAATGGCAGCGCGCAGTTTGCCCAAACCAACATAAAACAGCAACGGATTAACCCAGGCATTGGTCAAAATGCAGAACTGCTGCACCGCAAAGAATACTGCGTTCCAGTACTTCGTCGTATACACCATGATCCAGTAGACATGATTAGGTGTCCAGAAGACAATGACGGTCAACACAAGGTACAGCAAGATGCGATTGTGGGAACTGGTTCTCGCATGCTTGGCGCGGATCATACTTGACAGTTTGCGTCTTTTGCTTTCCGCCGTGATTCTGTAAACGCGAATTTCGTGGTCCAGCTCCAGGGAAATGCTGACAGAGCGACGCTTCCGGCAAGCAGCAACTGGAGGATCCGGAAAGGAATTTGTAGCACAAACAAAATCTGGAAAGCGGACCACGTTCATAAATGACGTAGTACTAGCAGATGACGTATGTTCACTGCTGTGGCACTCTTAAAAATTACAAACGAGCCTTAAAAATGATAATAATACAACATGTAATATTTGCATTGTTGGAGCAGTTATTACTGAACAAAAGCGCTATATACATTCTCATCTTATTCGTGATTATTGACCAAATCCGCAGGTTTTGTTACTTTTATGAACTGCTGGAAGCTTCGAACTCAGTGCAGACCATAAGAAACATCATAGTTTACATTATACATATAACATATGCATCTCACAACACGTTACCAGGAAATAGCTACATTAGTACATGACATAAATCATCAGATTAATGCAAAATCGTACCTAAAGGATTAAGGTTAACGCCGCTCTCGCTAGGTCGCAAACGCTTCTTGTGTAGTTTCCAGAAAATAAATGGGCAAGGCAGTAACACCATTACCTCCGTTATTGTGAAACTGAATATCTCCACAAAAAGTGCCGAATAATACTGTACACTTGTATTAACTAAGCACTCGATGTCGTACGGGTCCTTCCAAACTCTTCCCCGAATGATCACCGGTAAATTCAGTATATTGACGAAAGCAAATGAACCGGCGATCAAAATTACCGCCAACTTTTTCGTGTGTCGCTCCTTGTAAGCTACCGGGAAGGTCACTGCCCACAACCGATTTATCGCGATTAGGACATGGCCGTAGCGCACCGCCGCACTGAATATGACGTCACAATATAAAAACGCCCCACAGAGGAAATCATTCCACGGCCAGTAGCCGTAATATTCTCTAATTAAATTTCCCGGCATCGACGTAATAGCCAGTGAAAACTCCAAAATACACAGGTTGGCCACATACATATTAAAAGCCGTGCGGACGTGGCGATAGCGGAGGAACACTAAGATGATTAGGGAATTAAATAGCAATGTGGCGAGGCAGGATATTGCCGTGAACGAGAACATTAGCCCGATGACGCGATCCGTGTTCACACCTTTTTGGCTGGATGTCGCATTTGTGATGTACTCCTCGATTTCTGAAGTATTATTGTTCCACATTTGTTATTAGCAAAGCTTTGGTTGCTAAATTTTAAAACTGCTGTGATCTTTCTCGGCTCCAAGTTTTTTCAAAATTCCAACATGCACACTGGAGCTTTAATGACACGTTGCCAATTGAGAAACAATCATACTAAACCAGTATGAAAACAACAAAAACTGTAAGCATCAGAAAAATATAATATATAAAATACTAGTATATGCAAGGTACTTGCATAGTACCTTGCATGCAGTGGTTGATGTGCTGAACGCAAACGCAAAGCAGGTAAATTGCGCAAATTCATTGTCAAAAAGCAGCAATTTCTAATTAATTGCTTTATACAGTGCCGTATAATTGCAAAATCTAAGTTGTAAAACTACGTTTTACTCCGGCAAAAAGCACTGCACATGAATGTGTTTTCGTCCACCGAAAAAACTAGCTGTTGTAAGTGTCAACTTTCCAAACAGAGCTACTAAACAAAATATATGCTCGGCTGCGCATCAATGTTGGATTATATTGGCCGATCATGAAATTTAATTGAGATTCTCAAGTGGAAAGTTTTGCTGTCACCGGAAAAATTGGTAATATGATCTGAGCTATGGTATGGCTTCCAACCCAAAAATGCTCGTTTCCAAGAAATAAAAGGTATGCTTACTGCTTGATGGCCGTTGTTACTTGCTAGTACGCTGGTAATTTCAAAAACTGTCCTTGTCAAGGAAATTCGTTTTTGTAGTGTAATGTTTTTTCATTTACTGTTCTCGTTTATGAATGTATGTAATTGCCCAAGTTTAACAATTTTTGTTGTGTGGGTAAGTATTTAGGCAGATGCACCATATCATAACACATTCAAGTTCTATAAGGTGGCCGATTTTAACGAGATCTTATTCAAGCTCTTACTCCATTATGCAGTTGCGCTTTATGGAATATGCAAAACGATAAGACAAAAAGTTCATTAATTTTAAATTTTCGTGATCAATGAGAAATCAAAGTTAATAAAATGGGCTTTTTAAAAGAAAAACTGTACTACCGGGTGGCTGAACAAAATGGCGGTCTCATTTACACAGTCGCCCTGGGTCCGTCCAATGTTCGATTGCGATAATTATTTCATTCGAAAGAGCAATGTTTACCGCATACAAAAATTAAACTCGGATTACATTAGGCAGAGGTCTGGTTTTATCTTAAATTGTTTTTAAAAATTGGGCAGGTTTTGATGATGTCCTGAAAACGGAAATCTGAAAACACCTATTACAAATTAAAAATTGCTGTTGTTCAGCAGAGAGCGTTAATGTAATTTACGTTGCTATTTCGGGTTTGGGGGTGGTCTCCAGTTCTTTTTATGTAAAGAACTGCTGTATTCCAGCAACCGTGTTTGGCCAATACACGGAATGACGGCGATTGGGCACGGGACAATTTTCATGAAATTCGTCAGCAGAGATTTTGATAGTAAATTTCTGGCCAGCCCTTCAGACGTTTATCTGGTTCAGCACTGCCTCTGCAAGAGCAATACAGCTAGTAGCTACTGTAAGAAGCTAAAACCGGCATTTTTTGGTGCAGTCCGTAATGCGGGCAAAAATCAGATGAAAAATACTCATAAAAATCAATTAAAAAACCAGCATTTTTTCGGAAAGTTACAAATTATCCTAACTGCATAACTACTTCTGTGAATGCACGATGTCTACAACTTTTTTTACAGTCAAAGTAGACGTCATGCTCTAGATAAGACACTGGAGATTTTTCAAATAGTACGTACGGGAAAGCAATGCTACGAGATTCTGGGTTTTGAGACCTGGGACACGAAAAATTTTCACCCGATTTCAAATAGCTCCAGTGCAAACGACCACGACTAAAAATTTTTAAGAACGCTTTGCTGATTTTGGTAGCTGAATAAATTCTCTTTCAGATGAGCTTAAACAGTTTGCGGTGCGACAACTGGCCCGCAAGCAGCAAACGAAAATCCGAGACCGCCATTTTGTTCAGCCACCCGGTATTTGCTCAGCATATGATTGTGATGGGTGATTGATTGATTTTATTTAATAATATCTCCTTTTCTGTAGTTTTATTGCTCAAGCAGTATTAATCGACAACAAACCGTGTGCCGCTCTTAAACAAGCTATACAAAGATTCCCAGTTGCTTAGTGCGGGACAAATAAATACTGTATTTCCATTCCAACAAACCAAAGCATCCCGTTGCAACCAAGAGAAAGGCGAACAAAATGTACACCTGTACAACGACACACACAAACGCTCGTAGAAATAATCCAAAAGCACATCCGGCAAATTTGAAGGCCATCATGAATGAGTATGATCCCGTCCAGTCGTCAGCAAATATCCTGATCCAAAGTCCTTGAACAAAATTTAGTTGCATGCACTGGGAAATTCAATCAGACTCAGTCGCAACAATTAAACTATTTTCTGACTCTATTTTCATGATTTTGATCAGGGATACGTTCTAGGTAAGAAAAATGCACACTTATAATAATATGTAAATCAGTCCATGTAACCAGTAAGCGTAAAGTTGTATACGTAAATTAGCATTATTTATTCAAATATAGCGGTAAAAATATTGATATCTAATGGGAACGTCGTATTACGTGCGACTGCATATCTGTAAGTACTTTTACTAAATGGTTGATCACCAAAGTCTCCAAGCATATTTGTACATAGGCAACAATTATTGTCAGATAATAACTGTAAATTATACAATTATAACTACAGTAATTATAATGATTGTTAATAATAACTGTTGAAATACATTCGGTATATAGTTTCGAATGAGTGCTTGCATAGGTTTTTTTCTGTTAGTAAGAAACTGTGATAGGATCAGGCTAAGAAAAAGCTAAAAAGTTCGTTAGAGTTATCGAATTACCGGTTATGAGGGCCGAGTACGCCCCTTGAGTCAATCCCAAGACACCAGACATAACGAAGAAGACAGGAACATCATGATTTCCGGGCAACCAAGTAGACAATACAATTTCGATCCCAGCTTGAAAGAACGTGATCCAGATCAAAATGTGCACTCGCTTAATCTGACGACTCATTTGATAAGTTACATATAGGGATAATGCCCAACTTCCGGCGTACACTGCCAATGACCAGCCCACATAATCTGCTGTTAATGCACATTCAATAAAGTCCTGCAAAGCACCATCTTATTAGGGAACTGCCTTTAATTCCAGCCGGCGCGGTGCTTGCTATTCTACCACCGTATTCTAGTGATGCCACCGGCCACGTAATTATTAGCTGTACATGTAATTATGAAGAGCCTTGTTACTCAAAAAGCTAATTATTGCAACTACGTAGTAGCTGAACAAGGCAGAAAACAACTGCTGTTAAAAGTAAGTTAGTTGACTTAGATCGACTAGACGACTTGATTTCAATATCTGCTGTGCTGATATTTCAAATCAATATTTTGTGGGATTATTTCATTGTTTGTATTTTGTTTAGCAGAAACCAAAAGGAATACTGTTGAAAATAAAGTTTTGCTATGCCTAATTCTGCGTGCTTGCTATAATTTGTACCAGCTGCTGCGGCAGTAAGCGGCTGTCGCGTACGTTATGACATTAGTTGCACCACTGCTGCTTTTGAAAATATCATAAATGTTGCACTGTGTGATTGTAGAGGGAACGTCATGTATGTTACTCGTACAGTATGTATACTGCAACATTATGGGACGCGGGAAATGTCAGATTGATTGTGGTGGCAGTTAATGGAGACCGGAAACGGTTATAAAATTGCTTCGATTACATATACGGCAGCAATTTTTAATGCATCAGCTGATCAAATGTAATCGGCTGTAATGCCATTTAGGGCGAAACGTGGCCATTTTAAAAATCACCGCTTTTCCGCTTTCTGCACGCCGCACCCGAAAATAAACTACATAAATTCAAGAAAGCCTTGAAGTAATTACTACTTGAACAGCGACATATATGGATAGCTCTCGTCCCAAAATAATATTAATTGAGCAATTACTACTCCGGAAACATTGTTATTGTTCCAATGTGCGAAGCTTCCAGCGTATCCAGGCAAATAAAAGTACGAGTATATTTTTGCAAAAATTAGACTTGCTAAAGCGCAAAATGTATCGATTTGTCGAAAAGTATCGAACTTATTACTGCAATGAAAAATTGTATCATGTCGGCACCGGCAATATTTCACGGCCCCCGGCCCACTTCCATTCTGAGCACCGGAAATGAACAGTACGAAGTAGCAGTCATCCCCCCGCTGCCCATTAATCACCCCGTACTGTGTACACATACATGTACTGTATACCCATCACACTGCAGCGGGAGCACACCATCCATTGCCCATGCCCATCGAAAGATTATTAATTACCTGTGAAAAGCTTGTCAGCATAAAGGCCCAGTGCAGTCCGATGAGAAAACACACCGGGAGGAGCGTCTGTAATTTATGATTGTAGCACAGCAAGTCAACAAGGCCACGTAACTGACTAATGATCGGCGGGGAGTAGTGCTGTTGCAGCGACGTGCACTCACTGCTGTCCGACGCGGAACCACCGGAGAGCAACTCCTCCTCGGCCGGCTGCTGCTCATGTGACACCACCGCGCGACTGCGCCCGCGCTGCTTCCGGTTGTGGTTAATGTTGTTTTGCGCTCTAGCGAAGCACACCATCAGTCCAGCGGCCAGGCTGCCTAGGCCCGCTACGCAGCCAGCCAACAGGAAGAGAATCATGTTCAGATAATCACCGGCCTCATCCATCATCATCGGGTGGTGCAGCCGCGCGGCGACATCGTGCTGGCAGACGTGCGAACCACAGTGATGCTGCATATCAAGCGGATGGACAATTACTCTCTTGAATTCCGAGGGAATCACCCACATCCGCGCCACACTGCAGGTTATGGCGGCCAGCATTATCCCAGTCTGTAGCCACACTTGCGACCACACATACCATTCTCCCGCCGTGGATTTGGCGTCGCTGGTAGCGTTGACCTTCACATGGGCGTACTGGACAGCGAGACCGATGACCTTTTCCCCCTGCCATACGCTCAGCACGCCCAGCATGCCGCCGCACACGGCGTTCACAGGGATCGTAACGTACACCCCCGGGAAAAAGGTCAAACTGACGGCGTACCCGACGGCCGTTGCCCCGGTGACAATGGGAACACGGTCCGGTTTGATCCAGTAGCAGACCAGCGGGTACAAGAATACTGACGATAAAAACGCGGCCGAATAGAAAACAGTGAGATTAGCATACTGGACGGCGAGTTCGCGGTTAGCAAACAAGGCGAAGACAGTTTGTGTCGTGACAATACTGAGATTGATTAATGTCATAACGGCAACATGGCCGGCGTACATGGTGCGAATGACGGTGGGTCCGAGGGGACGGGTGAGCGGAGTGATTTCGCTGATTGCCGGACTCCAGTATGAGCCGTCATAATGCGCTCCATGGGGATTGTGTAATCGGCAGGTCGTCGTCGGCTGAATGCCGGCGGAATGTGCCGCTGGGGGATCGTTATCGGTTAGTGGTGGGTAATGATGCTTGATTAATGATTTGCCGGCTAGATGACCGTCCGAATGGGAGCGAGCCAACATCGCGGCCGGCATTCTTCTCATCCGTCATGAGCGCAACAGCCGCACGGAACCGGAAACCGGCAATTGACAATGGACATTCTTAGGCCACGCCCATGCTGACCGGCGTGCATGGACGAGTGAGGAGCGCTGCAGCGGATTGCCTACAGGAGATAATCCCATTAAAATGCCGGTTGTGTGTGTTTTGGTATGGGCATAAAATCTCTCTGACATGAATACTGAATTGCACGGGGACGGGATGTTTTCGAAGTAAACAGACGTACTGTGTATATCCACCGATGAGGACAATGATTTATCCACGCGGTATCAGAGCGTTCTTCCCGGTCTGCAGGCCACGGCGCTGGCGTATAACTCTCACTCATTTGAAATTTGACCGCAATGACAAAGAACACTGTATCCAAACGCGCGCGTCAGGGTGTGCTGGGCAAAAAGTGCCGGTCTCGCTTTTCCCGTGTACAAACAATGCCGATCGTCCCCGGCCACAGTATACAGTGGCAAGGCAGTTGAATCAATATTGGCCAGATTGAATGGGATGTGTGTTGTGGGGGATAAAAGGGAAATGTCTCATTTCTTTAAGTGATATGTAGGAAAGTGTTCATGCATGTTATTTATGTGTCGAAGATATCTGACTGTCAGTTACCGTGCATATAAATCGGACCAGTATACGGATAAAACAGTAGCGACCGGCGGAGCGTGCATATACCGCGCGTACTGCTACTTATATGGGAAATTCATGGGGCCATAGCCGTGGAAATGTTCCCATAGAGTGCACTGTCAGAATGACAGATTTTAATTGTATGGCTTGTAATGTGTGTATGTAAATACGAAGTCAATGGCTTATAGCCAGAAGCTGTAACTCCGGAAAAGTGGGAGGCGCACGAGTGGGGGATCGTTGGCGGTGGATGAGCGGGATCATCGCCGACAGCTGCTGCCTGGGTCGGGGACGGGATCTTATGGAGATAGATGTGCTGAGTGTGGGGTCGGTGCAGTGCGGTGCAGTGTAGCCGCAAGGGAAGACCACCAGCTGTTGTATAGTACAGTTCCTGATCTTGCCAATCAGCGATAAAATACGATATTTGTCTAATACTTTTTACATTTCTACCGCAAACGAGTTAGACCACCAAATCTTGCAGCATGCAGACGATTATAATTGTGCGAAATTCATTTAGTGCTATGCGCGGGTTAATGTTGTTATGCAGATACAGTTTTTGATATCACAAAATTTGGAGAAACCCATCTAAACAACTTATCACTATACAGATATACTAATACTACAACTGATCCCGGTGTAGCAAAATAAAATGGCCACTACGCTGAACGGACAAACTACCTTTAGACTTAAACTTACATTAAGTTATCAATAAGTACACAAATTCTGTGCATTTATTGGTAACGTAGCACTAGAAGAAGCGCACAATATAAGCCAGTGCCTGATACGTTCTGAAGGTGTTAATTTAACCTGTCAAGAAATAAAAGGAGCCGGAAATTATAACACACTGTACATATTTCAGTGTAATATTATGAGTGTATATATATTTCTTCAGTGTATATATTCAGTGTATATATTTCTTCATCTACACGTGTAGATGAAGAAATAATATTTCAAATAAGGCTGTTTATTGTTTTTTCATGCAGTGTCATGCAGTTTGGAACAATATGCGCTTAAATGTGTTACAAATGCTTTCATTCTGGTGTAATGCGTTTTATCAAGAGCTGCATTAAAGGAAGATGTCGGAAAGCGTGAATCACGTCGCAAGTTATGCTATGGAATGACCCCACCATGCTAGAAAAAGAAAACGTTCTTCCAGAAAAAGAGTTTCTTTTGTTCCGTGGAAGTTAGTTCGAAGCTGTCCAATTAGGGCAAGAAAGTGTCTTACCTTAGTCTTACCGAAGAGAATTAAAAATTTATGACAGGTGACATGAAAAGAAGTTAACTGCTGCTTAATTCCAAGTCAAACGTCCATTTGTCTGATGGAAAATCCATGCCAAGTTAGTGTGCTTGCAATGTCCCTCGGGGATGTGTATTCATCACTTTTATTAGCACAAGGTTTCTAACGTCAGGGATTCCCAGGCAGCGTTGTGGTCGACCACAATATTGGCTTAACTGTCGAGTGGATGTGTGGATGTTTGTGTGTGTCCTGGACGCGCTCACACTGCCGCGTTATCGTACTCACCATTAGGTTATGCTGAGCCGCGGCTTATGTATACACTGCTGAATCTGTTAAGCATACTTCGTACAGATTTCGGCGTGTAATTGGAAAAGCGCAATTGATTTATGCATATGACCACTACTGTTTCTCTCCCTCCATCCGGATGCGGCAGCGTCCCTCTTCCCGGTCGGCCTCGTCGCGGAACGGGACAGCCACTGGAACATGTAAAAAATTAGACTCGTCAAGATGTTGCATATTATACTCTCTTTCTTCTTGCCTGCCTCACTATGATCATTTCTCATGTATATTGATTGCGCATTGATAATGCGCAGTACAGGGCATGGCTTTTCTTAACCACCGAACATTGATTTAACCGGAAGTTCGCATAGTTATGTGTAAGAAACATATATAGAGCGTTCGTAGCCCTAACGAAAAAGCTCATGTATGAAATCGTATTATACTTAAGAAAAGCAGTCTCCTTAATGCCATGTGCGAACATTCACGCCATGACCTTTGTGATATACAGGAAAATGTGTGATAAATATAATAACAAATTATTCTGAATCAGCACGAGCGTGACATGGTTTACTAGTTCAATATCTTGCCATTGGATTTTTTATTTATAAATATAAGCCGCAGGACTTTTTATTTACAAAATATGTAGTAACTGCTGGAAGATATAATCACCATTTGTGGTAATTACAGCTACCGGTATTTGCAACCCTCACATGTCAATACATGTGATACACTACTGTATTTATTTGGCAATAAAGTTCGGCACCAGTAGTTTGCATTTTCTGAACCCAAAAACCTCGTTACGAGCTGAATGTTTAATGTTAACCTGTATTTTTTACTACGCTAATAAATATCGTTGTAGGGTTCTTCATCGAAGCTGCTCATCGGGTGAGCCTACAGATAAAATATTCCTGGATCGAATATCCCTATGGATCACCGGTAGCAGGTTTAGAGCATTCCTTTGATGTCTGTGTACAACTGTACCTTTAATGTACGAGTATACACTGTCTTGCACAGAACTTAATGCGAACATGCAGTATAAAATTTAGCAATAATTTTGTTGTTTTTCCGTTTGGAAATTATTCCAAATGCTGCTTTTGCCCGCTAGTTGGCCAGTTGTTTTAGTACGAGCTCGCTTTGTTTCTAACGTAAGTCGATAATCTTTATCATTCTGTCGGTTTTTTCCCAGGAATCCGTTAAAAGAAATTCTTTGATACAGCATTACAGAAAACCGGGAGTAACGCAAAGGCGACAGCAACCTAATTAAATTTTGCAATTGGTCCTGTGGATAATGATATATTGCTATTTTTTTAACTGCTAAAATTAAAAATAAAACTGAAAACCATTCTGAGGTATCTTTTTCTACAGCTCCCAGTCTGTGAATTAAGAAGATTGAAGCAAACTGACTGTCCGAGCTACATAAAAGTTTTGCATCGATAACATCATGAATTATGGCAGAACTGTGACTGCAAAAGAAGTGTTTGGACCATACTGTAAATTGCTATATAGAATTCTGTAAGCGGGGGTTATACCGTATGTCCATGTAGAAATCCTGTCTATGTGCATAATTACCTCCAGCAGGATGTCCCTCAAATTAACAATGCTTCGATTAACTCAATTATTCGTTGCTGTAATTTGGTTTAGTAGTCATTCTTCCTTAGCTACAATTCCACTCGAATTAATTGAATCACTTTCTTTTCGTCGTTTTATTAAAATACTTAGCTGGGTGTATTTTATGCACAACGGAAAGGTGAAAGAACACACTGTTTCATATTATTATGCAAAAAAGTTGTATAATAACCTTGTGCTTTGTCAGGTGACACATTGAATTCTGCTCAATCCAAGTGTAGCCTAAAAAAGTGTTCCGTTGATGACAGTTGGAATTCAGGGTTTTTTCCCTTTCGGCTTTTCTGGCTTGCCGGCCGGCTTTTCGTGCTTCTCACCAGAAACAGCGCTGCCAATATCCTCCCCAAATTTGGACGCTTTAGCGACCGCTTTATTCCCAGCGTCAGTGAGGTCCTTTGTCAGTGCATTAATTCTGCTGTTAACTGCATTGGTCTGGTTAATGGATTCCTGAATCAAACCTGCACCTTTGACCGTGGTGGTCTGGAAGACGCTCTTGACAATGGAGAAAATTTCGCCGATAAAGGACACCAGAGAGTCTTGTATGGACGATACACTGCTGATTGCGCTGTCCTGGAAGGTCTGGACGTCGTTGTCGGCGGGAAATGGGGGAATCGGCGGGATATTCATCGCATTGTCATCTGGTTTTGCAGCTGGGTCATGTTTGTCGGATCCAGAAGGCTGTAAAACAAAAAAATTTAAAATCTGTTCCAACAAACAGCAACGGCGCCAATATGCCGAAGTGGCTTCCTTGCTGCTGAATGCTTGTGCTTGCAGACAAAAAGCTTGGACTGAACCGGACGCGATACGAACACAACAAAAAATGGTGGCGGCAAATCGGTGCAACCGCATATATAATTAGAATACCGTTATAACCGTTTTATCGTTCCTTTCTGTTTGTGGAAAATGTATACGGTATTTGTGTCCTTGTCTCTAATAAGCTGTTAATACTGCAGCATATATGCAGTTACTACGTTGCGCATTGTAACTTGTTTGACTATACTAGTGCAGGAAGTATCGGTTCTGGTAAAGGTCATAAACGCATTATTTAATTTCGATCTGTCATAAACAAAGTATTACGAATTTTTCAACGCATAGACGAAATAATATGGACGTGGATTAGAGAAGCACTTAACTGAATTCGTTTTTTCTGGGAAAGTATGCTTATTAGTCTAAATGCTTACCTCGGTGGCATTTGATTCACTCCGCGCGTAGGCGGACCGTGCTTTCGCCGGTTTACCAGCTCCTGGTTTCGGTTTCGGAGCGGCAGAGACACTGGCACATCCCCATAATATTAACAGTGCTGCGGTGAGTACAAAGGAATTCATCCTAAAATCAAGGCAGTCTATCAAAAATGTTTGTAGACAGATTCTGTGTACGTATCTGTAAAACTTATAGACGAACTGAAACTGTCGCAGAATTTGCTTGCGCGAGTGCGGTGCAATGGGTACATTATGAGAAAAACAAGACGCCTAAGGCATAAATTGCGCAGTAATGCACTCTTTTAACTGCAGAATTAATACTCAATGTCTGGCTATTTTTTTTATTGAACCTGCTAGTGATATAATGAATGAAATGCAAATATTATATAGGTGCAGCATAGTTGTACAATGTAAAGGCAATGCAACCGATCATCGTGTGCAAACATATTACCGCAGGTTAAGATTTCATTTACCCCGATTTCAGTTATATGCCGTGATTCTGCAGCTGCATTCGGCGTTGCAGCTGATCTTTTTGTTAATTAACTTAGTGTTTTTTGGCTTAAAATTTGGCTCATCAGAAGCGAGATATTCATTAACGGCCAAGACAGAAGATAATATTGTCAGGAAATTAACATTCCCACTTTGATTTGCTTTAAGTTTGTTGGTGCTTCTCATGATCAAATGTTCCACGTAATTATCTCGGCTTACAGGTCAACAATCCCCACTTATCACTTCGCAAGCGTAAAGCATGCATCGCACGAATATCTCATTAATTACACTATCCTACTTGTTTAGCATTATCACAATAAATAAACAGGCTTATTTCTGTACGTTGTACGTCCATTCAGCTTTGTTATGTCGTCAGTATCAATTTTGTTTTAAATAGCAATATAGTTGAGGCTCGGAAACTGTTGCCCCGTTATTATAATATAACGAAATCGGTTTAAAATGCGCCCATGCTTGTTGTTCGTAAATATTATTCGGACTGAAAAACTTTTAATGCGGTCGGTTGTAATAACCGTACGAGACAGTTTGTAATAGATGTTTTCACGCGTACCGCAACCAATAACAATAGTCATAATACTATAAAACCGTATACGTACATGCATGTGAATGCCACGGCTCGGAAAGAGAAGAGCTTATTGTCATCACTAATATCCAAAAATCCAGTTCATAATTATTTTAGAGCAAAACATCTTTTTGGACAATGCAATACGGAAAGATTTAGTTAGATTTTCCGATACCCGGTTTTCATTAAACCGTACTGGAGTGCGTTTCGAACTGTTCAATCGAAATCAACGTCATCCAGCGCTTTTCCTCCACCACCACGCGAAGAAAAAGCCCCTACTAAATTCTTCGTCAGTTTTGTGCTGTTCTTGAAGGACTGGCTGAACGTGTCCACAATTTCTTTTCCGGTCGCCAGATAATCCGCATTGACCGCATTTGTACGATTGACGGAGTCATTAAGAATGTTGACCACTTTTCCGGAGCTAGTTTCAATCACCTTCTTCACGCTGTCAAAGATACCCGAAAGGAAATTGATCAGTGAATTCTGAACGGTTGTTACACCGCCGATTAAGACACTTTGTACATCGTGCACATCCTTGTCGCGAATTTTCACTGACGGAATGCGCAGATCAGGAACTTCCGGTGTGTGATGATCGGAATCTTCAAACGAAGAAGTGTAGTTGTCCGGCTGTAAAACAAACCGGACGTCTTAGATTATTGTTCGTCAAAGGAAGACAATCAACGATGACCTTTCGCATGTATTTCAACAAGCGCATAACTTAATCACAATCTTGCAGTAAACCATAGAACTAATCTTTGGATAAATAAAAATAATATTAACTAATCGAAATGTATGAATCAATGTGTATTAATACTAATAACAATACATGCACCTTTGCAAAAATACTTTTTTAAACAATTAGGTAAGTTGTTTACTAACCTCTGGCGGAAGCAAAAGAAAATTCCAATTAATCTTCATACTCCGTTATCAAACATACTCGTACCCTTAAAAAGCATTAACAATAGAAACCGGCTTCATACTGCTTCATTAAAGGAATTCAAATTAATTATTGGTTTAATATATGGCAGATTGTTTGGTTCGAAAATTTGGATGCAGATGAGTTATTCCAGATACTTCTCATTTATTTTATGACAGTCAAAACCTGTTCTTAATTCTTAAATAAATTTAAGTTGTAGGAACGTACAAGTGTTTTTTGAACCTACATCTGAGTCGTACGGGGTGTCATCAGTGGCAGCCACTGACGAGCCACCGGAAAAAGCAGATGGAGCCGCCACCACACTTGAATATCCCACAATAACAGCCACTGCCACGAACACAAGGATGTTTCCCGGATGGGTTTGAAAGAAGAGCATTTTGAAAAATATCGGTAAAAGTCCAACTGAAAAAGCAGAGAAGCGTAATAAAAGATGCGTTATACGATAACCGATTTGTTTTCTAATATCAACAGCGACGTCTCCATCTAGTCACAGAGCAGATGTACGAAGCTTCTTTGATTGAGATGCAGCACCTCAGGATATAAGCAGCAACGTAACTCGTAATATACCGCGTAACATTTTAATGTTTTCCTTTAATAGGCCGACAGATGCTTTTATGTCAACATGGTCTGTTGAAACTTGACCGGAGTTTTGTGGCAAATTGCGTGTTTTTCGACTAACCTACTGGTTGCACGTTACTATAAAATAACGATAGTTTGTCTTCCGGCAGACACTTCCAGCAGTCTGCCAACGAGAGGTTGCGTGTGTAACAACTTGCATAAACAAATATAATTACGAGTATTACTGTTACTACCAGACGCTTAATCTGCATATTTTGAATGGTTTTGTCACTCGTCGTTTACCGATAATAACAATTTGGAAACGTCCGCCAAATGCTAAGATTGTGTAGAACATCAGCTACACATCAGCTACAGTACTGCAAATCCAAGACAATTAGTGTAGATATATAGGGCCAACTCTAATAACCTAAGGTTTGGTGCTATTTACAGTAATTATGATTTGAGTGCATGGGTTCGGACATTTACATAGATATACATATGATTCGTGTTATACAATGATTGTAATCATTGTATTATTCCCATGCTATTTCTCGGAAATTGCAAAGCTCTCGTAGGTACGGAATAGCGTATTTTAATGACGAAACTAAATATTATTTAGTATCTTGAGAGCTGAGACCCAGTACCCCGAAAAATGTGGTACCTGATCACTTTCAAAATCCCAATTTTGTCTATTGGACAATAGCCAGCCCAATAACAGAAAATCATACGCGGACTCACTTTTCAAAAGTAAAAACCTTCAAAAACTAAACACAAAGTTCAAGTTTGAGGTTACAGATTTCAAGAACGGGGATAAACTGTCGGACTTTTGTCAGCGCGATAAAAAGCATCCCGTTACTAATAATAAATACAGTAGTCAGTAGTTATATCGAAATGGATTGTTATATATAAACTGGAATAACACTTATATATTATAAGTATTTGCAGCTTGTATTATTTAAATGTATCGTTATAGAAAATTAAAAAAACTGTATCTATGTAATATAAAGTCTCCATCCCAACGACAATGCATTTTTTATTTCGCTAGTGTAAATAAAACACTGAAAGAAGGAAAATTTACTGTCGGGATTAGGATGGTTGCTCTTAGCGAGCTGACTTCCCATAACTATAATCTTGTGATTATAATTATTAACATCGATAAGCACTAATGTCGATTGTGCAAAGCGTAATTGCCAGGCAGCATGGGTTGACCATGAAAAATGGTAGTAAACAAATCATGTGTGATATTTTTACTCTGTCCCATGGAGTGACCGAACGTCTGTGCGATGCCGCTTCCGGCGGCGAGGATGTTGTCTTTGATGGCGGCGGTGCGATTGAGCGTATTGTGCACGGCGTCCGCCACCTTGCCCACTTGCTGTTCGATCAGACTTTTGGCGCCGCCCATGACGAAGGTGATTAAGTGCAGCAGGGAGTCACGGATGGCGGTCACACCGGTTACCATCGTGTCTTTGATGGCCTGCAGTTCCTCTTCCCGACTGGGAGGAATGTTTACAGGCCCTGATGTAGCGTTGTGGATGAGTGCTGCACCATCGGCATTCGGGCTGATAGGTAAGCTGTTTGGCTCGGGAATGTTGGTCCAGCTCTACACAAATTCATTGCATGCGTAAATCACATGCTTCAGTCGTCTAAAAATCTTATGAGAATTTTTGTATCTTATGAAAATTTTCGAACAATACACGTGGGTGTACATTATGTATAACGTGTGTTCTAAGTGATCAAAGGTGACATGATATATAGTCGACCTAGCAGTAAGGCACAGCTGCATAATACACTCTAACCGGCGTCATTAATAAATTGAATTAATTTTGGTATCAAGGTACTTTTGTAAAATCTCTTTTTTGTCCGGTAGGTAATTACTGCAAGTTTTTACGTATAAAGTATTTAAAATAGGCGGACTTTACAAATTCAAAAGCCAAGCCGGTGCATATTGCAGGGTTATGCAATTATGAGGTTATGAGGTTAGTTGGTGCAAGTAAAGATTGCTGCAAGTATACTTGTAAAATACCTGGCTGGTCAGTTGTTCAAAAACGGGTGATTCTGTCGATATCACTTGGGAGAAAGTAGGAAACTGCTGCTAGCAAAACAAAAGAGCATGAACATGCCATAATACACACACGGGCAGTTAATTAGGCAAAATTATGTTAGACCTCAGTAACATACTTGATTCGTAGTTTGATCAAAAACTGGAGATTCAGTGAAGGCGGCCTGCGGAAAGGTAAAAAATGCCGGTGGGCTTGTCCAATCGGTTGCGGGAGGCAGGGTGAAATCCTGGGATGACTGCTCCTCGAATAACGGTGCCGCATGGATTATAGCCGAACTGACCATCAAACTGACAAGAAAGTGGATTAGCAACAGAAGATCTTCGCGCCGTATTGACATTGCAGTTAATAAAATGTCTGAGCTTTCGAGTAATAATTTTCCGAACAATATTTCGCTACTGTGGAATATTATTTTAATTAGTAAAAGTGCTATATTCAGAACAAGACCAACATTCGGAAATTGCCAGACTGTCGGACCGAACGGACAGCAGTTGAATATTCTGACTTGCAAATGACACCGCGTTCATGCAAATATTTTTCATTGCTTGGCTAAATAAACTGAGCAGGTATGCGAAAATAACCACTTGAAGACTCCTAATATTTTCCTGCCTATTCATCATTATCATTATTCTGTTGAGCGTCAAGCTGTTATGTTTTTAGGAATTAGGTCTGATGAATTGTAATATACAAGACGCAAGAAGAAGAAGACGCTAGTCCTTTCCGGACTTCTTAGCATCGCAAAAACATTTTCCTCTTGCGGCTAATTTACATTCTAAAAACGTTTGGTATGTTTTGGACGGGAAGGTATTATTACTTATATATTCACATACAAAATACAATCATATTATTGTCTTCAGCGCTTGGTTTACATTCCCTCATCACAACTTATTCTCATTCATCGCACACTCACGCTGTAGCGGCGAATGGTGTTTTTGCGGTTATTAAAGCAAGCGACGAAGCAGTAAATTTGATTTTACATTGAAAAAATCTCGCATCACGCGCGGCCAACAATGCAGATATTTAAAAAAAATCAACATCACCTTGTTATAATTTTTCAATGTTAAATCTATGGGTGTAAAAAAAAGTTGGCGAGCGTACGAAACTCAGAACTAGCCATGGTGTTTGTTATTATAATACATCGCAGTGGTGTCTGCAATTTGAAATTACTTGCTCATGTTTTCGTGACCTTAAACCGTCGTCGACGAAGACGCGATTTACGGCAGCGATGTGTATCATTATCATATATGCGTTAGCCAGCCAACCCAAAGGATAAGGCTTTTAGTGGCAAATGCTTTTAAAACACTTTATCCGGTAGGTGGGCTACTGCCTTCTCGGTGTCAAGCACCGGCATCCTCCGAGGTTCCAAAGCACGGGTGCTAAGTAAATGGCTCCGGGAGGCTGGTTGTTTGCATACAACGTAATGAATGACCAAGAGTGTTAATGCATTTAAGCACTACAGTCTCGTGTTACATGATATCGATACCGAAACACAGATTTTTGTATTCGGAAGCATGCAGCACAAGCATCGAGGAGCGAACATGCACTCGCCAAACATCTGATATCAAGCAGCAGCAGATCCCTTCGCAGTAAATTCAAAAGAATCCTGGACGGATTATTCTGGGCTTTTAAATCTCGGTGATAGATAGGGACAGTTAATGGTATGGCAATTATGGCTAAGTGTGGACAAGCCCAGCCGAACAATGCGGACAATACCATGGCGGATTCTGCCGCTCTATACTGGCCCATAGTATAATCCCGTCGGGATGGTCGCCTGGATTAGGATATTGTTCCAGACAGATGCAATCAACAGATACTGTATTGAGCTACTAAACTCTCGCAAATGCGTCACGAGGAAGATTCAGCTGTCGCAGGTTACGCGGCATAAAAACAGCGGCTTTTCACGTACGTATACGAGTATTGCAGGTATTCCAAGCCGAGTCGAACATTAAATACTACGATTTACTCTATATAGTACGAGTACTAATAATTATAATATTATGTGGGATACTCGTATACACCAGCGTGGATGCTGCTCCAATATGCATCGAAAATGTCAGAATTCCAAAATATATCGAATATTGAATTTTTGGTATTAAAAACGCATGCTGCACCCGTGTCTCAAAAACTAGACATTGTTTGTAGAACAAAGTACCACGTGTACATCAACTATATCTGCAATTCATTCTGCACTGTATGTCCATAGGTGAGAATCGCTCACAGCCTCACAGTAAGAACAATCAACTGCAGTCGCATGTGATTACTGTACTGACACGCACCAAATGTTTAACGGTGCGAACATAACGAAAATTAACTAAAAAGCATAAATTGTTATGAATGGTTGGTAATAGTTATTAATCGTAAAAGATATCTGGGCATATGCACGCGTCTGAGTCTGTTAAAGGTCGAATCATTCGCGATGCTTGTCACCTGCTAGGCAGTGCTACATTTTACGTATTTGTACACACTTGCTCGTTCTTTCTTAACGTTTCACGCGATGCACCGGTTCTCATGACTGTTTTATGTATGCATAATAAAAATATTTCGGGCTCGAAGTGGTTTAGATAAATACTTGGCTCGCTCGTACAAATCCTTTCTACAATCTGTGTCGGCCAGAAAAGGACTGATATAACGGATACAGTTCCAGAAATGGTTATCCGCTGGGAGGCGGCTACGACGCGAAACCTGTCGTCGGGCCGGGTTCCTCAGTAAGGCGGTTTACTTGGGGTTTAGAAGCGATACATAGTGTACGCATCTTTATAAAAGGAAATAAGAGAGGGTGATCAACAGCAACGAAGAGATCGATCATCCTTTGTACGGACACAGGCAACAGGAAGCTGTTTGCCGGCGCTCACTAGTTACAGTAACCTTGCGTAAAGTTACTTTTAAAGTCACTTCCCATTGGGCATAGTGTGTGTGTCGGCTTTTTTCGTATTACGGATACAGTTATACAGACATACAACTGCTGCACATTATCGGCTAAAAGCTTTTCTTACCTACCGTCAACACCTTTGACAACAAACCAAAACTGATTCCTTCCTTTTTCGCGCTTGCACCAGAGCAAGTCTTCCAGCTTTGGTTCCGTTTGGGCAGAAAACCTATCATTGGAGATTATGTAAGGCTAAATGACGACAACGTGCGACAACAGCATGCATGGCTGTCTTGGGATCCTGCTGCAAGAACGCGGCAGACAAGTTGGGACCCGTACGGAAATTGTAATTTAATTAGATGCCACTGTCAGTGGATATTGTTCAACGTATCACTAGTGCGGACTATCACGCATAATGGTCTACCTCACCAAGACACCACTCGGATCACCGGTGGAAGCCAACGGACCGCGCGATTTTACGCAGAATGTGGATGATGGTAATAGGAAGCAGAGTGTGACCTTTCATGTTTCTCTCTTGTTGGCAATCGACAAAAACATTTTGCTTTACGGATATAAATCAACTTCACCTGACAGGTCAAATAAGCATTCTATACAAGACGTTCTAAACATTGGTTATAGAAAATTTTGACGCAACCAGTCCATTAACCAGTCCAACTGCCGCTGCAACACAAGGCAACCTCCTGACCATTCCAGTCAATAACTTACTGGCAGTGCCCAGTCCCGGTGATCCCGTACGTCGACTGAGTTGCATTACTCTGGAAGAGCGCGTTACATGGGACAAGAAAATTGACTTTTTGTTAAGGTTATTCCAATTTATCGCGTCACAAACTGGATTGTGTTTTGCGTCATTCTCAGTATGTTGCTTTTGTTATCAATATAGTGTAATCGGATTTTCTGTGGATTTATCTAATGTTTGGCGGTTTCCTTACCTTTGCTACAAAAATGGCGGGGGTAAGTTTATGAGTTCCCGGCTGTAGTGACCTTACGCTACACGTGCTTACAGACGTGATTTTTGTACAAAACTGGCTCACAGCTGTTGGTTGACTGTTGTTTGCCTATCATTTATTATTCAAACCTATATAATGTAAATATGCGTATGCTGTTTAGTGTACAATAGATTTTTCCTTCTCCCAAATTAACAGGCGTTCTTTACTCTTTTTCCAGGTGCTTTTTTGGTGCCTTACATGATATTCTTTATACTGGGTAAGAGCAACCGTAAACTATTTTTACTGTCTAGCTAGCTGATCTATTGTATACTATCGTGCAATACACATATACAACTGTCTGCATAGATATATTAATGCTTTAGTCAACATAGTGCACCCCTCTCAATATAATTAAATAATTAAGCGGTAATAAAGAGGCAGTATACATCAACTTTGTTGTGAAATTGTTTTTGAAGTTAATGCTGATATAACTGTACAACCACAACCATACCATACGCTATTAATATACGTAAAATATACGTTAATGCATAACTGTTCGCTAAAGCTAATCAATCCTTGTAAAGATAAGAGTGGTGTAAAAAGTTTGGTAATACAGCATTTAGACATTTTTAATATTTTTTAACTTTACAAACGTTGTCGGAGGTACAGTAGCTTTTATTCCTATATGCGACAATACATATCTGTATGCATAGTGCATGTGACCCATGTGCATATAAAATTTTATTTTCCTTTTGAAGTTGTTATTGAAGCAAAAAAATTCGAAGACATCGAACAAACATCTTTTGTGTCAACATTGTGCTTATATTTCCGAGTGGTACACATTATCCGCAGCTTATCGTTAATCAATAAATAGCGGATTATAGCTATTATGGCTTGATTCAGCCAGTGAAAACGCCTTAATTGCAAGTGTGCCGGAAGTTCTAGCCGCTTTTAGGTGGCGTTCCTTTATTCTATTTGGAGCTGGCGTTGGGCCAGTACAATCGGAAAGGCGCTGTGACGTGCTGGGGACGCTTAGTGCCCCTTTTCAAAGGTATAGTTTCTGTTAGCATTTCTTGCCGAATGATCCGCATGATGGCGAAATATTGGTAAACACCGCCCGTCAAAACCACAGATGCGTATATTACGATTCACAGTGCACTGACATGATACTTTTGTATACCGTAAGAGGCATGGCATATGTAATGTTGTTGTGTGAAATGGCAGCACTTGGATACCTACCGCGCGATATAATAGTACTATACTCGTATAATTCTTTTAATTTCCCTATCTTAAATATGGCAGAGGCATGGTAGTGCTGCTCTGCAATATAATATAATACAATAGAATTTCTAACAACATGGCTGTGAGCAATACCAATATTGATATTGTATCAATGTTGCAGCATTGCTATGAACAACTCACGGGGTATATCAGTCTAATATTATAGTTTTTCTTACTGCATTTACTTGAGAATTATTAATAACGTTAACGTTTCCTGCCAAAAATTACATCAAAAAAAGATATATGAAGTGTTAGCAATTATCGCCCGTATGAATATCGTGCATATAACATATGGATTTAATTGTTGTATTTGTTTTAGGAGTTGGTCTTGCCGTTGTTGTAGTTTCGTTTTTTGTTGGTACGTATCAGTTTGCAGTCTTGTTTGTAATTATTGCCGGCCTACATTTTCCTAACAAATGTTTATTGGATAAATTGGCAGACCTTTTCTACAACCAAATCCTAAGCTGGGCATTATACTTCTTTTTTGCTTCCTTTTCTTCGACACTTCCCTGGGCTACTTGTGGGAATGACTGGAACACCGATGATTGTACGGGGGCGTACGATGAAGTCACAGATGTGTCAGGAGTGTTATCGCATTTCAACTGTGACCTTTCGGCACCAGCCACCAGTCTGGTGCCGCAGCAGATCTCTCCATGTCTTCGCTCAAAGCTAGGTTTTAATCTAACCGCCAACAATTTTACACCCTCCGCCATCCTGGAAGCCTGTCTACTGCTTCAGTCTAACATTTCAATCTCAACGAATCATTGCCGATCGTCTGCTGACGAGTATTTTTAGTAAGCGAAGCTTCTTTGACAGCGGCAAAATTTTTAGGTATCTTTTTGTCTATTAATTTCTTGAATTGTTTTTTCTACAATAACATCACTTTCAGCAAAAACACTTATGCATAACTTCATTCCCGTTCAACTAGCCTATTATTTTGTTGCAATAATTTTGCTAATATTATTACTCTATTTATGTCAATACAGTAAAAAACTTTATGCCGGTATGTAGCAGTGATTCGAAAAGACCAAAATTAAATTAATCTTTTTATAATGTACGCATATGTATATTGCAGTCGCTCTGTCTTGGAGGTGCATAAAAGTTCCGGTCTGGATGATCTAGGAATTGTGCTCTGGCCTAATGCCTTGTGTCTATTAGCCATATACATCATTTGCTACTTCAGTTTATGGAAGGGTGTCTTATCCTCCGGAAAGGTATGGCAACTAGATATCCTGAACAGACTCTAATGTAGTACGGCAGTGTGGGGAAGAATACAACTAGTCGCTGTCACTCAGTCCGCGACATTATAATATTAATTAAATAAGTAAAAACTTTTAGGATAAATAGATAAGGTTGCTGGCATTAACATACGTCTCGTATCCAAGAATTACTAGTACAAAGCCATAGATACCTAGTCTATAGTGTTGTGCCAGCAATAATTTTGCCAGTATTTAATTGGCAAAAATTAAAATATTCTAACGAAAACCTGGCTTATCCCTCAAAACGCTTAACAGGGACTTAAACGCTGAGCGGTATTAAGTACAATAAGTCCAAATACTTTGAAGTATGCATTTTCCTTTTCCAGTTGAAGAATCCGTAAGCATATTTTTGTTTCACGGAGTGCAGCAACTCTAGGCAGTTTGAGGCAATCTTAAATTACGCAAAAGGAAAAAAGGTGTGATTGATACATATTTCGATTAAACATAGCGTGTTCGGCTTCCATCGGGTCAGATGGGATAGAACGGAAGTGTTTAAGCAAGTGATTGACGTGATTGGACGAAATTTGCTTGCGCACTACATGAAAAAGCCATTTTCATGCCTAACAATAGACGCGCGCGGTTACGCTTGCCTGCACAGGTAGATGCCTACTGGATGGTAATTGATACTAAGCGCAAGTTTTGACTGGCTAAGTAAAACTACTTTCTCAGCAGGAGCAATATAGTGGATGTAAACGAAGGAAAGAAAAAGGTTCGCAAGTGACAGCAGGGCACATAACGGGAGATCTGTGTATTGGGAATCGATAAAAAATATCCTGCTTTGATAACATTACAGTTGGCCCGTAACCGGCATGATTGCCGGGTAATGGTCAGATCGATACTTAAAGAGTTACGATTAACAACGAGCTAAACTAACGTTAACGTTAGGGAAAAACTACAACTCATGGTACGTGGCACTGTATCGTAAGGGCCAGTATACATATGTTCATGAATCTTGTTTTTTTACAGGTTGTTTGGTTTACAGCCGTCTTTCCTTACGTAAGTTTCCCGCGAGAAAGTGATGTAATTCATCCTTAACAAGCTAAATTATGGCTGCAGATCGGTCTAATTGCCCTGCTAATTCGCGGTGTAACCCTTCCGGGATCATTGGATGGTATTATGTACTATCTTACACCCAATTTCGAGGAATTATACAAGCCATCGGTAATATTCACTACCGAATACAACAGATAAAACAGTAAACCATTACTATTCGGCTTCTTATGGCAAACACTAAGGATTTTGCTATCAAAAATTGTTTCCTTTACTAAGAAATCTGAAAAATTACATCAACTGATTTGCGGTTTTCATTTGTGCGTATTCTTAGTCAAACAGTACGTACCGTTCTACAATGCCAAAAAATTTCTAAAAGCTTTAATAAGTTTCACTGGCATACCGTATTTCGTTAGTTTGGATCCGGGTCACTACGTTTTCGTAAACCTTCCACGAGGAACGCCGAAAGAAACCCTTTGTTGTGTCTTTAAATAAAATTAAAGCGTTGTTTTAACGGGCACAGTTCCCGAAGGAAGAGGGGTTAACTGATAAAATACGTAACTTTAGGCGCACGCGGTTACATGCCGCATTCACAGTCGCACATATTAATTTTTGAAAATTTTGCAGGTATGGGTCGATGCCGCGACACAGGTTTTCTTCTCTCTTGGACCTGGTTTTGGGGTACGCATAGTTCGATTAGCCTTTGCACATACAAACATAAGTACTGCAGCCAAAACTGATAATTTGCGAGTATTTTGGGTAGTTACGTTATACAATAACAATTACTAATCAGATGCTATTAGTTTAACTGCTTTAAGACATCAGTTTTACGATAACGCTGTAGTGTTTATTGCATCTAAAACTAAAGTTATAGTTTGATTTTACGTCTTCCGCGAAATATTCGATTTTGAAACAGAACAGTTGTAGCATGCATACAATCAGTTTCCTAACAGATCTTGAAATAATTAACACAATCTTTTCCGAATGCTTCAGGTATTGTTGGCGTTTGCGTCCTACAATAAATTCAACAATAACGTTTACTAGTAAGTGCGCACAAAAGAGGCCTATAATACAAACTGGATTGATACTTGACGTACAGTCTTTCTTGCTCAAACCGTTTTCAGCGATGCCATCCTAACAAGCTGTATCAATTTGTTAACTTCCTTCCTATCTGGGTTGGTGATCTTCAGTGTGCTTGGGTAAAGTTTCTGAAGTAAAACGGATTTTGTCACTCTCCACTGCCCTATGCAACCTTTCATGACCTTCACATTATTCGCTTTGTTCTTGGTGAAATACAGTGCTAAATTCTCATTAACAAGTGCCATTACGGGCAGCGTGAGAGTGTACAAATTGAATTTAAAAATAAGCACATGCCAAACTTTTAACATGAAATTTAATGTAACAGCTATATGGCATGGAAAGTGCGTAAGAAGGTGGAGGATGTGGCAAAGGAAGGCCCTGGTCTAGTGTTTGTGGTTTATCCGGAAGCGTTGGCCACTATGCCGGGTTCGGCATTCTGGTCGGTGTTCTTCTTCCTCATGCTACTGACCATTGGTCTGGATAGTTCTTTTGCCGGCTCCGAAGCCGTTATTACCGGTGTCAGCGATGAGGTTCCACTATTTGAAAAACATCGGGAGATTTTTGTCGGATGCTTGTTCACTTTCTACTTTTTCGCAGCCGGATTGGCAACTTGCACTCAGGTGAGAACAGTACAGACTGACTTATAAACTATAACAGCATTTTATATCTATATATTTTAGCCAGTACTTCTGCTAAAATATATCATGGTTATCATGGTTAAAAATTATTCTTGAATCTTGATTACTCCTGGTTTGCCTCCCTATATATGGTAATCATTCACCCGAAATCAGTTAACGTGAAGACATATTGCATATCTTCTACTGCTTATTTCGTTGCTTATAAGAGGAATAAGGCCATGACAAGATTACCTATCCCCTTTTTCGATGTTTAATTCTTTAACCTAGCGTCTTTATATTGTCGTTCTAGTGCATGTTGTTTAATAAACCACAAATTAGTTTCTGAATAAATTTAGGGAGGATTTTACATTGTGCAACTTTTGGATTCCTATGCAGCTGGATATTCGCTAATGTTAGCGGTTTTCTTAGAGTGCATTGCCGTATCCTGGATTTATGGTTTGTAAACAAAATTTCAGGCAGTGAAGATGTACTGTAAAAGTAACGATTTTAAGTCTTCTATCAAATGCTGCATTGTAGGATGGGTTGTAACTTGTCAAATGAGACATAACAATTACGTAGTATCGTAGTCTACCTTGTTTATCAATGTTCAATTTGATGCAGCACTAGAAATTACATTTATACACACGTACAGAACCAAATTTCTGACAAGATGGTCCACATATACAGGTCAAAAACGCATATGCGAGGACATTCGCGAAATGCTGGGATTTACGCCTGGGTTATTCTGGAGAATATGCTGGCGCTGGGTTTCTCCGTTAGCTGTTTTGGTAAGCCATTGAAAACACTATTTCGAAATTCCTACTAAATATTAGATTTTGGATTTCTTGGGTGAGCCATTATAATTATGCTTTCGAGGAACACACCTATATCATTATAAGATTCACTTACAACCAAGAAGGAAAACAGAAACAGTTCACATATATATAAAAGTATGTATGGTCGGCATTGCATTTTTTTGTATAACTGAGCCATATACTCTGAGGCACTTGTTGCACAAAATAGTTTTGGCCTGTAACTGTTTTCACTAGTTTATAATCCTGTATGGAATCTACAACTATGAGCCACTGGTGGTCAACGATTATAAGTATCCGACGTGGGCCAACGCGCTGGGATGGTGCATCGCTGCGGTATCGATGTTGTGCATGCCGGTTGTGGCCATTATTAAATTTATCAGGACGCCCGGGTTACCCTTACAGGTGTGCGCGACCTCAGCAACTCTTGTACATATGTAACTTAATTACCGTGCTACTAATGTCAGCGTTGTTTCGCAGCGATTAAAAAAGCTGATCACCCCATACCGGGATACGCATGCGCAGAAGCGTGCGCGGAGTCGTACCGCCAGTATTATGGCCATGGATCTGCACGCTAATGTCAAGAACAACGGCAACCACATTGCAGCTGCTATGCACACCTAAATCGGAGTTCACTATTTGCTGTATAGTTATGAAACTTAAGCTAATGCACGATTACTTCAAATCGTTTTTCCCGGTATTATGCATATTCCTCACAATTTCATAATTACAACGCAAAAGAAATAGTACGTTACTTGTAGTATCCGTACTTGTATTTAGATCGTGTAGTTGACCTGCAGTTGTGTATTGCGGCAAAACAAAGATTCAGTTTGCTGATCGTTGTATCTGTATTAGATTTTGAAATAATTCGATTTAGATTAGGAAATGCTTTGTTTGTGTAGGTATTAATACAAATAACATATATGATGCATCAAGGTTATTTTGAGCGCTGTCATCGTTCTTTATCAGTATTATGGTGTTTTAATCTATTGTACTCTGGATGGCGTCACTTGATTAATTCTAGTATCTGTAGCTGGATTCCTCAAGCTGTTAAAATGTATACAAAATTAATTAGCAAGATACTAGTACTAAGTACTGCAAGCAGGTCTTGTGAAAAATGATATGGACAAAGTCTAAATGAGAAAATTAATGTGTGTGCACAGTTGGACCGTACACGATACACTAAATCAAGCGCTTGTACAACTGAACCGTATGTATTTGAACATATTATTGACTTGCTGTCAGTACAATATACTTACGATATATAAATGTGCTGTAATTAGCATAAAAAACAATATTTTCACTCACCAGGTGTTGCATCCAATGTTAAAAATCCAATGTTAAGGCAACGAACCGAAAATAACGTTTTATTGGTACTTTGGGCGTATGAACGTAGCTCAGGCGTAGGTGACCGACGCAGCGGATCCCATAAGCCCTTTCTACAACAACCCCCCTCCATAAACAACAAGGGGAGGGTGGGCGGGAGATACGATTTGACAATACATACGGTAATGCTGCAAAAGCAACTGAATCACAACGCTACAAGTACATGCCAGAGGAAATCGGCTTATATAGAGTCACATTAACATTAACAGGAAACCACACATAGTGCTATGTCAAATGACCGCTGTCCAACGAGGAGACATAGTCCCGCCTATTCCTCCTTTGCTGCCTTAACAGGAATTAGCTCCGCTAATTCTCTTTAAGGCAGCGCCGGGCACGAACCGGAAATAACGTTTTATTGGTACTTTGGGCGTATGAACGTAGCTCAGGCGTAGGTGACCGACGCAGCGGATCCCATAAGCCCTTTCTACAACAACCCCCAAACCCCAAACTCGAGTCATTTGTAGGGACGAAGCCCCTCTACCGCCCGAACCGATCGGATGTAGCGGGAGTACACTTGGATCTTCCAACGACCGGCACGTTTGATCCTTGTGGGAGAGCATCCAAGCTCCGACGCGACGGTTGCCGCCCCAATACGGAAACTGTGCGGCGTGTAATGGGAGGCATAAGGAATATCATGCAGCAGTAGTTTAAGAGTACCAGCAAATCGAGACCGTGATAAGAATGTGCCATTAGGATACATGAAAAACGGGTAAACATTAGAAAAGCCAATGCCGCAACGCAGTGCATAGAATTTCGAGATAGCGCGGTATGGACAGACGGAACGCTTAGTAGATGAGAGAGATAATCGAGAGCCGCAGGACATCTGATCTGTTTTTGATCTTTTTATGGTCACAATAACAGAATTCCCACCAAGGATAAGATCAGAAAGCAGGAGAGTGCGACCAGCACGAAACGAGTGAGTGTGAGAGACGGTAAACTCACCAGGACGTAAAAAGCCAAAGAATGCAGCATTACAAGCCGCCCAGAACAACACCTTATCATAAGATGCCAGCTGAGAATCATTAAGGCGCGCCTTAATTAATCTCATAACATCGAGAGATATCGGTTGTCTTTGATCACGCTGATTTGGACGGAGCCGAGCAAACCCTTTAATTGCTTGTTCAATAATTAATGTCTTAGTGAAGTCAGTGTGGCCATGTTCTTTCAGCCAGTTAGAGATGCCGGCAATGTAAACACGTACAGTGGAATATGCAATGCCACGATCAAACAGATGGGCAATAAAGCGAAGTAGAGTGGACCGGTGAAACTTGTAGTTATTCGCTAGACAATACTTAGAGTAAGCGGATACAGCCACACTATAGGCAGAGCGCGACGCATCAGAAATGTGATTTCTGAGTAAACGTTTTATTGTCCGATTCATTTTAGATTAAAAACAAATCAACCAAGACATCAGGAATGAGTTCCGCAACAGCATTAGCATCAGGACACAACTCGTAAAACTTATTAAACTGACCACGCGACAGAGTATCAGCAATGGTGTTATCGCAGCCAGAAATATGTTCGACTTTAAGATTAAAGTTATGTTGTGCGGCGATGTAAAATATTTTACGCATTATCCGGTTAATATCAGCGTTACGAGAGGAAAATTTAGACCACGCTTGAACAACTGCAAGGTTATCGGAATGCAACAAAACTTTCTTGCCGGTAATAGAGGAACCCCATAACACGCATGCAATATAAACAGGAATCAACTCACACAAAGCAATACTGCACTTAGAGATATCAACGCTGGCTGGCCACCGCCCGCTGAACCACTTTCCAGCAAAATATCCACCAAAGCCGTAGGATTTCGCTGCATCAGTATAAAAATGTAAAACATCAGAATTAGACCAATCGATATCAATAAACGAGTTGGTACCATTCCAAGTCGGTAAATAATCGCGCCACCATTGAAGATCGGCGTGAAAATGCAAGTCTAACACAATATCTTTGGATATGCACTGAGGCAACAGATTAATCATACGTCTTAAAAATAAGCGGCCAACGGGAATACACTTGGCAGCAAATTGCAACTTGCCGATAAGGCTTTGCAGTTCTGTGACAGTGCACGAGCTGCGATTTACCCAGGAATTGAGTACAGTAATTATATCTTCTAACTTTTTATCTGGCAGAGAAATAGTACCGGAAACAGAATCAAGTTGGATACCAAGAAATGTCAAACAAGTAGCCGGACCTGCCGTCTTATCGGCAGCTAACGGGAAACCAAGCGCTAAACATAATTCACAAAACTTGTTGTAAATGACCTGGCACTGAACAGAGTCAGTTTTCCCAATAAACAGGAAATCATCTACATAATGAAGAAACCACACGTATTTAGTTACATGAAACAGGATCCAGCGTAGCGCTTCTGAGAAAAGACAGAATAGATAAGGTGAAGACCGACAGCCAAATGGAAGAACGACATCAAAGTAAAATTTATTACCAATCCGGAAACCCAGTAATGGCCAATCATGCCGGCTAACTGGTACTAAACGAAACGCATGTTGTATATCCGTTTTTATCATAATAGCACCTTTACCAGCTGCTTTGAAATGTTTAATTGCGTTATCGACAGTACAATACGATACGGTATATGTAGGACGATCGATATAATCATTTACAGAACAACCAGCTGGACGTGAAAGATTATTAATAATTCGATAACCGCCCGAGTCCTTAGGAATAACACCAAGAGAGTTAACAACAAAATTAGGTAGAGGTGGTTGATCGAATGGGCCAACAGAGTGGCCTAACGATACCTCACGCTCGACAGATTTTAACAAAATATCATGATGAGTATGCGCAGACAGAGCATTGCGCACAAACCAAGAACTGCGTGGTCCAGTATAGCCGATATCCGCTCCAAATAAAAGGATATTAGAAATGTGACGTACGAACAGCCGATCAGGATGTTGTGCTAACATGGTAACAAAAACTTCATGGCGCAACGGAGTTACCGGCTTTTCTGGCATTATGCAAGGCAAAACAGCAATACTGGCCATGGCCGCCTGCGCCGCAGTGGAAGCACAAATGCCGCTTTTTGTTCCGGCATGGAGTGGAGCAAGATCTTTCGTTGTACTCGTAGCAGATATCTTTACGCTCACTGCCGGCGACAGCCGGCCGGTTACGAAAAAGTTGGTTATTACGAGCAGCTTCAGCTACGTCACTCACCAGCTTTTCAGGACAATCCCGGGCCATATGTCCGGTAAGTCGGCAAACATGACAAGCACGATAATCAGTATTACGGCGCGGTCGGTAATCGAAAGGTTGCTGCACATGATGTTGTTGCATCTGGGACGACTGGCGAAGAATCTCGTTGTGCGTCTCTTCCCACATAGCCACATTACCTGGCTGCGCACGTGCGTGCGTGCGTGCGTGCGGCCATGCGAAAACGATAGTCGTAATTTAACCACTGGGCAACAGAGTACCCGCTCAGAACAAGATTTGTCACGACACCAAGATATTTCAACATGGGCAACTGCATATACGGGTAATGGTGAGAGCGATGCGCCATGAAAATTACATAGGCACTAACCCACTGTTCGAACGATGTAATCGCGGTAGGCTTGAAAGCAGACTTGTCGTGAAGACCAGCATAATACTGGAAATCAGCAGCTGCTAACAACTCAGTGAAATCAACAAAACGGTCGTTGCTACGGAGAGCAGATTCCATATTAGGATGAACAGCCGGCAAATTCGGATTTGGACCCAACCGATCTTTTACCGGCAATCTGGGAAAACTGACAGGAACTGAATTGTCACTTACAATTATGCTGGGAGAACGACTGGATCCACATGCAACAGGCTTAGCGGATGTCTGGTTCCGGGAGATTCTCTTCAAATTCTCCAGTTGTGCCGTAAGGTCTTGTTGCTTGCGAAGCAATGATTCCACCGATGGGGATCGACTCTGCCGTGTCAGAACACGAGAACGGGACTTCTTCTTGACGGAAGGGGAACGAGACGCATGGCGCTTATCAGCAACAAAATAGCGTGTATTACCAGAATCCTGCGATCCAGTACTGGACGACGAAGATGATGAACTGGAAGATGACGAACTGGAGGATGACAAAGACGATAAATCCGACTGAGCGGATTGAGATGGAGAGCGTTGTTTCCTGAGTTGAGGCATAGTAATCACCCCGCATAAGATAAAGGTCACCGTTTGAGATACACAGCGTTTGAGATGCGATTTGCTACGTTTGATACGATTTGACAATACATACGGTAATGCTGCAAAAGCAACTGAATCACAACGCTACAAGTACATGCCAGAGGAAATCGGCTTATATAGAGTCACATTAACAGGAAACCACACATAGTGCTATCTCAAATGACCGCTGTCCAACGAGGAGACATAGTCCCGCCTATTCCTCCTTTGCTGCATTAACAGGAATTAGCTCCGCTAATTCTCTTTGCCTGCATGTTAAAAAAGCCTCATATCAGCCGGCGTGTTTGTGATCGAGCAAGTACAAATGGCTTGCAGTTGATCACAAATCTGCGTAATACGTGATTGTGTACCGTATGGGTATGACAATGTGTATTCCGAAATGGGACTGGTATTATTAAATTTTTACAGACGAACAATACCAAATTTAGGTAACCATAATAGATCCTGATAACTACTGAAAACGAAGCACTTACATGCGAGGGGATGTTCAATTTATAAATCCGATCCCGATACTTTCTTTGCGGAGCAAGATGCTAGTTATGCAGGAGCGTTAAGTAGAGATTCTACTGATTTCGACCTCTTTTGACTGTTCTCGCTGGCGCAATGCGTGTCCTTGTGCTGCATGATAACTATGCATTGCACCCAACACTATGATATTTTCACTACTTATATTAGAAGTCTAAACTCGGTTTGGTTATTTTAAAGTGTAAAAGTTACTGATTTAAGGTCGTTATTTTGCGGACGCAATAACAATTCAAGCAGATTTTTTAAATTTTTCATTCAAGAACAGCAGTGTGTTCCGTTAGAATGACTAAAGTATTGTGGAGCGATTTTTCAAAAAAACCCACCCGGTATTGAAAAAAACAAACTTTTTGACACCCAAAGTTACTTTATTTTATATTCTATAGAGTACATAAACATTTTCCACAAAAACGCTTCACAATTCTTTTTGAAAATGATTTTTCTTTAGTCTGATCAAAGTGTGAAATTTTCTGAAACCGATGCGAGTTGTTATTGATTTTAGAAGTTGTTTTTCAAAAATTGTTCAGGATGGGACGAAGAACCTTCTTTTGTACTGCGCTTTCCTTTGGTCTTACCGATTCTGCGCTTGCAGTGCCGCCACACTGATTGTGTGCACACCGAAGAGTGGACTTTGGCCACTCTTTCATGTGCACTCACAGGACAGCGCTGTGTCTTTCCATTCTCTAGCGCCAACCATAACAACCACAAGGCATCTTCTCGAAGCAATCTTTCTTTCACTGGTTTTGACCACAGATGGCAGTAGTGTAGAAAAATACCCCAGCCCGCCAAATTGCTCCTGATCGCCAACCAAAAAACTTTAATAACTTTTTTCGTTGCAAAGTAATTTTACTTAACTTCCGCCCAGTAATAGATATAACCCTTCTTATTACAACTGTAGAATTTCGAAAATCTCGTTTTCCATCTTGCGACCATAGTACAAATTCTCCTTAACGACACAATGTGTCGGCAGATTCGGCTCTACGAAGAACTACCCTAGTTCTTACTATTGCTTTATTTCCGATATATTTATATTATATTTATACAAGAAACCGCTGCGGCTTCGCCTCCGCGTTTCTTGTGATCCACGGCCGTTTTGAACAAATCATTCCATTTGCAGTAATTCGTTAGTAAATTCACTAACTGCCTTAGCAGTTATTGTAGAACTTCTTAGGCAAGGAGTCTAGCTCGGTCCCTCACTCAGTTAGCAACTTTGTTCACTGGACAGTGGTGTTAGCTCGGTCACTCACTCACCTAGCGATTTTGTTCACCGGACGGTGGTGGAAGCTCAGTCACTTACTCACCTAGTTTTGTTCACGGGACAATGATGGTAGCTCGGTCACTCACCCACCTGGCGATTTTATTCACTGGACAGTGGTGGTAGCTCGATCACTCACTAACGGTGTCACCTAGCGATTTTGTTCACCGGACGGTGGTGGTAGCTCAGTCACTCACTCATCTAGCGATTTTATTCACTGGACAGTGGTGGTAGCTCGATCACTCACTCATCTAGCAATTTTGTTCACCTAGGGTAGTGATTTATTGCTCGGTCATCACTCAGCTAGTGATTTCGTTTTGTTCACTGGACAGTGGCGGTAGCTGAGTCACTCACTGCCTTAGTAGTTTTGTTCACTGGCTTTTGTTTCCTTCGAAACCTGGGCTAATTCAACCAGGGGAATCGGATTTTTTAGGCATTTAAAAATTGAACATTTGAACAACAATCAGGCGATTAAAATTCAACATGTTTGCAAATACAATACTACAAATTTATTGTAGTACATACTTAACACTTTAATAAAATAAAATGTTCTAAGCAACTGGCATTGCTATTATTCTCAAGGTCACCTTGAAAGCCTTACCGAAACCAGTTCTGCCGAAACCGGCATCGGTGGGACGGGTTTAAATAATTTTTTTAAGAAATAAAATGCATGTGACACAGTTTCTAAACATGCTGAATCTAATGGCGTTTACAGTTTTTTTATTAGGTTCTGGTTTTTCCGATCTCGATGCCTCAGCTTTTTTTGTAGTTATGTTATAGATCTAGTTCCTTGACAAGAAACATCTGCGGCTTCGCCTCCGCGTTTCTTGTGATCCACGGCACCAATCAACGAATAGCTTGGTTACTCATTCATGTAGCGATTTTGAGCACTTGATAGTGGTGGACCGGTGGTAGCTCGGTAACTCAATCAGGTCAATTAACAATTTTGCTCACTGGACGGTAGTGGTAGCTCGGTAACTCACTCACTCAATTAGCGATTTTGCTCGCTGGTCAGTGATAGTGTCTCGGTTACTCACTAGCTCACCTTAAAAATAATAAATGCGGCTCTTTGCTTTTAGCAGTTGTTTAGAAGAGCGGTCTTACCAAAATCGAACAGCCCGATTAACAAACTTACTTGTAACGCACTGTCCGTATAGTCAACACCTACCATTTTTTACAAATGTGCCGACAACGAAAATCGATAAGTTAACTTATGATTACAGATACTTAATTTTGTGGTTGGTGTTGTACGAAAAAAGTTCAATTTATTCTAGTTAATTTGCGTATTTAATAATGCGGCTTGAAACTTGTTGGATCGTTTGCGGCATCGTGCCGGCACGATTCTGATCGGACATATTCAAAAACAAAAGTCATGTGACGCAGTTCTGGACCACGGCCGATTTAACTGTGGTATCAGATTTTTTTAAAAGTTTTTGGTTAGAGAGATCTCCAGACTGTGGGGAGGCCGTGCGCAGTATTGATCTTTTTCTTAACAAGACATAAACTATTACCTGTTTA